GTTGGTGTTGGTGTTGGTGTTGGTGTTGGTGTTGGTGTTGGTGTTGGTGTTGGTGTTGGCGCTGGTCTTCCCACTTCCTTCAATCCTTACTGTCCTAGTTGAACAGCAAGTCGATCTCCTTTTGTCTCTGCTTCTCTGCCTTTCCTTGCTCTATCAAGTCCAACAATGCCTTGGAGCCAGAGTTGTCGATTGCTCTTGGAGCGATGAGAAACTTGGGGACTGCCATGATTTTGGTGACAGTTCTTGGCTTGTGGCCACGAGCAGATGGGACGGTGTAGATGTCCTTGTGAGGCCGCATGTTTGCGGAAGGCTCGACAAGGTCGTACAACTTGTCGTTGTCGTTGTCGAGAGTGTTGAGCTTGGTGGCTGTCATGGAACCAAGGGGGCGTCTTTTTTGAGGCTTGTGGAAGAGGGAAGCCTTTTCACGTCGACGTGGCAGGTACTGCTTGACGACTTTGTTTGGATTTGGGGATGCCGGTTGTTTTGAGACGGCTTGATTGGGTTTGTGTTGGGTGGTAGCCAGACCTAACTTGGATCGGTTGGCAACAACGTAACTGTGGTTCTTGATGAGCACTTGAGAGCCGTTGAAAGACATGGTGGTGGTGGCCATGGTGATCAATGAGGATGTAGATGTTATGTGGCGGGAGTGTTCTGGTATGTGTGGTGTTGATTGCTGGTGGCAGAGCAGGAGACGTCGAGATCAGTGTGTTGTTTCTGTTGTAGCTGATGGTGATTGTGTCGAGTTTGTCGAGTCAAGTGGTAGAGTATCCTGATGAGGTAGAACAGGAGCACAAGACAGAGGAAGACGGAGTATTTGTACATTTCCCACAGAAGAGCTAGAATGGAACAACTCGAGTTGGCTTACCGTGAAGTTTGGTTCGTGAAGAACAATATCTGGATCTAAATGATGGCAGCCAATACAATTCTTCACCTTTGAATGGGAGACTCAGGCATTGTGCCATTAGTCTGAATGCGTTGCCAAAAGAAAAATCCTATTCAGGCATTTGGCTGGTTCGTGTCTTGTATTCACATCAAAAGGTCTGGCAATGAAGACCAGAATGAGGATACCAGCCACATTTTACCTTGATTCACTCACCTGGCGATGGATGACGCGACGATTAGCCCTCTGGCGTGAAGAAACAAAGTTCAAAGGCCATCGGCTGACCATGGCTGCACTGTGATCAAATGGTTCAACCAGTATCTTCTGTGTCATATCATGCTTCTCACATGTTCATATAAGGACGTTCTTGAGAAGTGGGTCAAAGGCAGCCTGCCTCGTGGCAGATTTCGAGAAAGATGTCCAGCGTGTTTCAGGTAGGATGTACCACAGTCTGAGCCATAATGTTCATTCAGATACTTGAAAATCCTTGCTCTTTTTGACGTCGAACTAACACTCCCGGGACCTGTGCAACTGTGTCTAGAGTGGATGGCGCTCGTACTCGTCCCTGGTTTGGCGGGCATCGAACGAGTCTCACAGCTAGCAGGGTACCCATAATTGATGACAAACTGAATCTCATCAGCTGTCGACTGAACGCAAAGGCGCTGGTGTTGAAAGAGTGTGTAGAGGCTAAAATGTGCTCAGGACATGCTCTGTCTGGTTCGTGTTCTACGTGACCGCGAACTCGATGAGTCAACAGGAGGAGGCCAAAGTGGTATCAGAGGGGCCTTCGAGGGTGAACTGCATGGATCACCCATAATGAGTGTACAGACCAGCCTTTTCGTAACTCGTTTCTGGTGTACGAGGTGGTTGCTGGCATTCAGAAGTTTGAAGTGCGAATAGTGCCGAACGCGTCACGACGATCACCTGATTTCGCGATTGCCAAGACTCTCCAGCTTTGGGTCCGACGCGTTCTTGGTCTGTCCAACGCAGCCTCCCATCCACCGCGACATCCATGCGAGATGCAGCTCCTCGTCGGGCTCAATGCCGCTCAGCGGGCTGCGGTGACCTCGCCGGCATCTGTCCTCCAAGTGCTGGCCCCTCCAGGGTCCGGGAAAACAAAGACATTGACGTGTCGAGTCGCCTACCTCGTTGCGCATTATGGTCATAACCCGCAAAATGTCATCTGTTGCACCTTCACCATCAAAGCCGCCAGGGAAATGCGGGAAAGGCTGAGAGGCCTTGTCGGCTGTGAACTCGAGTCTAAGTTGGTTCTCGGGACCATCCACTCCATCTGTCGACGTTACCTAGTCGCATACGGTCACCTCGTTGGGATACCCAAGGGATTTGGGATTGCAGACACTTCAGACAGCAATAGCATAATCAAGCGAATCATCAAGCGTCTCAAACTGTCGATAGAACCAAAAACTGCGAGAGCCAGAATTTCGAGCCACAAGGCAAAAGGGAAAACGTTGGAAGACCTTCCAAAGAAACCACCCAAAGAACTCAAGGACCAAGAGTTCATAACCATTTTCCACGAGTATGAGGAGACATTGGCAACTTCCAAACTACTAGACTACGACGACCTACTCTTGCGATGTGTTGATCTTCTGCGAGCATACCCAGCTTGCGTGTCCAACATCGAAGCGTTGTTGATCGATGAGTTTCAGGATACCAACATTGTGCAGTTCGAATTGATGAAATTACTGGCATCGGCAAACAGAAAAATCACCATTGTCGGTGATCCGGACCAGAGCATCTACGGATTTCGATCTGCAGAGATCGAGAATCTACGACGAATGAAAGCCTTCTACCCCGAGACAGTGGTCATCAATCTGGAGGAAAACTACCGCTCTGCATCGGCCGTGCTGAAACTTGCCCAGGCTGTCATTGAACAAGACACCGACCGTCCGCAGAAGAAAATGAAAGCGACACACTGCCATGGAAGCCAGCCGGTGCTTCGGCGTCTGCCCAACCCGAATGAGGAGGCCTTGTGGATTGCTAGCGAGATCAAGAGGACGATGACCATGACTGGAGGTCTATTTCTGCACTCTGACTTTGCCATTCTCCTTCGATCGGCTTATCTCTCATTACTAATTGAACGAGCGTTGGCAAACTCCGGCATTCCTTACCGCATGGTCGGTGGTCAACGTTTCTTTGACCGCGTGGAAATCCGGATCATCATCGACTACCTCCGCACTATCAGCCATCCTGACAACAATCAGGCCTTTGTTGCCATCATAAACACACCACCACGCAAGATTGGAGACACCTCGGTTGCCGAAATGATCAAGCTTGGGGAAGACCATAAGCTTTCGCTCTGGGCTGTAGTGCAGAAGGTCCTCACGGGAGATCTGAAGCCCGAAAAGAGGCTTTCGAAGCCTGCAGAACAGGAACTAGGCCGTCTGGTGGGTCTCATTAGGACCGGCAGACAAAAGATGAATACGGTGCACCCTGCAGCTACGGTCCCCACGAAACTGATCGATTTCGTTGTCGAATCTTTGGATTTTGAGAATTTTCTGAAGAAGAAATACAAGGATGACCACGAGGATCGACTCGAGAACGTCAAAGAACTTATTACTCATGCCTCTGAGGTTCTGTTACAGAACGCCACTGAAGAACCTCTAGCGGCTGTAGAGGGCGTGGAACAGGAACTCTCCAATGGTGGCCAGGAAGTCCTGGCTCAGTTTCTGGCGAACATCGTCCTCTCGACCGATGTTGAGAATGCCGAGGAAGGCAAGGATAAACCTCGCGTCACCATCTCAACCATTCACTCAGCCAAAGGTCTTGAGTGGCCCGTCGTATTCATTCCAGCTGTCTATGAAGGCTCCATTCCTCATTCCCGGGCTGAGAACACTGATGAAGAACGGCGACTGCTCTACGTCGCCATGACACGAGCTCAGGCTCTTCTGACAATGACTTTTCCTGTGATGCAATCCCGGGATCAAGCCGAGTCCGTTCTTACTCAATTTCTCCCGCTGAAAATTCACCGTCATCTCTCCCAAGTTGGTCCACTATTCCATGATCGCGCAATTCAAGATATAGCGAGCATTCTTCGACGGCCTATGCCATCTCAGGAGGATCTAGCAAAGAATCTAGAAGGAATCAAGGGCGAAGAAAGTCCTGCCGATGACATTTGGCCAGCCGATGGCAGCCGCCGACCTACGCCGATGCTTCCTGGCGTCACGCAAGGCAATACAGAATTCGGCAGGCCACTGGCAGAGGTCCTTGCTGCTCAAAAACAGCAATCTCGGAGTTATTCGACCTTTTCAAGACCAAATATCACGGCAAACTCTGCTGGCTCTGGATTAATCACCACCATGACTAATGTCGACGCCTTTTCTTCGTCAAACATGTTGCTGGGCTTTACCACTGCCAGTCATCAGCTCAAAAGCAGCGCCTCTAACCTCAGGAGATCCTCGTCTGATGTTCTCCCACCTCAGAAAAAGCCGAAACTATCAAAGTCGCTTTCCGGACAGGGAAATATCGGGAGTTTCTTCTCAAGGCCCACTTCCCAAGCACCTCAATTGCTGCAATCGACTGTCCGACCGCACATCCCCGGGCTATATAAACACGGAACTCCGGGTCATGAAAGTGCGCTTTCTAACCAAAGCTGTGAAGATCGAGGTATAGCCACGCGTAGCATCCCCGAGGAGTTGTCTTCGCATGAATTGAACTTCCGGAATGGGATGGTTCAAGGACGTCCTGCACCTTCGAAAGAACCAAGCACAAATTCTAAGAATCGGTATGCTGGCTTGTACAGTTCATCACCTCCCCCCATTCCGCCGCAAGACCGGGAATTGCATGTTCCAGAGGATGCTGCTGGTGGGAATCAGACCCCGAGGGATGCGAACGTTCCAAAGAAAGTGATTGCAGGTGATGCTTCAATCACGTTCACGAATTACACCCTCACCAAACCTGCGAGTACGATGCACAAGACAACTATGTCTTCGATGGGAAATAGCCGGTCGGCTTCGTCAAGTTTTGCTTCAGGAGTTGTTAGGAAGACACTTGGAGTTAGGCGTACTATGAATGGATGGGAGAATAGGAAGAACCGATGATTTCATGTCCGCGGCCGATTGCTGAGCTTGTGCCAAGTGGTTGTTGGCCTGATACTTTGACTGTTTGCATGACCATCAACGACATTACGAAGTTATGACCGAGTGGATCGATTGGTTGATGCGTTGAGGATTTCTAAACACATGGGGATATTCTTGACCTCCCGGTCCGTTGGCCAGCATGTCGGGATGCACTACGCCATCCTATACGCACGGAAGGTCATCTTTGCCAAACATGTGCATCCACCGCAATATTAGATCAGACTTGGAACACTGTACTACCACATCAACTATCCATAGATGCAATGAATACGAAAAGATACTGAAAGATGCAAGAGTCCTAAGAAATGGTGCGAGTGCGAGTGCGACCCGTTTCAGGAGAAGAGAAAAGACCACGAAGAAATCGAAAGCGAATGCAAAGCAAAATAGAATTCTGATGTCTGGGATCGTGCAGCAGTCTTTTCTTCTTTCTCCAAGCGATTGTTTCCAGGGGACCATTAAAACATTTCATCACTCATAAAAAATCTGTCTGGCATCGAAATTGGTGGGTTGGTTCTTTTCTTCGCTCTCTAGAATGTCATATGTCGAATTGAAAAAAAGAGAATTGCAAACAAACACATGGGCCTCGAGAAGTACCACCCTTTGTCAGAGAGATAGATACATACACGTCAAGCCGGAAGAAAGGCAGGGAAATATTGAAGAAGAGGGGCGTTTGGCTTGATAGGTCCAACGGCGATGGTGCGAGGTTTGTTCTCTCCCTACACAAAGAGAATCATGGGGCCTTTTCTCCAATATATTCTCTGTTCCACCGGTCTGCCCATCTCTGGAATAAAATGATCAAGTCATTTGGCACCCCAACTCGCTATTTCCTTAAGACATCGCAATATGGTCGTTTACAAAGCGAACATGCCGAGCGCGACAGCTCCAGCGGCAAGCATGGCGGTGAAGGCGTTCAATGTCGTGCGGCCTGCGGCACCCGTGTACGGGGCAACCCAGGAGCTGGTGCTCGAGGCGGCGGCGCCCCAGGTGCCGTTGCTGGCGATGCTGTAGGGAGCCACCGGCGTCGCTGACTTGCTGGCCGCCGCGACGGGCGCGGACGACGACGGCACGGGAGCCACGGTCAAGGTGGTGGCGAGGGTCACACTCGGGCTCACCCACGCGCCACTACCCGTGCCGGTCGAGGCTGCCGCGACTGGAGACACGGGCTTGCCGCCCCACGATCCCTCCGTCACCGTTGGCGCCAGGGAGACCGGCTGGCTGCCCCAGGTCCCGCTTGGTGCCGGGGCAGTCGAGGTGGCTGCGACGGGCGACGTGGTTCCGGCGGGTGCTGCGCAGGGCACGCTGGCGACGATGGGTGTGCTGAATGGCCATCCGGCCGACGGCGTGAAGGTCTTGGTCGTCATGCAGGCTGTGGGCACTGGTGTCTCAGTGCACCCGCAGTGCGTGGTCGTGATGGTAGTGGTCTTGGTGGTAAAACCTGTGGAGCAAGGCTCCGTCCACGTCTCTGTGATTGCCAAAAGTCAGCACACCTTCTCATTTCTGCTTTTTTAGGGGGCATTAAAGAAGAGAGGAAGGCGGTGAGTTTTGAGACTTACTGGTGATTGTGACGGTCACAACCGAGCCCTCATCACTCCAGTCACCCCAAGTTGTTGCGGGATCGCTGGGTGTCGTGGTCGAAGTAGTCCAATCTTGCCACTGGAAGCTCGATGAGCTGGACGTGCTGGAACTGACAGAGCTTGTCGTGGGGTCAGACCAGTCTTCCCATGTGCTGGTAACAGGATCGGACGTTGTCGTTGGCGCCCAGTCGTTCCACGTGCTGCTGCCGCTGCCGCTCGTGCTGCTGCTGGTGGTATTGTAGAAAGGTCCCACGGAGAGGTATCTCGACGAGGTTGTCTGCGGGAGACCAGCAGTGCTGCTGGGGGTTGTGTGTGGTACGTATGGCGTGGTGGTCGGGACGACGGGGCTGGTGGTTGAAACGACAGGACTAGGAGTCGTGGTTTCCGACGAGCTGCTTGAATGGGTGTACAGGGGTCTCGTTGTGGTGACGAGGGTGGTTGTGGTTGTACTTGTCGAGGTGGTGGTGACCGGTTGGGATTGATATATCTGGACGTAGTTGACATCCCAGTACGCATCCTTGAAGTCGCCTGGGTTACTGCCAACGTAGACAGAGCACTGGCTTTGGCCGGTGCTGGCTGCACACCCGCCGCTGGACCAGGTCGCGTCACCAAAATCACCGCAGAAAGTGGTGTCGAAGACGATTCTGTTGTCGGCAAAGTTGGCGTCGATGTCGCAGCCTGGCCCGTCGAAGATGGAGGCTGGCAGTCCCCATCCAGAGGGGTCGGGTTTTCCAGACGAGATATCCGAGGGGATGGATTTTCGTGCGAAGAACCAGATCTTGATCGCGTCCGACGTCCACTCCATTGCGTAGACGCCGCCACCACCGCCCGGATTGGCGTTGAAACCCGATCCGTAGCTGGAGGAACTGGTGTCGAAAGCGCCACAGCCCTGCGCATTGGCGCCAGTACTGACGTCGTACTGGCAATTGTTACCGTTCGAAGTACCGGTCATTTCTAAGGGGCTTTGGGAAATGACGCAGGTGCCGGCGACGTGGGTAGATGTTAGGTCAGTGCCTTGGTTGTTCGCACCCTCGATGATGTCGATTTCACCGTCTTGAGGTCATAAAAGTTAGCAACTCTGTCCTTAAAGACATCGGGAAGGGAACTTCGCCTATCCTTTGGCCCTCTCAAGTCGAAGTCCAAGAGAAGGCATGAGCGAGACTCACTGTACGGCCATGTGCCGGAACCAAGAGTCCAGAATGCCGGCCACACTCCGCAACCGCTGCCATCTTTTGTTGTTGGCATGTGTTTGATGTCGGCAACAAAGAGACCGTGTGTCCATGACTTGATACTTTCAATCCTGACACTCGGCCGTCCAACGCCGTTGATCCCCGAGTAAGGTGCGCTGCCGTTGTATGGGTTCTTGTGGTCGACTCTCATCTGGGCCGAGCCGCCGTTGAAAGTGATCAGGCCATCAGCCTCGGCCGTGGCCTCGTCGACGTAACTGCCTGCTGTCAATGACCGACATCGCAAAGTGATCCTCGGTGGACATACGTGACGAAACCATGGGTAGGATCGGCATCCTTCAACACTCGTCAGCGATAAGACCCACCCGCGAAGAGCCGCATTTCACGTACAGCAAAAAAGTTGAATCCGTCAAAGAAGTTCGTTCCAGAATATTCAGTGTCCAGAGCATAGTACGTGTTAGTGGCAGAAGCAGAAGAAGAAAGCAACAACAAAGCAGAAACGAGTGTGGTGCTCGACCTCAGAAAGAGTGATGAGGAAGGCATATTGTTAAACGAATGGCACGCGAACGTGAGGTAAAGAATGGACTGGCGACGCAAAGCACACAAAGGAGAAAGGAGGGAGAAGTAGGCAACACAAGTTTCCTATAGATATTCGGAAGCAGGCACAGTGCGTCGCCATGGCGGGTATCTGGACTCCGGACTATTCGAGGTCCCACCGATAGTGCTTGTGGTGCGCCATTGCCACAAAGCGCCGCAGAGGTGGCACGTTTCGTGCAAATTGACCTCATCGAATCGGTTAGGGGAGATGAGGTGCTCAAGGAGACTGCAACACCCGGGGAATCCGACCAATGCGGCGTAGAGCGCGCAGGCATACGTATGGAGAAGAGTCAGGCTACCTCGCCCAAATTGAGCGAAGGCACCTTCAATCCGCCTGGGTGCGCAGAAGTTTCTGCCCCATGTTAAATCAAAGGGTGCGGAGACCCAAGAGCCGTTGATCGTTCGGGTGTATGGGAGCAGCTCCGTATGTAACCTGGGAACCGATCGCGAGTCGGATCGTCAATTGGAAGCAAGCGAGGTCTTCTACCGACATGGCGAAATTTGGGTGAGTCAGTGTGATGGAAGGTAAAAAGGAATAGCTCAAGAAGGTCTGAAAAGGAGGCGCAGATAGCCTCATGGCAGTGGAGCTTGATTCAATGCTTGGCGCCCATACAACCAATGAGGAGACTCCACAAACTCCACCTGGGCGTCCAGAACGTCCCAAAATGGAAGCCGACATCAGTACCCCCTGAACCACGCAATTTGCTGGTCGATGTAACCATTGGTTCCTTTTTCCCCGTAGGACGTGGCTGAGCTGCTTGGAAATCGACTTCTCTAGCTAGCGCTCCAACCCACGATCAAGAGCAAACACCCACGTGCCAATGGAGTTCGGAGCGAATCATTGCCGTTTCTATCTAGGGAGATCGGCCGCGCGGCTCCTCGACCGCGCCGACCTCTTTTCTGCCAGCAAACAGAGGATCCTCGGTACGACGTGCTCGCTCTTGGCGAGGAAGCAGAGGACAGCACAGTTAAAAATGGAAAGGCTGCGGGGTTCTCCCCTACCATTCCCAGATCACTCGCGAACAATCCAAAATTGCAGTATACGGTTGGATTGTAGAAACGTGAGCGAGTGCTGCTTTGTACCCGAACTCTAACCAGGCACTCCACGAACGCGTACCTGAGCAATATACTGAGCTCAGAGGTCCGCTAATGATGATCCAGCTCCGCCCCGATCAGCCACAAGTAAACCTACCTCTCACTTAAACGTCTGGTTCAGCGACGCCTCAGTGAGCTCAGTAAATTTCTGTCCCTTCGTTGTTGTTCAAGACTCTCCACGCATCGTACTCCATTTGTTCGAAGGCGTCTTAACACGTCACCCGACTCTGCAGAGCTACGAACTAACCTTCTGCGGAGATTGAGATTCGGTATACCCTCTCATAGTTCTGTCGAACAGTTTGAGCAGCGCATTGTTGAACTGGCGATTGTGCGATTGTGTCCATCTCTGGGTCAGGTTTCAGAGACATGCTATGTCTTATACAGACGATTATATAAGCCCAAATCAGTCGAGTTGCTGTTCTGAACATGGGGGCCACCCCGTCAACACACCGTTTCTCGCAACGATTGAATCACAAAGATTGTTGAAGTCTATTGACAGAAGTGAGGCAGCTTTGTCGAATAGGCGAAGGCGAGTGTTGTAGGAATGGGTTAACACCAACGAGAGGTTTACCGATCAGGGCCGGATGATTTGGCCTTGCGTCTACCACTGAGCGAAGGAACAGCACCTCGGCTTGCTCGTGAGGCCTGTCTCCCGCAAAGAATTGATTGACGATTTCACTTTGGACCATATTGGAAAGTATTTCCTGCAGAACTGCATTTTGGCTCCAACAGACTTCATATGCTTCCAGCACTTCAAGCAGTCCACAAAATTAAGGAACAACTGCTCGCACCCCACTGGGAATAGAACGGGAGTGAGGCCGCGCTGTGCCACCCTCAACTCGCGCGAGCAGAGCGATGCCCCTCCAGTGTCTCACAAACTTGTGAAGGCCGAGGCAGTACTTGCTCGAGGTCAACGTGTGACAAACGGGGAATGCCATTGCAAGGGAACTGGGTGCGAGGCGACCCCGTACAGTGGATGAGGAACCAATTACTTTCAGACGAGGTTCAATGGAGTACGACGGATAGAGTTCTCTTCTTGAGAGCTACTGAGGGCCCCTTGGGCGATTAAAAGCAGTCCCTCTTTGTCGATAGCACAAAGGAGATGTGAGAGCCATGCTGAAGATTCTGCAGCTCGATAACGGCTGCTCTGACAACTTTCAGATCAGCCTGGATGAGGCCCCGATAGCAGTGAGGTAAAGAAGAGTCCAAAAGCTATATTTTAAAGTCATTGATGGTAGCAGGGGTCCATGCAGTATCCTCAATCCATTTCGAGCCTTTGACTCGAGTTGACGTGAACAGTAAGCGGCGTCCATCAAAGATTTGGTGAGCCTTTTAAGCGAATACGGACGCGGAAGCATTTAACTCCGGAATTCTCGTACTTTGTGCATCATCTGTAGAATATTACTATTGCCAAGAGCAGAAGATACTGCCTCCTTAGACCATGTTCCTATGCCGTTGCTGAATACCGTCTTACGCGAGAGGGACTCGAGAGATTCGGCATCAGTACCGTACTAGCTCGCATTTGCTGCCAGGGTACAGGCTTCTTTACCAATTTCTTCCGGAACGCGTCGGCAAATGCCATTCTTGCGGGGGAGATCAGCTTACCGGGGTTGGGAGTTGCATTGTTTGGAGGACTTCGCGACTCCAACAGTCATGGATGGATCTCCACGAATGTCCCTCACAAGAATGAGGGCGCAGCTCACCGGGCGATTCGCAATCCCTCTTTGGCTGACTGTCGGCGGAAGAGGTATTAATACCACGGTGTCCTCCCTGGATTCAAATTCTAAGGACTAGACAACCAAAATGCCGATGCTTCAAGTGGGTATAGTTGGTGCCGGTATAGGCGGCCTCGCAGCTGCCATCGCTATTGCCCGCAGTGGGTGTAGCGTCACCATCCTCGAGCAGGGAGTGGACATAGGAGAGATTGGAGCCGGGATCCAGCTCCATCCCAATGTATCTCGCCAAATGATCCGCTGGGGCGTCGACAAGATCATTGAGAACGACCTGATCGAACCCGACGAACTCAACACTTGGGATTGTGGGAGCGAACTACGCCTGATCGGCCGCACGGATCCAAAGCAGGTCGCTAAGCAAGCCGGTTTTCCTTGGTGGGTGGTGCGTCGCGACCACCTCTACACTGGACTCGCCCAGTCTGCATCCGAGCATGGAGTCAAGTTGATCATCCAGGCCAGAGTGGAACAAATTGACGACACCTCGTCCCCGGTGAAGGTTGTCACATCCTCCGGACAGAGCTACGAGTTTGATCTCTTGGTTGGCGCAGATGGCCTCAAGTCTACCGTCAGACAGTATCTGTACCCCGGCGTCATGCCATATGCGCCCAACAAGCTATGTGCCTATCGAGGTGTTCTGCCATTTGCCTTGATATACAAAGAAATTCCCGAAGCGAGGCTGTTCGTCGGCAACAGACTGGACACTTGGGTCGGAGCAAAAGGGTGTGAAGCCTCTCTTTTCGAGCCGCGGAGTTGATTGACCTGCTGACGGAAACAATAGCTACGTTCTGACTTACCCTACATGCGGAGGGAAAGAGCTGAACGTCGTGACCGCTGCCGAGTCCAAAGACTATGTGACTAAAATGGAAGACATCGACGTTGAAGAGTTCTATGGGTAACTATACAAAGCTTCAGCCAAACCCCGCTGACGGTCTCCATATAGATTCTATGCCGACTTCCATCCATTCATCCAAAAACTGCTGCGTCTTGTCAAGTACACCAAACGCTGGCCGTTGCTGCAAACACCCCGAATGCCGTCCTGGTCCAACAAAGCCAAGAACATCGTCATGATAGGCGATGCGGTCCATGCCATGCAGAATCATATGGCCCAAGGTGCGGGGACAGCAATCGAAGATGGAGCATTCCTGGGCCAGGTCATCAGCGAAGTGGCCCGGGGCGCGATCAATGTGCCCGAAGCCGTGACTCTGTTTGAACAGCGACGGATGCCCAAAGCATGGATCAAGCAACAACTCAGCTTCCACTCCGGATTGATGTATACCTTGACGCAACCAGAAGACCGTGAAAAGCGCAACCAAGCGGGCAGGTTTGAAGTTGCGCGCTGGGAGCACAACCCAGCTCGACAGGAGCACAGCCATATCGAGTATCGGAATTGGCCGGTGGCGCGGTGCATCGAGACGGCCAAGTCAATCTGGTATTATGACGCCGAAGGAGATGCGGACAACGCAGTGCTGGAATATCTGATGAGCAGGGGCAAAGTGGACGGTTTCACACAGATGAGTGAGAATCTGAGCCGCAAATGGGGTTCGATCGTGTTTGGAAACGATGTCGACGGCAGCTGGGTCGAGCCCCAAGTCGACTTCCAGCACATGAAGAACTCTCTCTACAGGGGGAACGGGGCTGTGAAGGACGGCATCCAGGAGTACGGTCTGCATGAACAAGACTACGATCGGTTTGGCAAGGGCTTGTAGCTGGATGCTGGGGCAGAGCGATATATATATATATATATATATATATTAGGTCGTAAATGCTGGCGGGCATTAGCAGCTACTAGTGCACTAAAGAGCTTGCTACTCAATCTAAAGAGCTGCTAGAGGGTTTAGTCGCTGCTAGTGACACCAGCTGGTGCCCAGGACGTCATTGATTTTATCGGGCAAAAGGCGGGGTTGATCAGGTGCAACTGCGCCCAGGTTGCCAGTCGAATTGAGGTGAATTGCCCCGCTTCTGCCTCTGCCCTCCGTCTCTGCCTGCGCCCTGCACCTCCCACTTCGTGCCTCACACACCGACCTCCCAGTTGTCCCGCTGACATGTGAGCCTAATGCGCCTGGCCCCTGCAAGGCAGCTCCCAAGCTCCTCCCATCGATTGGCATAGCTCAAACCTAGCAGCCTGACCGCATCTGTAGAGTTGAGCCCAAGAAGCAAGCTTTAGCGGTCTCGCGGGGTGCGATTCGAGGCTGTGAGGGATGGGCATGTTTCACGCTCAAGTCTGTTTCCCTCTTTTTCCCACTGGTAGAAATCCCACAACCACAAGGGTCACCAGGCTGTCTTCTCCTGCAGACACAACACCCACGGGTTTCTGATCCTTGAACGCTCCCCTCTCCGTTTGCCCTCGTCCTAAACCCCGTTGTCCGCCCAGTTCCGCAGAAGCTGTGAGAAACCACACGCGCCTGCAGCCGGTGAGCCAATCTTGGGAGGGGATGTCATCCGCCACGTTTTCAATGCCAGGCATACAAGCATCTTCCCAATAGCTCCGGCCTGCGTTTCTTCTTGCTTGCCGCCCTGTCCACTGCACAATGGTTCTGGACCGACCACGGCTCAGGCAGATGCTCTCATGCTTGGTTCTGCCCAGCCTTATCCCGCAGGTTCTGTGAAAAGAAGAGAACGCTCCGCTGCGAGCCACGAGGCTTTACCCGTCGTCCAACCTGGTTCATCACGTTTAATTCCCAGCCAACATTTGCAAGCGACATTTTCTTTTATCACAAAATTCCCGTCAATGCGAGGTTCAACAGAGACACAATGCCTCGGTCACGCAAATCTGAACAGGTTCCCAGTTTCTGGGACAGTTTTCCTGCAGACCCTCTTCTCTTATTCCGCGTTCCTCCAAAGGTATCTTCCTGAAGATCTTGTCTGTTTCGAGGGTGCAGCCGCAAAACTGACCACTTCCTTGCAGCTCGACTTGACATCTTGTGTGGAGGATGGTGAGCAAAGGGAAAGCATCGAAGATGGGAAGAACGCCGACATCACCGTCACGAGCCTCTCCTCCGCCTGCTCCTCTCGAAGACGAACGAACATTACCAGTCTCCCACCCGAGATCATTCTCGAAATTGTTGGCCATCTTCATCCCATTGACCGCGTCTGCCTCGGCCTGTCGTGCAAATACCTACTTTCCTCCACCCTGCCTACCCTACACTTCACCCGTTTAGACTGGCTGCGCTTTCACGATCGGCGGTACAGCTTCATCCTGCCTCAGATGCCTACCCTCTATGTACGGCTCGCACACGGCTGGGTCCCCAAGGACAAGTTCCGCTACTGTTATCGCTGCTCCAAAATCCTTCCGAGGTCGCATGAATACTTTTGGGAGAGACTGCGCAGGACGAAAAGCCCAAGGTTCCGCAACGGACTTGGCATATCCGAGAAACACTGGAAGTCGCTCAGTAAGAAGGGGAAATACGCATATCTGGTCGAAAATTGGTGCCATTCACCCGAGGAGGATAGCAGCGGCTTCTACTGTGGCCACTGCTACTATCGGGAAAAGGATCGCATCAACTGTCCAGTATATTGTCCCCTGTGCCTGGAGATAGACTTGACATGGACCCCTCCGAGGAAGCCTTGGATGAGGAAAGCCTTGTGCCGGAGTTTGAGGGCTTTAGGGACTCCGTTTGAACTGGCTGCCTACTGGATCCTTGTCTGCTGTCTTTACGCGATAAGGTTTTGCTATGATCAGGCGATGCAATGCTGGAGAGCGTTGCCTTGAGTTTCATTGCTCTTCTTGGTGGACGATCTCCATCGCTATATGAGTGGATTATGAATGGCCTTGGTGACCCCAGACCAGGCCTGGAACGTGTCAATCTGGCGACAGCGGCCCCCAATTGCATTGTTCAGGATCATGTACAGTATGGAAGGCGGAGATGGTATCGGAGAGCGCCATGGTAGGCTTGATTTGGTTTCGCAGGCTGGCGCAGCATGGCGGGATGGTGGCTGACTGGGGTATGGAGGAGTTCACTGGCGCGAGCAGGCTGGTATCAAGACCGACAGAGCCAAACACCTACCAGACTCGTGGGTGGATTGAGGGTGCGCGAACCAAGGGGTCTAGGTTCCGGAGGGATTGCTGCATTTACTCTAAGAAAGCATGATTGACGACTATGTTCCGGGACAATAGAGACCATAGCTGGGTTGGCGGTTTGGCAGGCGGGCGTACGAAAGGTATTCTGCGTGAATTGAGATTCCTAGGCGGGAAAGAGCGTGTGCGCTGTCAATTACGTCTGAGCTGTCCGGCTTCGAATTCGAAGACACGTTTTCTGCATCATGCCAGAAGAAATCCGTAAACGAGACCCCCCTTGTGTCCGAGTCCCTGCAAATGAGGTAGAACTGGTGGCGAAGAAGACGAAGCGTGTTTTTCCCTCCTCCAATTCAGGACAAAGTGCTTCGGAACCGTTTCGACTCTGAGGACAAACCAGGAAATGTAGATTAAGACTATGAAGAGAATGCACAACATAGCAGGTACACAGAACGCACAGCCAGCCGCTCGCATCGCGGGTCCTCTCGCCCAAGGGTATCATCTTTGCCGTCTCCACCGACTTCGCCCTCGCTTTCGCCGTTGGCAGCAAGGACTGCCATATAACAAGGAGTGCGCAACGCTCGTGTCACCTCATCCATTTCTGTCTTTCCATCAATGACAACATCCTCGACTCTTAACCTTTGCTGGACTCTCACTCGTCATTCATCGCACCTCGTGAGGCGCAACGCTGTCTGGATCAGCAGGATGATCATGTCCCGCCGTCACGGCATCATAGGCTCGCGCGTGGCTTCCTTCGACCGGATCAATCGAGTCTCTACTCAATGTGTCCGAGGTATGTCCACTGGCCGCCTCATTGTTGCTGCTTGTAGGTGGTCCCTCCGGCCGGCTCTCGATGGGCGCCAGCTTCTCACCGTGATAGCCGCTATGCGAGGCAGCCGCCGCAGCCGCGTCTGGAGCGACGGCAGAGCTACGGCGTCGCGTGGCTGCGGCAGATGCCCCCGTGGTAGCTCCAGAAATGGACTGGCGGTTGCGGTTGGCCATGATATCGAACGGGTCAGAGGAGAGTTGGAAGAGGGATTGCTTCCGCTCGCGGACTTCGTATTGTTCGGCTGGAGTCATGTGGGCATCAAGAGGGGCCACGTTGGCGATCTCAGCGGCTGATAGTGAAGAACAATGGTTAGAACAGATTGAATAAGAGGTGAGAACAGCGAGGGCGTTCGGTAATCATCGTACCTGAGACTCGTCGGCGACCGTAGTATGGGTCATCTTGAGGTGCCATTCCGCCCTTTTTACTGCTGCTGAACTTCCTGACATCGACGCCTGTGGCGCTGTACTTGCGTTCACGGTTCCAATATTCCTCTTCGGGGCTCAAGCCAGTGAAGCCCACGTTGGAGATCTCGGCCGCTGTTTGCGTGGTTAGCTTATGCCTGGCGCAGGTACGGAAAGCGAGGAGCGACGAACCGTTGACTGGCTTCCGCCCATAGTAGGGATCATTGAGAGGCTCAATACCGCCCTTGAGACTATTGCTGAAACGCCGCACATCTGCTCCATGTGCAGTGAATTTCTTTTCCCGGTTCCAATACTCTTCTTCTGGTGTCAATCCAGTCAGGCCAACATCCTTGACCAGTTCATCTGTCCGGGAGACCGTTGTTAGCATCGAATCAGGGGACGCAGAAGCCTTCGACAGCCTTACCAGGAACAGGCTTGCGGTTGTAGTAGGGATCTGCTGCTTTGGTCATGGTCAGTCAGGAGAAGACTGTTGTTAGCCTGGACAGTGGAACAGATTTGGGAGAGAGACTGGGAAGATGGAAAGACTTGGGTAGGCGGGACCAGGGGGACCGCGCAAGCCTATTCTATACATTTGCCCAGGACCGAGGGAAGCCAAAGGAAGAGCTGGGGATTACGAGGTGGGGGGCAGACATCAGGCCATGACAGACACAAGAAACTCCGTAAGAGGCGCGTGGTTCTTGGGCTCAACCCCAAATCGACTCGGGTTTCGTATATCAGCGCATCATCGTGGTTGATGGTTGGTGAGAGTTTGCTGGTGACCTCGATCTTCTGGCGTACATGCACGCTGATGTCGTTCCCGCCACTCTGGAGAGACCCCGCCCTGAGCAAGGGTGCTATGCGAAGAGAACATGGGGAAGTACCTAGCGACGAGCCTGTAAGGCGCCAGCTGGGCTGGAAACTCGGCATGCGAGCAACTCTGAAGTGTGGCCACCATCCCGCAACGGGGCTCGTTCGATGCATGGTATTGACGTAGCTGGGGAAATACTCCGTGAGAGCTCGACTCTTTCTGCCCCATCGTGCTTTACCCGGTCAGGCACTAGCTGGCGAGATCTCGACTTCATCGCTCATAGTGCTGGTGTATGTGGTGGTGGTGTGGTCCTCCTTTTACCTGAGCGCAATTGAGACAACGGTGCAAGAACTCGCTTCTGTATTCGCATAAATATTCGGCCATCTGGCTGTAGGTGTCTCAGCATATTATCGCCGTAGCGAAGATGCAGTTGATGCGGAAGAGAACGAGGGCGAAGGAGAAAAGGGCCGATTGCGAAAAAGGGCCTAGACTCTGCGGAGCTGGCGCCCAAACCCCAATGAGCTTCTGAGCGAGAGCCACCCACGTCAGCTGCCTTTCGCTCCCCTTCGTTGAAGACAAGTGAATGGGAAACGGGGGAACAAACGTGAGAGATATCCAAAGACACACCGTCCTGTCCTGTCATTTCTCGACAAGTTGAGGTGCAATGAATACCGGGTGCACGCCCCTATTGACAGGATGGGCGGAACATGTTGAAGCCTGAGGAACGAGCGCACCTGAAATACCCAGGCATGTGTGCAGTAGGGAGCCCTTCATTAGAGAGGAGGTCGTCTCGACGAACATGTACTATCATCTCGCGATGAACCTGGGGCCCTCTTCAGTGAAAATGCCAAAATCGATGAAGCTGCCTGAACAGTGTGAAACGTTGACCGGCAGTACTGCTTTCTGCGGTGAGTGAAGGCCGTCACCTTCTTGGACACCATTGGACTCTTTCCTCGCTACCTTTCCCACCTTCTGCGTTCCTTTTGACCGTCGCAATCATGGTGCCCTGCAGGTTCTTCGCGAGAGGCAACTGTGCTCGAGGTTCAGAATGCCGCTTCGACCATTCTCAATCTCTTCGGCGTCATCACGAGCCTGGTACCCGTACTTCTCTGCGCGCCGACGCTCCAGAGTTCCAGGTCACTTCGTCTCCTAAACCTGTTTGTAAATTCTACAACCGGGGGACGTGTCGGAACGGCTCTGAATGCCCCTACCTCCATCCTGCGCACTCGCACAGTTCTGTGAACCGGGCGGCTAGCCGAGCTGTAAGTCTCTGACTATACAGTTCCACGCTGAGGGGGCCGACTTGTTAACTTGGTTCATAGGAGACACAGGTTCTGCCATTGGCGAGAGATCCGCTTCCTGTGGAGCGGTTCCTCAAAGGCGTCCGCGTCCGCTTTGGCGAAGGTTCCCAGATCCTCGATGTCAAGTTCCCGTCAGACGAACCCGGAGTCCATGGAAACCCCCCTATCACGAAAGTTCAAGTCTCGACGGTATTCTGTTCATGGTATAATCCTTCGAGGATTGTATGGTTGCACTACCGCAGCAGCCTATGGGCGACGAACGCCAGCAAGAGATTCGAGAAAAGGCTTCATGGTCGTCAGATTAGGGTCAAAATACAACCTCCATCCAGGCACCATGGACGGCCGAAGTCGATATGGTCGCTGCAGCTAAACAATGTCTTTGCTGAAACTACGAAAAAGGACCTACAGGAGCATCTCAAAGGCGTTGAACCAGACGACATCGTGTTCGGTGCATTGACTTCACGAAAAACCCAACAAGAAGCTGTGGACTGGGTTAAAGCGCGCCTTACTGAGTCTGGACGCAAACTGCGATCGTTCAACTTCGAGCCGAACACAACTGGTTCTCGCATGAAGGCTTTCGCTTGCTTTGATTCTCCATCAGTCGCCCGAGCCGTGGTTGCCCTCGCGCAAGCCAACTTCCCAGACCTTGGCTCAAAATTATTTGTCGAATTGGTCGCCGCTGTCTCAATACCAGTCCTTCGCGAACTTCACTCCATCCTCAAAGATAAACTCGAGGAGCTCCAAGCACACAACAAGTACGATGTCAGGATTTCTGTATACGACCACCGGGAGGTCAAGCTTGTCATGCTGAGAATCTACGGACCAAGGCCACAAGCTGTCGCGCATGTCAAAACGAAACTCGGAGAAATGTTGACGGGCACTGTTGTGCTCGACGATTCTGGCTCAGCTTTGTGGCATGACTTCTTTTCTACAGACGAAGGCTTATCATGCCTCAAATCTGTCTCTCAAAATGGTAAAGTCTTTGTTCATAGAGACTTGCGGAAACAACAACTTCAGCTCTACGGCTTTGAGACTTTATTTGAGGATGCCCGCCGCGCGATCATCCAACGTCTCGCCTCCCACTCGTCAGTCCATCTGATTGCCCTAGAAGGTGAGCTCTTCGCAACGGCCCTGTCCGGGGGGTTTCGCCGTTTAGTGAGGAAATTCGGCAAGCAGAATGCAAAACTGGACGTCCTGCAGAAACCGCCGGCCATAATATTTCGAGGTAGTCCTCGTGACTGCGAACTCGCCAGGTCCCTCATTCTCGAACGCCATCACCCAGAAGCGAAATGCCCGCAAGCCAACAGTAGCCAGGAATGTACCTGCTGCTTTTCGAGTGCCGACGATCCTGTCAAGCTTGACTGCGGCCATACCTACTGCCGTTGTTGCTTTGATGGTCTATGCGAAGAAGTGAAGCACAACAGGGTTCCAATCGTGTGTTTCGGGGACCGCAGCGACTGCGGCCAAATCGTCCCTTTGAATGAGCTCAAGAAACTTCTCGATCACCACCGATTCGAAGCGGTCCTGGAGGCATCATTTGACGCCTACGTACGATCCCATCCAGATAAGATGCAATATTGTCCCACTCCGGATTGTCCGACCATCTATAAGGTCTCTGACGCACCCGCCGTGTTCACATGTGTTAATTGCTTGACATCCATCTGCGTCAAATGTCGACGACTGAGCCACGATGGGCTCGGCTGTCAACAAGCCCACGACGAGAGCGCGGAATCTCGTGAAACGGAGAGGTACAAAAGGGAAAACAACATCAAAGACTGTCCGAAATGCGCCACCGCAATCTTCAAGGAGACGGGTTGTAATCATGTCGTGTGCCGGGGATGTGAGATACATCTTTGCTGGGCGTGCCTGGAGATGTTTGCCGTCGAGGACGAGTGCTATCGTCATTTGCAAACGGTGCACGGGACGTTCGGCGATCTGGATCCGGAGGCATTGCAGAGGGCCGAGCTGGCACGCGTAGGCTGGGACCCGGACGTAGTATTGGGACGGCTCTTGGGAGGGAGGTGGTGACGATGCAGGGCGGCCGGCAATGTCGGCGAGCTGGCGGGCTTGGTGCTGTCTTACTGATTCGTGATATCAATAACGCGCCTCCGGTGCTGGAATTCTCGACACGACGAACCACGAAGACATGGCAGGCGGCCCGTGTGTGCTAAGGACCTTGTGAAGAGAAGCTACTCGGCACATGGCCACAATACGGAAAAGAGGATGAATGGAATGTTCAAAGAGAGCGGTCTAGGTGTGTCACCGTCTACGGGGACTTATGGTAGGGGAACACCATAGTTCAACGACCATTCTGTAGGTCAAGGGAGGAAAAACACACAGATCAGAGCAGAATGCGCCTCGATCCGTATTGGGAGGCAGAGAATCGAATAGTGATGGAACAGGAACGGCCAATGCAGCATTAAGTAGGAAACCTATGGGTATCTTATCCCTTCCGACTCTTGCATTCTTCAGTAAGATTCAAGGACGTCAGTCAATCTTTTCCTCCATGAGGTACAATAACTTCAGTCACCGAGGCTTTCCCTTTGTTGCCTTGAGTTCCTTTCGCCCAGTTCCATATCCATTCAATGCTCCATGAGCTCCAGCACTAACCATGTTGATAATCCAATCTCACAATGTTGATCATTTTGGTTTCCGCCCATCCGATTGACAGACCCGAAACGTTGTTCCTCTTCGACCTCTGCTCAAGAGAGGACCATGTCAGACATCGACTCTTCTCTCCCCAGGTGGTCACTTGTATTAAAGAGTGATTTTGATGTTATTTCTTTTCCCCCATTTTTGCTAGGGAATATCGATGCTCGGAAACATAACAAGAACGCTTGCAATGCACAAAAACTAATCTCACAAGTCTGACGGTAGTAGAAACACTTCTGTGTGTGCTGACAGAATAGTATGACGCGATCGAAGGGAAAGCTGGGAGGATCATTCTATCTTCTTGAGCGTGCGGGACTCCTCAAATCAATGAACATTCAGTATGATTCACCGCTCCATTGCTGGGTCGAGGTCGGATAATGTGAGGTAAATTGTTGGCCCACAGTAGTGGGAGTCGGCGTGGGAGGTGCACATTGGTTGGGGGCGTTGAAGGTCTTTTGTGTCACGCCAAACATTTCCCCCTCAGGAGTGATGGGAGGCGTGTATAGACCGTGCTGGACCAAGGAGGGGAACTGGGGCTTTTGAGGTGTGGCGTAAGTCTGGAAGTATTCAGGGCCGGAGGGTTTGGTGGCTGCTAAAGGCGGGCTGAGATCATATGTCGGAGTCAATGGAGCCCTGGAGGCAGACATGGCAGCCTTTTGAGCAAGGAAGTTGGTCAAGACCCGAGAAACACCGGAGTAGCGCACCGAGGCATACTTCCGTGCTAAAATGCCCGAAGGCTCGTGGACTTTTTGTAACAATTCCATGACAGTGGTGCTGCAGAAGTGAGAACCAAACTCATTGGCGCGAGCTTGGGGTCGACCGAGGATGTGGCGGGCCAGAACAAGAGCCGAAAGGGCAAGAGTGTGCGACTGCTTGGACACAAAGTCTCGGTGGTAGAGGGCGATCTCCAAGATGTAGAGAGTCAAGCTTTCTGTTTCGGGGTCGTAGACATTGTCCTTCACGGCCAATCGCATGAAGGCGTCGACCGTGGGGTGTCCAATGGCCCAACCAAGAGTTGACAGAACATGCCACTCCATTTGCAAGAACATGTCATCATCGTAGAGCGAACAGCACATGGACTTCAACTCTTTAATTGTGGGAACCTTCTCTTTCTTGTCTCCGTACTTGGCCGCGATGAGCAGTGCAGCGCAGCCGACGAGCTGATAGTGACGCTTGTAAACGACGCGTTTCGAGCAGTAGCGATCGAGGAGATTGATTGTAAGAAAGAGAGTCTCGGGTAGCAGTTGGAACGCCGTGTGAGCCTCGACCAAGAAATCGAGGAGGTAAGGCCTCATGTACCACTGAATCTCGGTTTGGATGTCAATTGCGTCGACGTCAGGCACGGTGTCAGCCTTTATGAAATTGTCAGTCCAGAGTCGCGTGACCACTTCTAGAGCTACTCACATCCATCTTCAGCATATGCTCAAGCATGTCTTGTTGGTATTCGTCTGCATCTCTTCTTGACATCTCTGAAGCCATCAGATGCTGACGATGTCTGGCAATTTCCTTTGCGTGGTCTGGGTTCTTGGTGACAGGACGGCGAGGCTCGTCGAAGACTTCGACGATGCCACTTTCGTAGCCGCTGTCGTTGGAGCCGAAGGATGAGATTCTGTTGTTGAAAGCCATGTTTGCAAAAGTCGTGAGATAGGAGGGACAATTATCAGTGTGAAGTGAGGTAGAGGAGAGCTGAGATATTCAGATTGCTAGAGGGGAGAAGATTAACGACGGATAAAAGTGAGTGACAGTCGTGTAGTTGGCAAAAGCTTTGAAAGGAGTGAAATGATCGGACGCAATCAAATGCTGCGCGAGGCTGGAGGTGGCCAGGAACCAAGGGAGTTAAAAAAGTGTCTCTTCTAGACTTGGGAAACTGGAGCGTGCGTGGTGTGGTTAGCTGGCTGATGATAGGCAGGTGAGGTGCTAGGACATACCGAAAGGGAGAAAGGGCACGGCAATGCACAAATCCTTGTTACTAGGGATCAGCACGAATGCTCTTCATCTGGCCAAGGATTGGTATGCCAAGTAGATTGACTGCTCGTGCGTAGGTTCAGCGAAGGTCGAATGAACGACTCCGCCGGGGCGTGATTGGGGCCTTGGATTGGAATGCGGACTAAAGAGGCCACAAGAGGAGACCGGATTTTGCACTGGGAAATCTAAAATGAAGTCAGCGGTGTGAATGAAGGGATGGACAGAGAGCTCTGACCGTGGAATCTGGAAAGCACGTTGGCTATTCTAGACTGTGGTGACCTCGTTTTGCCAGGGAGATGCAAATCTGCTTGGAATATCTCGTCAGTGAACATTTTCCAGGGCGCGTTGAAAATGTGGGGGGGCATGGCAGGAGAAGGGTTAACAAGTCGATGGCTCCAGCCGACGGGAAATGATTGTACGCGTGCCCAGAGAATCGATCGAGGTCCAAAGTACAGATGGTCGTGAGCAACAGTGTCGAATTCCTCTTCCCTGCAGTGCCGTTTGGGCCATGTGTCTCCCTTTCATGGAAGGAGGATCGTCCAGCATCACGGGCTTCAATCCCCCTTCTCAGCATCTGGTCCGGCAGGATAGATGAGCCAACTGCATCCCTTCACGCACGGAATGATCCAGCACGATTGGAGATTGTTCAGGTCCTCCTCTTTCTGCCACCTGCCTAGGGGCTTTTGCTTGGTCCATGTTGGGAGCTCTTCCCCTTGATATCGGTTGGGTGGGGTCCAAGGTAATTACAGCCGAAGGGGACCAAGAAGGAACCAGGGGGGAACCAGAGGATACAATGGGAGTATGCCGGAGCCATTGATGTGTCCAGCGTCTAGGATGCGAAGATGAGAGACAGACTGAATGCCTCTAGAGGCAGGATGCATTGGAGAGGTGTATTGTTTCTTCGGTATGGCTGGACCACAGGATATTGCATCTCACGCCCTCTTCCCCCAATGTCTCAAGCCAGCCACTGCAAGAAGGTCCTTACCTCTTGGATGTGATCGAGGATCTTTCTGTGCCCGAAGACCCAAGGCAGAACGCTATCCAGAACGTTCTGCGTAAACGAGTGCAGGATGGTCAAGAGCAGTGCAGGGTAGGTGGTGCAGCTCGAACACGGCTCAGGAGGAACAGGTCAGAGCTGGGCGTGGGAGAGGAGTCGAGGACATGAGAGATACTCAGCCGAGTCGTGATGTATCCGAAGGTCCAACGACGAGAGGAGGAGAGGGAAAGGAGAGGATAAAAGAGGACGAGGTCAAGGCCTCATGGAATGAGGATTGTGAGAAAAAGGACGGCGGTGGTGGACGAGGAGAAAAAGGAACAGGAGGCCCGTCTGAAGTCTTGAGATGAGGATGAGCCAGAGTGGAGCAATCAAGTGTACGAGATGGTTGGCCCTGACAGCAGCGATTGGGCGCAGGTGCAGCAGCCCCAGACACGGCTTGCAGGGGTCGACAGCACGACAGCCAGGGAATCAGGGACGGCGGCGAGGTGGGCAAAGGTTGAGGTTGCAGCTTGTGCGGGTTGGCGGATTGCGCGACAGCCAGCCAGAGAAGCAAGAGCTCCAGTTGTGCGGGTTCTGGCTCTCCAGAAACGGCGACCAGCCCAGCCGCAAACCACTTGCGTACGATACATGATACCTTTTGGTGATGGTCAAGCTGTATCTGTATCATGAAAGACCAAAGACATGGGCCGCGGGCTGCCTGTGACCGCTATTGTGGCAGCTGGTGATTTGTTCCGCCCGTATCAATGACCAGTGGTGCCCCAAACTCTGTCCTGGTCTCTGGCACGCCTGTTTCCAGGCCCGCCTAGAGCGAGAGGCTCACCGGAGCCTAGGCGGCCATGACGCTGGGAGGTACAGGCACAGACCTTTAACTGGACCACCTAAGACAGTTTCCCCCGCCATCATTGGACTCCTAGTGCCTGGGGTAGCTCAGGTACCTATGGAGGAATGCACACCTATCCAGGCCCTCGGTGTAGGGACCTTCTCTACCACACCACCTCCGTCTGAGGCTCGTGAGACTCACCATCTGTCACTTCACCACCATCGACCTCGCATCACTGACACCAACAAATTTCCTTTTACTTCCTGTCTAGCCTCCTGACGGGCTTGCACAGGAAGAGTGTTCTCCGTCGGTGCAGATCCAAACCCCGACACTTCTGGTAATGAGCTGAACAACCCCTCGCCCATTGTTTTTTCGCGTTACCCGTACGAGTACGAGCAGGCTGTAAGTAATACTTTTGGCCGTGTTTGCCATCCTTTACCCTTTTCTGTCCTGTGTATGTAAAACCCTCCAGCACATCCGCTCTGGTCGCGCGGCTGGCGGTTTGAGCAGAGCGCGTCAAGGCGCGTCCATTGGCCCATGTCGCCGTCAGGTCCTTGTTTTCGCACCTGGCTAATGCAAGCCTGACGGAGCCCACAGTCTTGACCACTGACCAGCTGCTCGGGGCCAAACCTGACCGGCAAGCTGCGAGCGAATTGTCACTGCAAGACCCAAGACACTTGACCCGGCACGCGGGAATTGCTGCTGCGATCTTCGTGATTGACGTGAGATGTTCTGCATGGCCTATCCGGAGTTCGTCCTCTTCTTGTCATCGCTAGGAGAAGACTTCCACGACGGTCATCACCCAAAACTCCCAGCACCTTCTCTCGCCCCGGTCCAACGACCTGAAGCAGGGAGACCGAGCACAACTTTTGATGCTGCACGACTTCTGTTGCCATCCACTGCTGCATTGCATCACCGATTCCAAAGTGACCCCAGGATTGTGCGACTGTGGGCGGCAGGGATATGGTCAACTAGCATTGATTTGTCCCTGGTGTGCCCTGAGATCCAGAGATCTACTCCGTACTCCGTTCCCTATCTCGACAAGTTTGTGGGCATCAAGCAATGTGAGTGGCCAACATGTACCGGAAGAAATCCAGCCACCCCAAATGGTTCCAAACCTTCAATCGCCAGTATATGGCGTGCAGTCAGCTGTCCCGCGAGGTGATAATCTTAGAGGCGGGTTGCTCGTTTCTGGCAAACTCTCATCTCACTCAAGCGAGCCGATCTGATAAAGCTGCTCCCTTTTTTTATTTTTACAGGACCCCCTGTCATTCATTGCAAAATGTCTGTTTGGTGAGATCTGCAAGCAGAGACTTGCCGTCCACCCTTGGTTACAGAAGTCTGGTGCAGTTTATTCGAGCGGTTACAGATCCGTGTAACTTAACACGCATGAACCTCCTTGACCGTTTCCTCTTGGTGATACATTCCACCTGGACCTTACCCACCCATTGACATCAGCAGGCGACTAGAAGGCCCCATGGGTTTTGGACCGATCCATCTCCTCAGCACTGTCTGCCTGACAACGGTCAAGTCTTTGCACACCGAGGACGAAGCTTAGTCTGAGACGATATGGAGCCCTGACTCCACGCACGACACCCATTTCTTACGAGAAACGAAAAGAAAAAGAAGCAGAGAAAAAAGGTTCGAAGGGCACGCGGGTGGCGGAGATGACGCTGAGACAGCCGAGCGCTGCAAAACTCCAGATGGATCAGCACGTCCTGGCTGGCAATAGGCTGTTATATGGAATCAATATAATTTCAGATGTGTTGAAACTCATCTTTCGATCTCCTTACTATTCAATCTCTCGATGCAAAACACTGGGCTCCATCTGCTCTGTCGACGGTGTTTGGCGTTGTTGTCTGCGCTTTCAACAGCCAGATGCAATTTGGCCCCCGTCATCCAGCCCAACAATCCCCCCCAATTGTCATTTATTATTATTGAACCTCGTCCCCCACAAATGAGCGGAGTAGACGCGCAGGCTTCTTGACACGCGACTCTCCAAATTGCAGCAAAGAATATGGCCGCGTTGTTTGCATACTCTGACGCGCCATGGATGCGCCGAGGGGCCTTTAGCCCCCGATGCTTCCATCCTCCTCAGATCTGTTCCGAGTCCTTTCGGGTATGGGCGGATCAGCGGCGGAGCTTGACCATCAGCTCAATTCTGGGGAGATACGACGGTCGGCGACATCTTGAGCTCCCTCGGTGCAGAATTGGACTCGCTATGGTTCTCTTTCCCAATGGCTTCGGAAAAGTCACTACCAGAGTTATCGAGCAATGCTGTGCCGAATCGCAAGGTTTGTCGCTGTTTATCTCGCTCGTTCCGCCTTGCCGGGCTCCTGGCAGCGTCTTGGGCTTTTGTCGTCTTTGATCAAGGCTCCTCCTCCAATGGCACAGCGCCAGAGGCAAGACGCCAGTCTCGAGGCAGCCTGAGTCGCTCAACAGACCACTAACAGATAGGAAAAGGTCGTCGTGTCAAGAGGTCTTTGCAGCCAAACAGCATCTGCCGAGAGCATTTCCACAAATTGGCATTGGTGGCATCTAACGCCCTCAGCCCTCGTATATCGATCGCCTAGACCGCCATCGACCGTTGCGGCAAACGCATGCGCTGGTGCTATTGGCGGTGGAATGCTCGTTTACAGAATCAACGCACTACCAGCTCGCAGCTCTGAGGGGAGTTGCTGTCCACCGCTGCTGGCTACAAATGATGCCTTTTCTCATCTAAGCTTTGTTCAATCTCATTACAGCACTGACGCCGCCAGAAGACTCTACAAGGGCCTCCAGTCTCTGCGTGCGCTTCAATGAGCTCGACCACTCGGAAGTCTCCATCGACTCTTGTGCTGTCGCTCGTTCCGCTTTTGATCGTTATCCAGGTTTCCCGCAGGTCATAGACAACCTTTGCGAACTGTGTCCTTTGTTGTCGCAAGAATTGCACTGTGGAATTAGCGAAGGCTGGCGCAAGGCTGGACGCGGTTCGAGTCCCAATGGAATCCCAATAACAGGCGTTCGGTCTTTGAGTTGAGAGATGTCAGCATGTCACTTCGTCCCGCTGGCACAATATGATGTGAGTGGTCGTTCTTGTCCATCTCTCAGCAGTTTTGATTTACGCAGAGATCCCCTAAAAGACGACCTTTTGTTGCTTGACGATGATGATGCACTGACCTTGAGTGCTGCCAGTGGAGTCTACACCCGGCGCTCGAGCCTGTTGCGATCCCATGGAATCCCACGGCATATTGCCTGGTGTCGGGGTTCTGCGCGGTCTCGCTCTGGATGACGGTCGAACTGACGCTGCAGGTGTTTTTCACGTTCCGGCGCCACAAGGGCCTGTACTTCTGGTCGCTCCTGGTCTGCACGTGGGGGGTGGCGTTGCACGTCCAGGGCGTCATCCTCAAGCTCTTCAACGAGAGCAACTGGATCATCTCGAGCATCATCTTCAAGATCGGCTGGGTCGGCAACGTCACCGGCTTCTCCCTCGTCCTGTACTCGCGGCTCAATCTGGTGGTGCACGACCGCCGCATCCGGCGCGCGGTGCTGGCCATGATCATCACCGACGCCGTCCTCCTGCACACGCCCATCATCATCTTCGACTTTGGCATCTCGTCGCCGCACCCGGGCGTGTGGTACACGCCCATGAAGGTCATGGAGCGGATCCAGGTGGTGTGGTTCAGCGTGCAGGAGACCATCATCTCGCTCATGTACATCTGGTGCACGCGCGATTTCCTCAAGGACATCTACTCGCGCCAGACGCACCGCGTCATGCAGCTGCTCATCAGCGCCCAGGTCATCGCCATCGTCTTCGACGTCGTGCTCATCACCGTCGACTGCAACAACATGTTCACCCTCAAGGTCGTCATCCACCCGTTCTGCTACGCCGTCAAGCTCAAGCTCGAGTTCATCGTGCTGAACCAGCTCCTCGCCCTGATCAAGCACGGCATCGCGCCCAGCAGCTTTCCCGCCCCAGATGAAGAATCTCCCGATGCCAGCGGGCCGACGCCCCCGAGGTCTGGCGCCCGGGTCGATGTCAAGCACGGATCCTTTGTGAGCACCGACATCACCGCCACCGATGCGCAGGACAATGGGGGACAAGAGGCTTCGCGGAAGGAGTCCGTGCTCCTGCCCTCCGGCGGGCTGGGGAGGGACATGGAATACTATAGGAGGAGGCGCAAGAACGGCACCGCCGATAACGAGAATGTTGATTCTGGCGTTACAGGAGACAATAATACCAACAACAGGAACGAGCCGACGACGGGCCAGGCACTACCACATCCTGACCCCGACGCAATTGAACCCCTTCCGCTCCCGTCTTCACCCCAAACACCCGCTCCGCCACCTCCCCCGACATCCGTTGGTCCTTTTGTATCAAGAACCCTGGAGAGACCGTCGTTCGAACCCCAGGCGCCCGCGAGATCCCTCTCGGACCCGACACCTCTGGGCCCCGCGCAAAGGGAACAGGACTCGGAGGCAATAGTGGCCGAGATCGAGAGGCACTATCTGGGGAACTGGAATGGGTAGCATCGAGGTCTTACGATGTTAATGTGTACACGAAAAAACGAACGTCATGCAACGGGCTAAATCGGAGCGTCTCACTGTTTTTCTGCGTCCCAGATATCATGGACTTTGCTTTTGCGTAGAGCCTTTGTTTGGATAGTAGACACCCCCTAATTCATACTCGATTGAGAATCTCGACCTTTCCGAGCTCAATTCCCTTAATTGGATGTATGCAATCTGTCACCGTCAGCTGACCTGAGCTATGCCTCGAGCCTTCTCGAGCCGTGGCCCCCAAGCTTAGATTCTGGGCTCCCCGTTTCTGCAATATCACACCCTCGAAAGAGCCCATTCCCAATAGCAAAAATGTTCCCACTCCATAGGGTTGTACGAGCAGGTATACGACTGAGTTGAACTTTACGTCGCACAAAGTATGTCGTACCAGATATCCGACGACGACGGAGGGGTGAGTGTTTGTGAGGGATTTGATAGTGACTGACCGTCTACGCTTGCCGCTGTTCAGGATATTCCCCCGTCGCTACTGGGTTGAGCATCGCAAGGGTCCTCAGGAATCCAGATGCCGGTTCTGCATGCGGGTTCTGCGGACAAGGGGCTCATCGAGACTACGGAGCCGGGAAGCTGGTACGAACAGACGAGGCACGTTGGAAGTCACGACGAGGACAGACGAGACAACGTCGACACGGAAGACGAGCAGCTCGGTGACTGCCTCAAGGAGTGGGCTGTCAGAGAAGGGGTCATCGAGGAGGGTGAAGACAAGGGGGAGTACAGCCTTGTTTGGGGGGGCGGAGATCCTGAAGTGGCTTTTCCCAGATCGAGAGCCAGGAACGCGGATTGAGGTTTCCATTTCTGCCTCCATCGTGGCCCTTGCGTCAAAGCAATGAAATAACCCGACGGTCCTCGCAATACGGACCCGTTCGTCGTCACCGATACTAGAAGCATAGACGACCGTCAGGCTGAGCCCGGCGAGCGAGCCCAAGACATCAACTCCCTATCCAGAGTGTGTCGAGCCCAGAAAGATGGCGTCCCGCGGCTCCAATCTTCAATTCTTGCCTGCCATCGTCTCTGCAACCTCGACCGTCTCAACATACCCGCCCTTATCCTTGTCGGCAACCAGGTCGTGCTCGTCCAGGACATTCATGCGCCCGAAATGCGAATCGATCTCCTCGAGTGACTTCTTCGCCGTCTCGGGGCACGCGAGCACCACGATCGCCAAGCACACGAGGTTGAAGGCCATGAAGATAAAGTACGTGCGGGCCCCGACATTCTGCACGGCGACGGGCCAGACTTGGCCGACGATGATGGCGCCGATGGATTGGCCTGACGCGGCGATCCCGAGACCTTTGGCACGCACGTTGGCTGGGAAGATCTGAATAAATAGAAGACGTTCGTCAGTGCGGAAAATATGGAAAGGGAAGGGGTCGAGTGGAGAATTTTAGAAAGGGATGTGAAAGGAGATTCAGCCTCGTTTCCCTGGGTTATCAGGCAGATGGAAGAACCAAGAGGATAGCATACCTCAGACGAGTAGATCCAAGTCACCGGACCCGAGCCAATCGAGTAGCCCAGAGTGAAAAAGAAGATGAAAAAGATGTTGCAGTAGTTGGCCGCACTGTTGATCTGGTTCGGGTACGCCGTCTGCAAGGCGCCGTTGATCTGAGCATTCACCGCCAAATCGTCAGCGTTCGTTCACAAATACCTCTTTTCTTCAGGGTGAAGTAGAAAAATACTTTGACTGGGGGTATTCAGGGATAAGAGGGTGTGTCGTGACTGGCGACTCACCATCAAACTGAAGGCCATAATCGCCGCACTGGATGACAGCGCCCATCGTCTCCCGATGCGGTCAATCAGCAACAGCCCAACAATCGTACATGCGACCTGCACTGTGCCATCAATGCCACTTGCCAGCAGACTCAGTTCCTTCGATGTACCCGCTGCCCGAAAGTTGGACGGCAAATAGTACCGGATCCCCGAGGCGCCGCTCATCTGCTGTAGGAAATTCAACGTCCACGCGCGCCAGAGCCGTGCGAATAGGGCCCGGTTGGTGAAGAGCACACGTGCGGATTTGATCGAGTGGGACTTGTGCCAGAGGATGTTGGCGTGGATTTCGTCGAGCTCAGATTGGATAGCCACCACATTCGACGACTGGCCGCGGAGGGCGGCAAGGGCTTTGGCAGCGTCTTCGACTCGATCCTGCTCCATCAGCCAACGAGGGCTTTGGGGGTGTTAGTCAAGCATCACCAGAGACCAGGGGGATAATCCAATCTCTTCGAGCGTCGAGGGCGGGCAGGGGTTGTGATCTCCTTCTAGGCTGCTTACCTCTCAGGAAAGAACGGAATCAGCACAAGATAGAGCACTGCAGGGACAAACTGCATAATAACGCTCAAACGCCACTGCAAGTTGACACCTCTGCCTGTGGTCCAGTGGCTAAAGCCGTATCCAATCCAAAATGCGACGCTGATCCCGGCGACGATGCCTATCTGATTGCACGCGACAAAGGCTCCTCGGGTCCTGGCAGGGCTTATCTCGCTGAGGTACAATGGCACAGCGCAGGCGACTAGACTGGTGCCGAGGCCTGCAATAATGCGCCCGATAATCATCATGGAGAGGTGTACGGCACCGGCTTGGAGGGCTGCTCCCACGCAGAGGATGGAGACACCCCAGAAGCCCGTCCAACGACGGCCGCATTTTTCGTTGACAGGACCCGCAATGAAAGCGTATCCAGCCCAAGAGCCTGAATTCAGGAAGTTATCAGCTTTGTTTCGCTTGTTCAACCACGAAGGGGTGCGAAACTGTGGTGGAAGATTCGACAAAGGATGAACAAGAGTATCATCGAGCTTCAATCGACTATTAAATCGAGAAGCGATGTGAGTCGCATACCAGCATAGTAAATTGCAGTGATCAATCCCGTCTCACTAGATGACGGATGGTGCAATGACGAGATGAAGCCGGGGGCAACGTAGATGGTCGAAATGATGCCAATGTCATAGCTTGATCCATACCAGTTAGCCTTGCACATTTCGTACAGCGACAAAATATTGCATACCAAGGGGAACAGGGAAAAGGATCCATTGAGGATTGATTTCGACAGGTAGAAACTCACCCCCAGAATATCGCCCCCAGGGACATCCACGCCGCTGCCAAGTAGAGTCGCCAGTTTGCCTTGGGCGACGACGTTGTCGCCATGATTTCTTGGGGAATGGGCTTGAGCCGCGGAGACGCCTGTGATCAGGGGATATCTCTTGGGACAGCCTTGGAGGACCAGAATGAAGAAAGGGTTGGCACTGTGTGTTCAAAGGGCGAAGCGGCCTCGACGATGCCTGAGCCCCGTCCGCTGATAGTGCGAGCGGACGATGAGAATTATATAGCGATCAGCGTCATGTTCCTTTCCATGCCAGCCTTCCTCGCTTTCCTTCCACTTCGGCCCTTCCTGCTCGTCAATGACAGGTGATTAGGAGGAGAAGAGGCTCGCATCGGGACGGAATACGAATGGCGTGTCCACCAACATGGTTTCTCCCACTCATTGTCGGCGCCAACCCCATGAAGAGTCGAGAGTTTTGTGGGGAAGCGAGCTCATGCCGTGTCTTTTGTGGAGGAGAATGGCACGCGCATCCGAGACGGAGGGGCCTAGCGCTCGAGCTAGAGGAATCGAGGCTGCGTCGGAGGCTCCGTCTCTTGAGTGCGGCAAGCAATGGTGGACTGAGAGATGCCGGAGAGGGCAATGAGGCGGTGGACGAGGCGAAAAACACGCCAAATGTGAGAAATGTCATGTGTGGTGCAAGCTGAAATGATGGAAAGGTCACTTGCTGTTTTGCGACAAGAGTAAGCAGAAGGATAGCTGCAAACAGTCGACTCCCTCACCTCTCCCAATGGATGCTGAGGATTCCCCCGACAACACCGTCCTAATACACCACTCTACCCGCCGTCTGACTCCAACAATCTCGCAACACACGTTTCACCCCTTCCCACAGAATCGAGATCACATCTCATGGCGCCCATCGCAGCACCTCGAGCTCCAATTCCCGGCGGATCTGGATCTGATAGGGGGCGAGAAAGCGCTGGATGATGAGCGGCGCAGGATCAGGGTGACGCCTTGTAGTCCTCCACTTCGGATGACGAGACCACCAAGAGATGGCGACTGTGAGAAGGAGCATGAGGACGACGATGGGATGGTTGTCTTCATCACCCGCAGCGGCAGTGTGACGGGCTTGGTCGGCCTTCCTCGATTTCGCAGTTTGACCGTGCAGGTCGTCGGTGCTGGTGGCGGGTTTGATCTCGGGGGACTCAGTTCTTCTTCCTTGCCTCCGCCTCATTCTCCTCCCGCCTGTTTAGTCTGCGTCGCTGGTGGGATAGGAATATGCGCTTTCCTCTCTTTCTCCTCAATCTCGCGCAGTCATGGAGTCCCGAGACGAACCCTTCTCTGGTCTCTGCATGCCGATGATTTTGAACTCTTGCCTCATATTCTCCGGCAAAGATTTCTTGACCGTTGCCAGTGGACGACGATACGCATCTTCCTCACTAGCGGGGTTGAACCGCTTGAGCGCAAGACGTTGACATCTCTTGGGCAAAAATGCGACGACATCGCTGCACAAGTTCGCAAGTCTGGAACACCGACGACCCTGCACTTTAGTTTCGGACGCATGGCAATGGCCGATCTATCTGCGGCGGCGACTGCGGAGGATCGAGAGCTTGGAGAGGGGAAAAGCAGTAAGAATACCCTCTTATCACATCCAGCAAGCCCTCCAACGGTTCTTTTCTGCGGGAGCAAAGCGTTGGAATGGCAGATCAAAATGTGGGCATTGAAGATGACGCCGCCGTGGCCTATTCAGACAACCCAGATACAGAGATAGAAATATAAAGAGGAAGCAATGAGTTTCTAAAAAGCCACTATCTGACTCTGTGTTATTCCCTCTGTCTAGCTGCGGTACATCCCTTTAGCATCTCCTCGCCTACGAGGCGAGTCAAAGTATTTTGGCTGCAGCGAATATTCAGTTCTCGTACGCCCGGACCTCAAATATGCCGCCCCTGACGTTCTCACCCCCATTCAGAGCAAGGATTTCGATCCCAATCGCGCTCGTCAGAGGGCCAGCACTTTCCCTGTCTTTTACCAAAGTAATCTCGCGGCGTGTGACATGATTGTCATCTTCTTCATAAAGGATATGCGGCGGCCCCTTGGCATCGAGACTGGTCAAGTCGACCACCCGCCAGGATCGTACGCAGAAAGGAATGCTGTTCTCGGGATGTCCTCTCAGAACGGATTCCATAGCTGCAAGAGGAGTCAGCAGGACCATAGTAGGACAACAATCGGCAATGAGACCACTAACCATGATCAAAATCTGTATCAAAGCATACCACCAGCCGGCCAATTCTGACTGGCTGATCCCAATATATTTTCAACATCTGCCCTTCGCCTCCTTCCTGCTGACACAGAGGAGCCCAACAGTTCGCTCTCTTGGTAGGGCGGGAAACACCGTTTCGCACATTTTCAGCTGCCCATGCTTCGACTGGAGGGGTCACAGTCAATGCGATGTTGTGACCCATCGGGCGACGGACTGGAGTCCATCGCTCGAAAGTGTCAATCCCAATTCCGTCTGGCGGACTCTGGGTGCACTCATGCTCGACGGTCATCATCCCGGACACCCGACTTAGTGAAGTACGAACAGCGACAGACTCGTTTTCTATCAGGCACAGAAAGACATACTGATCCTGCGGATTTTCGACGTCGAACTCCACTTGAATGGCATTCTCGCCACTTGGAATGTGAACTGTTTTTCGGCCAAGGATGACTTCGGGTGTGTAATTGTACGGCTTCCTAGATCCACGCAGCTCCACCGTGAGCTTCGTGTCTTCAACCGCTTCGACGGTAAATTCAAAGGCTGGAACTGATCCCTTTGAGAGAGGTAACATTTGAGCCAAACTCCTCGTCAGGACTTTTGGTGGTCCATTTGCTGGAAGCTCGCTGAGCTTGAATTCAGTTGACGCAGTGACCTCACGGGCTCCTTTGATCAAGTCCAACGGGTCATTCAGCTTGTAGCCAGGAATGTATTGTCCAGATCGCATCAGTTCGAGCTGGAGCAACTGGATCTTGTCCTTTTGCAACAGTGCGATTGGATCCACGCCGAGTTTCTTGCAGACAGCAGCAGCCATTCCCAAGGCATTCCCATTGTTCCCCGAGGTTGCCATGACTCGAGTCGATCCGAATGCGACATGGGTCGCTGAAATAATCCTACCACCGTACAAAAGGTTTGGAATCTGAGAACAAACCATTGTGGAGAAAGGGATTTGATAGACGCCCTTCGAATGCCACTGGGTGCAACCGTCAATTTCAGAGAACACTCCATCGGCCGGATGCAGGTCAATCGACCAACCCCCATATGAAACCGCGTCTGGGTGGTAGCGTTGCTCGATGATATCCTGTTGCTTGATGGTGTAAGGGCCCATGAACCTTCGAGACTCTCTCTTGCCAGGGATCATTCCCACCCATTCCAGCGTGAGGTTTTCGGCTTGCGGGAATTTACCCGAGTTCTTAAAGTAGTTCCAGACTCCATATACAACTCGCCACAGTTCCCATTTGATCTTTTCCGTATCGTGGATTGTGTCGAGTCGTCCTCCATACTCGATCCACCATAACTGGCAGCCCATTTCTTTGACAGAGAAAGTCTTGTACCTGGGAATTTCACTTTCAACATCCGCGAGAGCATATGATGGAGCCACGTATTTGACAGGTCGACCGGTGTCCTTCGAGTAGAAGTAGATCGAGTGGCCAAGAAGGTGTCCATATTCGGAAGAAGGGGCAAACAATTCTCCAAATTCTTCTTTCAACTCTGCGCCAATCCTGAAAGGGGCTCCGGCGAGGAACGAAAGGGCGCCATCTCCGGTGCAATCCGCGAACAGAGAGGCCACAATGTCAAACTCAAGAGAAGTCTGCGAGGAGAAAGCCCGGACGCGTTCAATCCTGTCCCCGTCCTTTCCGCAGGCCACCAGAGTGGTATTGAGCAATAGATCGATGTTTGGTTCCGAGACAACCTTGTCCAGAAGTAGACTGTCGAGGATAACAGGGTTGCCCTCCGGATTGCGATACATATTCTCGGTTAAGATCTCGTCAACAAGGCCACCCTCTCGGGCATATCGATTGTTGTTGAACATATGCGACGTCGCTCCCAAAATCCATAGCCGTACTTCGGATGATCCATTCCCTCCCAACACTGGCCTGTCCTGGAGTAGGATAACTCGAAGTCCTTGTCTCGCCGCTGTGACAGCAGTGCATACACCAGAAAGGCCACCTCCGCACACACATAAGTCGGCAGTGAGCTCCTTTCGGCGGAAATTCCGGCTGGAAGTCGGCGGTTCTCGAATCAATTCCAGCTCAGGTAACAGCCGTGATGGGGCCATGTTGGGGTGTGGTCAACTTCAAGGCGAGTTCTTTTTGTCAAAAAAGTGCACAAGACGGCACTTATCTAGGGTGGCAAGTCGTGAAAAGGCGGACGAGAGCCTCTTTCATAGATTCTGGACTGATGCTCGGAAACCAGTGTGTCGAGATATTCACATCCGCAACACGACTCTCACCTTTTCACTTTCGGGCTTTTCCACATCACCGACCCTTCGAAGTCTACTAGGGTTCCACCAGCATAAGCCGGCATCTCCATTCGATCTCTGTAACCAAAGTAGTTCGTGCCATAGGCTTCACAAGGGCGTAGGGGATGCTGTCGGCAGGTCCGTCTCGGAGGATCCGTATCTCTAGAACCATGTCAGTCACTTCCTGCGTGGAGATTGGTGCTGGTTTGCCCCAACCAACCACAAATCTCAAAGAGCAGCAAGGAACGGACAAGAACCGATCTTCTGCAAAGAGTTGGTCGAGTGGACTGCCAATAACTGAGGTTTGCAGTTTCTGCACATCCGCATTCGGTGTCACATGATTTGAAGCGATTGGGGTTGCAGCTCACGACTCCAAAGGAACCTCCGTGAACTTCAGTTGCATCGAGATTCTCATACCACAGAAATGGATGGCACTTCTCTCTAGTTGATTGGCTGTGCCTCAGACACATGCATTTGTCGAGCTGCTTCGGCAAAGAAATCGAGGCCACGCACAGCAGCATACAGAGAATGCAAGCAAACGCCAGCGCCGACAGTCTCTCATCGCCACCCTTCTCGCACAGTCCAAGCGGACGACTTTCGGACGTTTCTCTTACGGTCAAACAGCTGCAGTCTGCATGTGCGTTCTGCAAAGCTCGAAAGATCCGGTGTGACGGGCAGTTACCTGCGTGCAGCGGCTGCCGCAAGTATGGACGAGCGTCCAGCTGCTCCTTGAATGAGAACGGACAAGGAGCTGAGCGCGACTATGTGGCCTACCTTCAATCCCGCATCCATCGATTACGGGTTGCACTCCACAAGGACGTAGATCAGGGGCAACAAGGAAGTGCTCTTCGGAGAGGTACGACGTTGTATCAACATGGCCCGGCCGCCTCAATCCAAGGTTCGTTTGAATCAGCGAGGCGCCAAAGTCCTCGCAAAAGACAGGTTTCGAAGGGACTGACATAGACACTGATAGGTTCTGAAGCGGGCGGCGGGACCAATGTGGTACACGATTCTCAGAGACACCAGAAGTCCCAAATCGACCGGCTAATATCCGAGATCGGGGCCCTGCCCATCCTTGCCTCGTCGTCGGATCCTTCATGCCTCGACGGTCCTCACCTAGCTACCATTGTGTTAGCAGCGGCCTCCGACTCAATGGATGTGCCTTCTGTCATCGAATTGAGCCAGCAGGTCGAAATTCAAGCCCTTCTCCCTAGGGCCAATACTGCCAGAAAATTGGCAAACCAGTATTTCGCCCGTGTGTATCCACGTCTGCCCTTTTTCTCAGTCCAAGGCTTCTGGTCACACTTCAGGCTCGTGTACAACGACACGGCTTCTGACTCATCCCGCACGGATGACATGTCCAATGCTCAAAGCCTGTCCCGACCGCCCGGCCACGAGTCAGAAGATGGCCTTGACAAAGTAACCAATATTGGTTATTCATATTTCACAGTGCTGATTGTATGTGCTATTTCAACAGCATCGCTCTCACGTAATGTCGATTCTGTGATTTCCCTTAGTGCTGCTGAGAGCTTCCAAGCCGCCCTGCGATTCCGTGAGTACGCAATTCTTCCAAACACAATTGTTGGCTTACAGGCAATCCTTTTCCTCATTCAATATGCCACCCTAAACCCATCACAGCTGAACGCCTGGTACCTCGTTGGAGTCGGCATGCGCATCTGTGTCGACCTCGGACTGCACCAAGATCCCAGTGGTCCATCTATTGAGATGAGCGGCAACTTGCTAGAAACAAGGCGCCGGCTGTTTTGGTCTATGTATTCATTTGACCGCTCAATCTCCCTCGGCACTGGACGGCCTTGTGAGATCTCTGATCAGGTCATCCACGTGGACGTGCCCCATTTCAGCATCGGATCTGAAGCGACCGAAAATGAAATCTCGGGATACAAGCAGAGATACCATGTCTTGAGACTTCAGTCTCTTGCATACGAGAAACTGTACATGTCAGAAATAACAGAGAATCCTGTTCGGCTGGTTGAAGAATTGGTGGAGCAGTTCGAGGATTGGGCTCGGAAAAATACCATGTTCATGTCCGAACATGCTCGACTTTTGCTCAAGAGCGAATGGTCTCAGGGCATGATGCTCATCTACCGTCCGTGTCGGGCTATCCGAAAACGGACGCCAGAAGATCTCCGGGAACTGTGGAGGGCATCCCTCAGCTTCGTAAAGGCATATCGTGAATTAGTGGAAGGAAATGAGATCTTTTATGTCCAAATCGCCTCAGCGAAGGCATATACTGCGGGCCTTGCCATCATATATGCCTACTGGCAGCTGCGGCATATTCAGAAGGTTGACGTTGATCCACCAGAGACAAATACCGATCAAGTCGATGCTGCAGCTCCAACACAATCGCTTGACTTGTGGAGGGGAGTTGCTGATGTCAATTTCATGTTAAGATCGCTTTCAGATCGATGGGAGGAGGGTCGTCTTCTGGCCAAAAGATTTGAAAAGCTGAGCACTGCAGCTGTGGAGTTGTTGATAAAACCGCAGGCCGAACAAAGCCAGGGTATTCAGGACATGGAGTCGCACATGCCCAAGGAAGTTGTCAACTTCTGGCATCATTCAGCTCCGACAAGATTGCAACCTTTCGACACACTTCGAGACAAACAAGGTGGATCGGATTCGCGCAATGAATTGCAAGACCTGGTCTTGGAAATTACCAAAGGGAAATCTGCTAGGTAGCATGCATGCAGACGAGGTTGCTTTTTGTTATATCGACGGTAGGAATGTGGCATGTTGTTGTATTCATGTCATCTCAAGATCGCCTTCGAAGTTCAAGGCGCTCTCCATATAGAAGGGCTCCATAAGATCGAAATCGCCAAAGGTGGCCATGTCATCATATGGCAGTCGTCCAACGTTTGCGAAGTACTCAAAAGTCCCAAACTCATCGAAAGACTGCTGGAATGCCATTGAGGGACCCCAATCCTTCCGAAACTCGCCAGGTTGTATGTGGTCGGATCCAAGAAGATTGTTTGGGTCGAGTCGGGCATTTGATGCTGGCAGACCCGACAACGCGCTTTCAGTGCCAGATACTCCGGTACTCTCGTTGTTTGCAGCAGAAGTTTCGCGATACATGGTCTCATTAGGGCTTTCTTGTCGAAAATCCTGTTGGGAGCGCAAGCCTGTCCAGTCCGCTCGAGGAGCTCTCGGTTGCAACTCTGACCTATTCTGGGTACCTGGGGATCCGTTGGTGCGCAGTGTCAACCATGTATCAATGGCTGTCGAAGGTAATGTTTGAGAAGTACTCGAGCCAGCTGCACGAGAACAAGACTGTAAAATGCCTTTGATCTCCCTTTCCACCAATTCCGTTGTCTGTCGTGCCAGAGTGACAAGGATATCCCTTGCTCGACTGACTTTTGGCCACGTCTTGATCATTTCGTTGAGTACGTTCTCCCACTGCACCAAGCAGCTCTTTATTGTGGTCCAGTCACGCTTTGCTTCTGCACGGACATCCGAACTTGTCCGAAGAGCAAACAGAAGAGTTATTCCTGCCGAAAGTTGATATTGGAGATCGAGCCAAGTGAATCCAGCTACCCCTGTATTTTGCCGAATGAACGAGAGCTGGACGGTATTTTTGGATGCTGTAAGGCAAGTCAGAAGTTGCTCTGGCTCCAAATCATGCCGATTGGGCGAAGGCCGGTTCAAGAACAAAAGCGTGTTGTAGTACCAGTAGGTCCACCAGTCTAAATCTTGAAGTCCTCCGTTCTCCAGTCGTCGACTTTCGTACAGCCAGTCATCCAAGCTGGAGGACATTTCGCAGGTCCAGGCCTGAAGGTCGTCCTTGTTAAGTTGGTGATTCAGTCTTGTTGATCCATATAGCTTGAGCACCATCTGGCTCTGAATTCTCTGCAAACGCAGCCAATGTATCACCTGATCGCGTTTGTCGATCGACACGGTTGAATATGGATACTTCACATCGATTGTTTCCTCGGTGAGTGTAAACGGTCGTCCAAGAATAGTGCTCAAGGTCCTGTCGAAGGAGTAAGTGACCCAGAACAGACGTCGCTTTGTGTCGATCACTCTATCTTCTGCATCATTCTGGAAATCGGAACCAGGAGACAGGATTGAATCTTCGTTATGCAGCCCAAGATCCACACACATTCTGGTGCAGAGGCCAGAAATGTACCAAGTCGGCGTTTTGGTCTGAGTGAGCAATGAGTAGAGAAGCAAAAGTAGAACACACTGCAGTGCTTGGGTATCCTTCTTTTGCAAGATGGCAGGAAGATCCAATAATGCATGACTAGCATAAGTCTCAGCCAAGGCAGCGGCGTGGGGATGGCTCCTGGAGAGACAGGACAGTGAAATGGCAATCACCATTGTGACCATGAACCGAGATTTGACGCGGGAAGCATCAGAGAGAGTCGGGATTTCCTGCAAAAATTCATCCTCGATCAAGATTGGATATTGAACTTGAAAATGGGAGAAAAAGATAGCCGCGAGCTCTTGGATGGTTGCGTGACCTGGCAGGGCCGCCAGCTCATTCAACGGAGAGCAGGAAATGTCATTCGCGAGGACCGGACTCTCATGGACAGAAAATGCATCCAAGTTTGGGTCGTTCTGCCGAGCAGTCTCCAGAACAGCTCGTGCAATGTGTAACCCGCTTGAGTCTCCCAGATAATGCGCTTCGCCTCGGGCACCTCCTAGATCGATCAAGTCGGCTTGGATGCTGCCGATTCTACTACCAAGAGCCGGATGCCGCCCAGATGTTCTCGAGGTAGGATCAATCGTATAATTGGCCTGTGCCGCTTCCGCGGCCAGAAGCTGAGCATCGCGGGAGGTCTCGGAATGGAGACTTGCTGCGTCTCTCGGATGAAACGAGCTTTCTGCAAGCAATTTGTCGTGTTCGAGTTGAAGCTGTTCCAATTGCGCCTCTAGGTCGCAGATGGACTGTCGTGGAACGTTGGTTTTCGTACTTGGATCGAAGTAGAAGCAGGAAGAGTTTGCCCGAAGGCATGGAGTGCAGCGTGGACGCCCAGTGTCACAACGTGTTTTCCGGCTCCGACAGCGATTGCAGGCGGGGATGGACTAGTCGAGAGTTGTTAGCAGCGAGAAGGATTTCTGTGCGTTGGATGCAGCGTACGCGATGCATTGGTGCGCTGGTACGCATCGTCACTGAAGCACATGGTGCGAAGCTGTCGACAACAAACTGTTCAGATCGAGGGAATCTTCAACATTCGCATCGATGATCAATTTCGGGATCGCTCAACTGATTGGAATGTAGGAAGCATGCAGGCTCAAGTTACATACAGAGTTCGAACACGTTGAATACTAGAGAGGGAAGTTGTCTCAGTCGACGTCGTGGCCGATGCCGCCTCGCCGCTACCTCACCATGACAAACACCACAAACATGCCCAGCCCATACATTGTCCTCCCGCTAGTGCTTTGGCTACTCCATACCTGACAAGACATGGAGTCGCATCTGTGTTCGAGACACGCTGATCTCGGCAATACACAATGAGCCAACGTCTGCCTCGCAGTAGCCCTTGATGCAGTATGGGGAATCACTACGGAGTACAACTTCGTGCGCCATCGGAACAATCCGCTTCCGCAAAACTCGCACAACCCTTCTCCTCCCTCCGCGAATTGTGCGCTCTGATTGGTGGAAGGGTCGATACTTCTCGAGCACACCAGGCTCCATTCCATGCAGAGGACCGGTATCTCATTACATATGCCGCTTCTAATTCCAGGCAATGAAATCTCCTAGTGGTCATCAGTTCAAGAGGAAATTATTTTTGGTTCACCTGGCAAGGGCTCAACCACCTCATGCTCAACAAGAGTAATTCCCCGAAGGACCAAGATTGCCAGGCCTCGCAGGCTCAATATGTTGAAGAGGAGGAATCGACACCGGCACTCGAGGAGCGGATGATTGCTTCTGGCAAATTGAGAGTTGTCAAATTTGTGAGTTACTGCAGGAGGAATGAGGTTCGTCGAATTGAAAAATCTATGCTTCTGGGTGGAATTTCCAGGACCAGAGATGAAATTAGGGATCTGTGATCGTATTGGAAAGTCCCCTGGAAAATTCTTGCAGATAAATCGCTGTGCGGGCTAAGATGTGCGCCAGATGGCACCTCAGCACCAGCATGTGAAGTTACTCATCCTCTTCTTCTCCCACTGCTACTGCTCGGTCTTGCTGTCGCGTTGGCCTTGCCCGGACTCAACCTGTTCGCCTCCTCGGTGGCCTTTGCAGCACTCCCTTTTTGTCCAACGCCTTGCAATCCACTTTTGCCCTTCTTACCCAACTCCTTTGCATGCCCTGCGGTGGTTGGACTGTTCCAATAGTAAATCACCTGAGCTGCCAGAACCACATTCAACGCAAACCCGGCAATGAATCCGTACAAGATCAACTTATCATCCACTTCTTGAATCGTGGTGTAAATCCGACTGAGGCTGCCGAACAAGTAGTTGAACACGGCGAAGGCGGACAACTGGCCTGTTCCGCCCTGGCTGTAGATCGTGAGGATTTGTGGGAGCTTGCTGGCGATGCTCAAGGCGCCGGCGCCCGCTTGCAAGCTGGTCATTTGTGCATCCGAGACAATGGTGTCTGAGACCATCAGCGCATATACGGCACTGCCGAAGGCCGCAAGAAAGGCGCCCGCCTGGGCGCTCTTCTTTGAATACACCAGAATCAACACACTAATCACCACATCTTGAATGGCGATGAGAGCGGTCTCGCCGTATGTGCTGAATGGAAAGCCATTACGCATGTTATAAGCCAGGGAAATGACGAAACTGGCTGTTTCCAACAAGTAACTTGTGAACGACAGTCCCTCCGAGGACTGCGACTTGACAAGTTTGATGATTTGGGGCACTTTCACAACGGATGCGGCCGTGATGATGACTATGCCCAGGGCTTTGGAGATGGCTAGGGAGACACATTCGGGATGGGAGGCAAAGTCGAGGTCAAGAAGGAGGGCGCTGTGGCAGCGTTCGCCGAGGAGGTTGATGGCAAGGTCATTGATCGGACCGGGTAGGTTGTGAGTGATGGGAATTAGATAGGGTTTCAATGGGTTAAGGACAAGATCCTGAACTTGCTCCATCGCGAATGCTCGATGCGACTTTGCAAGACGCAGTATTCGAAATTGGAAAGGATGGTAAAGGTCGCTGCGCTTAAGAGAGTAACATTCCGTTTTGTTTATGATGCCAGGGTGGCCCGACATTCTCTTGTCGCAGGAAGTAGTGGCACGTGACTACATAGGGGCGTCAGCCTCGGCAACTGGTGAACCACAGTATATCTCCTGCGCAACTACACTGAATGGTGAAGTCCTGAGCTGAGTGAGTAAAGAGTGCGTGACTTTATCTACAGGACGAAAGTCTTGCCGACTGTTTTACATGGTCACACTATTGTTTGTACACGTTTTACAACTGTTCATGAAGCCGTTTTACGCTTTGCGCGATAATTTGGCAGTCGATCCAGGAGCCACCTTGTCGTCGGCGGCAACGAGATGATAGGTTGCCAGCTGGTCCCGGGTGATCGGTGAGGGGGCACCAGCGAACTTATCTTCACCATCTGCGTACTTTGGAAATGCAATCACATCTCGCACACTTGCACTGTTCGTCAACATCGCCATCAAGCGATCAAATCCCAGGGCAAACCCTGCGTGCGGCGGACAGCCAGAACGCAACGCCCTCAATAGATGTCCGAAATCCTTGACGCGTTCCGGCTGCATCTTCAAGACTTCTCGGAGGATAAATTCTTGCATGAATTCACGGTGTATACGGCAGGACCCGCCACCAACTTCAACCCCATTAATGACGAGATCATAATGGTCCCCGACAATGGACAGGGGATTCTTCTTGAATGTGGACACCGATAAATCCTGACCTGGCTTGGGAGCCGTAAATGGATGATGCGTGGAGCAGATCCCTGCGGACCCGCCTTGTCCTGGTTCAGATTCTTCTGTCGGCGAGAATAAAGGGAAGTCGGTAATCCACAAGGCAGAGAATCCGGAAGGCGCAGGAATCAGACCTTCTGATATGGCCTGCTGGTAAATATCCCGACGCAGGTCCCCTAGAATGGTAGATCCACCAGAAAACGGCTTGCCATCACGGCTGTAAAGGACCAGGATGTCGCCAGGTTCGGGATCGAATTCTTCTTCTACTTTGGAGGCACCTTCGTGGCCAAAGCTCGCCAACCCATGCAGCGGCTTTAAAAGATCAAAGACGGCCACTCCAGGGATTCGTGAGCTGTCATTCGTATATCTCGCTGTCGACGATGCTTCCAAGAATGCTGTTACGAATTTCTGGCTGTCCGCTGGTTCGCATCCCTGCATGTCGATTTTCACCATCTCCACGACGGGATCGTCAAGCGAGGTTACCATGCCCTTCACATTGGGCGGGAGCCACTGATCCACTCGGCGAATCTCAGACCCAAGCCGCGTGTCAGGCTTGTCCGAGCCAAACCGGGTCATTGCGGCGTCATAAGTCAACTGTGGAAAAGTCAGGTTGCGATATTCTGGATCAGTCGATTTGGCCTCGAATGACCCCTTTGATGACGATGATTGCAAAGGAGCGATGTCAGGTACATTGGGCCAGATTGCATGAATGAGCAGGTCTTCCACAGCGGCCATGACGTCAGCACTGCTTGCAAATGCCATCTCGAGATCAAGCTACCACTGTGTCAGCATCGGCTGCTTGCCGCGACGTTATGGACGTGAATTACCTGGGTGAACTCGGGCTGCCTGTCGGCTCGCAAATCCTCGTCTCGAAAGCACTTTGCGAACTGAAAGTATCTCCAGATTCCCGAGGCCATGAGGACCTGTTTATATTGCTGCGGGCTTTGTGGCAATGCATACGCCAACCCCTTCTTTCTTGTGGGGACAATGAATTCTCGAGCGCCTTCTGGGGTTGACTTGAACAATAGAGGCGTCTCAATCTCGTCAAAATCATTGCGCAGCATATGCTCTCGTATCTTCCCTGCAAGCCGTGAACGTAATCGGATCCGGTGACGAAGGTTCGAATCTGTTCTGAACTGAAGATGTCGTAGCTCAGGCGGAAACACTGTATCGCACTTGGCGGTGAGGTCGGATGGAACCCCATTGAGAAACTTGTAAGAATCTGCTCTAATTTCGACATGAGATATGAGGTCGATATCCCCAACATATGGATCTAGTGTTTGAATTGTATTTTCTGCCCTTTGACGGTGTGTGGCATATGACTCTCCTGATGTAACTCGCTTGTGGTCTTTTTTTGGTGGCGTCAATCGTCGCACAATGGTTCCAGAAATCCGAATGGGTGTATGAGGACGAGCAGCTCTAAAAATGCTCAGTTGCCCTTCACAGTGAGCTTCATCGCTCGACTCGCTTTGTGCGCCCGGTTCCTCGGCACCTGAGCGATTTTCGGCCGATGGACTTGTAACCTTTGTAGCAGAGACGGAATGGGGAAAGATAACTTGCACGGCAAGCTCTAAGCGTGGATCGACGAGCTGAATAAAGTCGAAGCCCTTGCTTGGTCTGTGGGAAGTAATATACCCATACAGCTGCACCCGTGTCTGGCCATCATCATCAGGATCAGGAGTAGTCGGCAAGGAATCGACGTCGGTCTGGCGTAGTTTTTCCCACGCAGTGCTCGCTGTATCAGACGAAGAGATCCCTGGTAGAGTTAGATGCTGGTCAAATCCCCGAGAAGCAACTGCCTTACTAGAGAAGTTGTATCGCCTGATATCGCCGTTACTGGTCTGTAGCCTTGTATCGTGTTGCCGGTCACTTCGGACGGCAGTCGTAGAATATGCAAGTCTTTGAGACACGCAGGCTCTGATGGCTGAAGACTGCGTGGAAACAAATCCGCTCTGCGAGACTCGAGCGCGAATGTACCTGGATATTTCAATATAGCTGCGTCGGAGGTGGGCTGACCGCGTAAGTGGTCTTTGAATCTCCATCGGCTCTATGTATACAGCATCGAAGGACGATTGACGCGAACAATTCCAAAAGAATCGAATTGAGTTGGAGAAGCTGGGTCGGAGGTTTGCACGCGCCAACCCCGATGGCCGCCTGCGCACAAAACTCTCCAGATCGCTTTCTCCCTCTCTTTTCCCTTTTCCTTTTCTTCTTCATCCTTCCAAGTTTTGAACAAGTGAGTTCATGGTCTGCGAACTTTTGACGAGTATGTGCGCTAACATTTCTTCAGATGATGAAAGCCAAGCGTGTACTATACGATCTGTCCTTGCCGCGGGAAGCAGTAAGCCCTCTCTTCGGAGCTCAAGTGGCATGCTGTTCGATGCGGCGAGAAGACAATGAGATCGGCGTCCGGCACACCCATCTTGTTACATTTTACGGACGCGAGAAGGCAACTCTGACTCTCAATCTTGGAAAGGATCTGGTCGGTGTCTAGTTGACATTCCCGCCAACGCAGTGCATGGTGATATATTTTATGATTTGATGTGCGTCGCGATGCACCTAGATCAGCTGCTGGACTTGGTCGACAGTGTCGGTACCGATTCGAAGCTGTCCTCCATGAATGATCTCCACGCCGCAAGGGCTGCTTTCACCTCTTCCGTCGATCCTCCGAATGCAACCCTCACATACCCGCGAACAACTCGACTATCCCCGAAACATTTGCCTGCGGGACAGAGGAGAATGCCGGACTCCTCGATTAACTTGGAACAAAACTGCTCACTGTCGATCGGCTTTCCCATCTTGTGAAACTTGAGCATTGCCGTTGTTCCAGCCCGTGGTTTGACCCAAGAACATGACCAATTGTGCTCGTCGACAAACCCTTGCAGCAGGTCGAGGTTTGTTTGACATAACTTGATGTTTCTGGCTAATAATGCGTGAATGCACCTGTCACTCACGGCCTCTGCAGCAATCACCTCGTCTAATGTTGATGCAGCACCGGATTGGAGACGCCTGATTTTTCTGCAGGCTTCGAGAATGGTCTCGTCCTTCGTGGCAATCCATCCGGCTCTTGTCCCGGCCAAACCGTATGCTTTACTTACCGTACCCGTCACCACAACTTTCTTATAGCCCAGGTTGATCGTGGAGGGTGGAAAATCATCGTCTGACGGTAATATCGAATGGAAAAGAGGTCTGTAGGTCTCATCCGCCAGAATGGTTATACCCCTTTGCGCTGCCACTTCAATAAGGGCCTCGAGAATGGGTCTGGACACTATAGCGCCCGTGGGGTCACAAGGACTCTGGATCGCGATCAATTTTGTATTGTCCCTGATCAATGTCTTTAGCTCCTCAATATCAAGCTGCCACTTTTTCGCTGGGTCTGCATTCCACCAAGTGACCTCCGCGCCCAGAGATGCAGGTATTTTGTAAAGCAGCTCATCAACCGGATGCTGGCAGATGACATGATCCCCAGGGCTCAGCAGCGCGGTGAACACTGTATAATCCGCAGCGGCACTTCCATTGGTGATCATAATATCATCTTCGGTCACTCCTGCTGAGCGTGCAGAGTACAGGGCTGCCAAATTTCTCCGCAGTTCAACATGACCCAAGCCAGTATCGTTGGCCTTGAGTTTTAGTCCACTCAGTGACAACTCCTTTTCGGAATGCGGTCTGTTCTCTGATATGTCTAGAAGCTCAGACAGGGAGATATTGGAAGCGGCCGAAGACGAAAGGTCATGTTTGGCTGAGGAGAGATGCTTTTCGTTCCACTATTCACGTTGTTAGCCATAACTACCACCTCTTGAGGTCCGGTGACTGTCTACCTCAATCGCTTCAAGCTGTTCGATCCTGGCCATCTTCCCTGCTGAAACGCCTCGAACGGTAATCTAGATTGAGAATGAATAGACTGAGACTCGTAGAGACCGATCTCTGAACGGAGGGTAACATGCAGGACTGATTTCTTTTCAAACTGCGGCCGTGCGGAGACGCAGCCAACTGCTCCCCGCGGTTGCACATCCTAAGCTTGAGCTCCGACCTCGTATCTCGTAACGGGCTTGGGCCCCCCAGACTGAAAGCTGCTAGGCTGCCACGAGTAACTGCCGGGAGCTGTAACGATTGGATGCAAGCTTAGGCGCCCCTAACTGGATAGAGCTCGGCTCATTCGTCTGCGGGCGAAGGCCGATCCTACTTGTAGGTATCAGGTCTCCCGTCCCCGCCCGTACAGGAACCTGCCACCGGTTGTGCATTGTGCTGTTGCAACTTGTGCTGTACTGCGACACTTGGGCTTTTCCAGTAGTTCAGATCCCATCGCTTCCCGCTGCAAATTGCAATGGTGTGATATCCTTCTACTTCTGTTCTACATCCTTTGTCGCATGTTCCTCCTATTATTCATCTATCCACAAACACGGTTTCTGACCTTCCTCTCGACTTTCCGCTTTCTCGACAGCCCGTCCGCGTTGACTGGCAAGCTTCCGTCCACAGGCGCCAGCGACACGATATATCACCTCCGCATTTACAGAGCGGACGATTTCGCCCAGTCCTTTCTCAATGAACCTCTATGGCGTTGCCGCAGCCCTTTTACTTGTCGCACCGAGTCTGCTCGTGACAGCCTATCCCAATGATACCTCACGGGCATTGATGCAAGATCCCTTCCTCGATCTGGTCGACGGGTGTCCGCCATGTCCTAGATGCTTCGATTGCCACTACGACGAATTCCCGTGCCTACAGTTTGCGAGCTGTAGTAGCGCCAACGGGAAATGTGTCTGTCCTCCTGGCTTCGGAGGTGACGACTGCGCAGAACCACTATGTGGTTCCTTGGCCGATGGCAAGAATAGATCACCAAGAAGAGGCGATAAATGCGATTGCAAGGATGGGTGGGAGGGCATCAACTGCAACGTGTGCGCTTCCAACGAAGCATGTAATGCACTGATGCCCCTGGGCCAAGGTGGTGTCTGCTATCAAAAGGGAGCTTTGGTCCACGAAAACTACCAGGTGTGCAATGTCACCAACAAGGCTATCCTGGACCAGATCGATCCTCGGATACCAGAGGTTACCTTCTCTTGCAACGCGGAAGATGCTACCTGCAACTTCCAATTCTGGGTCGATCACAAGGAATCCTTCTACTGTGCCCTCGACAATTGCACCTCGACATATCAAGACACGAACGTCCGCAATACCACAAAATATCAATGCCAAAATATAAAATGCTCTTGCATACCAGACCGGTTCTTGTGTGGTGAAGATGGCTCTGTTAATATCGACGAGTTCTTGGCGCAAGAAATCAAGGGCCCAGCCTCCTTTTACTCGCAGCACACCTATGGCGGTAGCTCCAAGGACGGTAGTCGATTCGAAGAACCGGCCATGAATAACCTGATATCTATGATATTTGGCGACGAATACATCTCGCTTCAATGTCGGGCAGGTGAATGTCTTTATGAGACGGAAGTGCCTGGATATGAGAGACCCATCAAAGAGATCAACACGCCCTTGATAGCTGGAATCATAGCTGGTTGTGCCCTCTTTATTGTTGCTGTCACACTCATCTCGTGGTACCTTTCGAGAAGGGCGGCACTCAAGCGGTGGGGAGCCATTCGACTGGGTGAAGGCGGTGAAAATGACGCCTCACTATCAATGATCAACCACACCCCGATGGCTTTGCAATTTGAGAACGTCTCTTACGGTCTGAAAGGAAAGGAGATCCTCTCTGGGATCTCTGGCATTGCCCACCCGGGGCAGATCACGGCCATCATGGGTGCTTCCGGTGCAGGCAAGTCTACGTTTCTCGATATTCTCGCTCGCAAGAACAAGCGCGGAACCGTCTTGGGCCATATGTATGTCAACGGCGAGAAAATTCTCGACGGGGAATACCGAAATGTGGTGGGCTACGTCGACCAGGAGGACACTCTGTTGCCAACCCTGACCGTTCACGAGACCATTCTCACCAGCGCACTCCTGAGACTGCCAGCCGATATGGGCATCTCTGTCAAGGAGCAGCGAGTCATCGAAGTCATGCAGCAACTCGGAATTTACCACATCAAAGACCAAGTGATTGGCTCGGAGGAAGGAAATGGTCGAGGCATTTCCGGCGGCGAAAAACGACGGGTTGGTATCGCTTGCGAGCTTGTGACTAGCCCAAGCATCCTCTTTCTCGATGAACCAACCAGTGGGCTCGACGCGTTCAATGCATTCAATGTCGTTGAATGTCTGGTCACCCTGGCCAAGACTTATAACCGGACCGTCATCTTCACCATTCATCAACCTCGCTCCAACATTGTCGCACTATTCGACCAGCTCATCCTTCTTGCCAAAGGCCAAACCGTCTATTCTGGTCCCTTTTCAAGTTGTCAGTCCTACTTTGATCACATTGGCTACTCCTGTCCTCCGGGTTTCAATATTGCGGACTATCTGGTGGATCTGACAATGCACGCCAGTCTTCCGCATTCGCCCATATTTGAGGATGTCCCGAAAGATTTGCTCGACCGAGATGGCCCGGGAACAGAATCAAGCAGTACGCGCGCCGTCAAATCCATTGCAAGCGTTTCCAATGTGAGCGTGGACAGTCCACGTGAAACCCCGACGCGAGGAAAACCGAAGAGGCGAATTTCCCTAAAGCAAAAGCAGGACCGACAATTGTTCACTCGAAAGAAGACTGCTGGGAGCGAAACTCCGCCAACGCCAAAGACCGATGATGAGGACACTGTGATGGGAAGGGCAACTGGCAGCATGCGGAGCTGGTTGCAAATGTCCAAGAGAGACGGGTCGAACCCACCACCCCTTCTGGAGGATCCTGACGACATACCACCAGAGGTCACCACTGATCTGGACATTCTGGTCACCAGTTTTAAGAATTCCGATGTAGCTCAGACGATCCACGATGAGATTACAGCTTCGATCCAAGCCGCCTCGGCGGCTAACGGCCACGGTGGGGGAGACGCCGTAACTGAACCTGTCACAGGGTCGATTAAAGGCTTCCGGCGAGTGAGCCTTCCACGACAATTCTTGATCCTATCTAGGCGGACCTGGCGGAATCTCTATCGCAATCCAATTCTGATGTTGACTCACTATGCGGTTGCTATTCTGCTGGCCGTATTGTCAGGGTGGCTCTTTTACGGCGTTTCAGACGACATTGGCGGATTTCAAAATCGACTTGGCCTCTTCTTCTTCCTCTTAGCACTGTTCGGTTTCAGCGCGTTGACGAGCTTGAATGTCTTCAGCGCAGAGCGGCTGATCTTCGTCCGAGAACGCGCCAATGGATACTACTCCCCGATTACTTACTATGCTGCGAAGATCATGTTCGATATTGTGCCGCTCCGGCTCATCCCACCTATTATCATGGGCGTCATCATCTATCCAATGTCCGGGCTGCTCCCGAAATGGGGCGTTTTCTTCACCTTTATGCTGATATTGGTTTTGTTCAACTTGGCGGCAGCAGCTATCTGCCTGACGATTGGTATTGTGTTCAAAGATCCCGCTGTCGCCAATCTGATTGGTAGCTTGGTGATGTTGTTCAGCTTATTGTTTGCCGGCTTACTCCTCAATCTCAGCCACGACAGTGTCCAAAAAGCAGCAGAATGGCTGCAAATGGTAAGCACCGCTGATCCCGCTTGGTGGAACTTGTGCTGACCGTCGACACAGTTATCCATCTTCCACTACGGATACGAGGCTCTCATCGTGAACGAGGTAGCCAAACTGCGTCTCAAAGATCATCGATACGGCCTTGACATCGAGGTTCCCGGGGCCAGCATTCTCAGCGCCTTTGGCTTCGACAATCTGGCATTGTGGAACGATGTCATTGGCCTGGGCGTCTTTGCAGGAGCATTCATCATCATCGCATACGGTGCTATGCATTTCCTACTTGTTGAAAAGAGGTAACAGTGGTAATGAGGGGGTTATCTAACGACTTTGCTGTGTGGTTGCTACGGAAACTTGCATGTCCCGGCGTTCTAGGTACATAGATGAGGTTGGCGGAGTGAGGGTCACCGAGCCTGTAAACAACCGATACACATATATACATTAATATGACATGAACCTCAAACACTTCCATGATGGCCCTGCATGGTGGCTGTTTGTCTTTCCGTGTGTTTTAGTAGGTTGTAGTCGAACATATGGTTTCCATGTGATTACGAGCGGCGGAGGCCCGGCCAATCTCGGAACCGTGCATCTCGAAAACCAGGGTATGAAGCCGACAGGCGGCCGCCCGATCTCGGAGACGGTCATTATGCGGGGAGATTGAACAAGTCCAAGTCCACTGAGTCTCATCCTCCTACGCGACCTCGAGCTCCTGACAATATCAAGAAACACTCCTCTTTGCAGCACGGCGTGGATTGCTGCTAGTATTGAAGTTTGATCACCTCTCATCAGTCTCAAGGAGAACGATGACCGTGCTTTCTCGCGCCTGTTCTCGCTGCATCGCTCAAGCGGCGACGAGCAGCAGTGCCCGACTCGGAACCACATCGCGGGCCCTCTCCTCCTCTTCCACGAGATTGAGCTCACCACCAGCCGACCCAAAGGCGATAGCAGAAGCCTTTCTATCCAAATTCTCCAAGGGGCAAACGTTCGTGCGCCGTCAACTGCTGGACGCCAACCAGATCCGCCTCTTCTCACTCACTCTGAATCGAGCTCATCTATGGCCCACTAGCTCCGTTTCGTCCACCAAGACGCTCGAGGAGGCGGAGCCTGTCCAAGGCACTCCCATCCCCCCGGCCTATCATCTCTGCTACTTCACACCAGCTCAACTACCTGGCATATTGGGGCTAGATGGCACGGATGCGAGTTTCAACCCCGACGCACCCTTCACGAGACGCATGTGGGCTGGAGGATCATGTCATTGGCCCGGAGCTGATCCTAATGCGGTCCACCAGGCACTCTTGGTGGTCGGCGATACCGTCACCGAGGTCACGAGGGTGTTGAGCTGCGAGCCCAAGGTCATTGGCAAGACGGGGGAGAGTATGCTAGTCGTGGGCGTGGAGAAGGAATTCCGGAATGGGAAAGATGAGCTGTGCGTCCTGGACCGGAGAAATTGGGTCTTTCGAGTAGCCCTCGACCCTTCCAAACCTGCACCCTTGGTTCCCAAGCCAAAGGAATTGTCACAGGCGGAACTTGACAAGAGCGTTGAGGGGAAGCTATGGCGGGAATACAGTCGTGACGAAGCAACGCTGTTCCGATTCTCGGGCTTGACATTCAATGCGCACAGGATTCACTACGACAAGCCCTGGGCAACGGAGGTGGAGGGCCACAGGAACGTGGTTGTCCACGGCCCGATGAATCTGATTGCCATGTTGGATCTGTGGCGAGATGAAGCCAGTGTCTTTCGGGGTGTGGGTGAAGGATCAATGCAGGATGATGAAGCTGTCTACTATCCGCAGATGATTGAGTATCGGGCTACGAGCCCCGTCTACGGCAGAGAGCCCTACCGGGTGATGATGAATAAGGAGGCGGTGGACAAGAAAGAGGCAGAGACAAGGGTGGTGAGTAACGACGGGACGGTATGCATGAAGGGGACGGTGACGGATTGGTCTCTGAGCAAGTAAGGGTGCAACCCCCAAAAAGCAAATTGAGCAGTCGGTGTGGGAGGCGACCGTAGACGGCCGCTTACGAAGGTGGCTGTCGACTTGGGTCGCTCATCAACCCGAATTGGGAGCGGAGGGTCGACTTGGACTGGGGATGAGATAAGGATGGACCATCTAGCTACGAGGATTTTGTTGGGGGAAGTGGCTGAAAATCGAGATCGAGGCCAAGACAGAGCTGGTTGCGTATACGGTGCCTTTGACCTGCCTGTTTGGTGTGTTGTTCGTCGCCGAGCTGCTTCTCCAGATGGTGATGGAGGTGAGGATACAGGTGAGCAAAGGTGGAGATGGTGACAGTCGAGTGTGGAGGGAAAACAGCCTAAAGAGCCCCGAATCCAACGATGCGAACTCCCTCTCCAGGTGCCCCTAAGGGATACGGGGGGCCAGCCCCTATCCTCGTAACCTCGCGACCCTTGGGGCCCTTTAGGCCTGGTGTGCCCGCCTGGGCGCCAATTACTACGAGTTCCAGCTAGCGATGCCCCCCGCGGAAGTCGCCATCCGCTAGACTGTAGGCTCCCTAGGCGGAGCTAGCGGTGATCGGGTCAAGCGTCTCTGCCCCTCCGCACTTTTTCACTTCTCCTCCTGCTCTTCCAGCCACGTCCATCTCATCCTTTCCACTTTCGATCCTCCCAATACTCCTCCCTTGCGGCTTCATTTACGTACATAGCGTTTGGTGGCCATCGTTGTGCCCAGAGAAACTCGGATATCAAATGACTCTCGCTCGCCAAGTCTCGACAGCCGTATAATCCCACAGAAACCCTGCTCGTCCGTCTTTGCGCCCATCTTCCAACCACTCCTCGCCATGACTGTCACCTTCTCCCCAGCACCGGCATGATTCCACAAACCCCTTCGTTGACCGTCCCTCCAGATAGCTCTGCACAGCAGCTGCTGCGCCTGGGGAAGCCCTTCGTCGAGTTTCCCCGATTCAGCATCCTCGCTCTCCAGGAAGAGAAAGACCAGGATGGCAACCCTCTTCCTTTCTCCGAGTGGCTTACCAGACGTCTGCAACTAGGGCAGCCTTTTGTCATCGCCGAATTCGACAAACTCGACGCCTGGCCGGCCTCGGGTCCTCACAATGGACACCAGCCAGGTTTCGGCATCGAAAGGCTGATCGAATTGAGCACCAAGAAGAACATCCCCATCCGAAACTGCAGCACCGGCCGGGATTTATCTTTCACCCTCAAGAAATTCGCCGACAGCGCGAGGCAATCCTCTCCCGAATTTCAGAACCTCTATGCCAGAGACTTGCAATGTCCGCAAGAATGGCTTGAACAATGTCGCAGAATCTTGCCCACAGAGGTCCAATGGGGTGGGCGATTGGATCTCTTCCAGTGGCTGCCACAGTGTGCGAGGAGTGAAGTCATGATGGCCTATGTTGGTAGCGAAGGGAGCAGCTCCGGATTTCACCGATGTTTCTCGAGCACCGTCGCCTTGAACTTGCTCGTCGAGTCGGACGATCGGCCAGTCGTGTGCATTGGCACGGACTTCGACTCGCAGAAGAAATACGACGCCTTCATGTCCGCCCGTGGCGCTTCACCTCATTTAGACTGGCTAAACCTGGGATCGGAAGAGCTCCTGAAAGCTGACTTCCCCCTATATGCCTACGACCAACGAGTTGGCGATCTCGTCGTCTTTCCTCCTGCCACCGCCCACCAAGTTTGGAATCCCGCCACGCTTTCAGCAAAGCTTGTCTGGAACATCCTCCATCCTCTGTCACTTGAGGTGGGCTTTGAATACGTTCAGGCCCCCTTCAACCGCCTCTGCCATCCAGATGTCGCTCGAACCAGCCTCTCTTTGGCGTGTGCTATGTTATCTCTGCTCCAGGACAACCAGACAATGAGGAGCTCCCCGCTCCCGCTGCCTCCAGATCTACCTCTCCTCTCACACTTGTTTCGTCGAATGGTGCATGACGAATCAATTGAATCTCATCCTGTCACGCCAGTGACTTTGGTACCTATACAGCAAGGGACCATTGCAACCTGCAACTTTTGCAGTACGGCCATCTGGAACCGTCACGTGCGATGCACGCAATGCGCCGATTTCGATCTCTGCCTGCTTTGTTATCTCAACGGTCGTTCTTGCGAACATTCCCAATCCTATGCATGGGCAGAGCTGGTGCCAGCGGAGCAATGTACAAGGGTTCTCAACCGGGCCCGCGAGATTCTAGGATTTCAACCAGAAGAACCGCGCACGCTCGACAAACGCAAGACTCTAGGAACAGCGGTCAATGATTTGATGCGTGCCAAAACATCAGCAACAAGCAGACTGTGCCACCTCTGCCGAATCGACCACCAAGAATGGAAAGGGCGGCGCTGCGACAAATGCACCGCCTTTTTCTGCTATCGAGGCTTGTTCCGACATTTTGATGAGTATCCCTCGGAAGTGTTACGGCATAAAGGGCTGTGGACTTGTCCCAAGTGCACAGAGACTTGCAATTGTCGATGCTGCCATTTCGCAACGGCGTACGTTAAAAGCGAAAAGCCCGCCAGCAAAAGGAGGGTGAAAGCTTCCGACCCTCGTGGTAAGGTGATGGGCTTCGCAGACAATGTGTTTGATCAAAAGCGTGGAGGACGCCGAGATTCCAGCCACAATAGCTCTGGGGGTGGCCCTTTACCCGGTGTGGCACAAATTACGGGCAAGAAGCGGGCCATATCTTCCTCGGCAGATCCTGGCCCTGCGACCCCGCTAAGGAAAATGGAGTTACCAACACCCGAACCTGACTTCTCTGGGACCAGGCTGGCGTTATCAAGGGAAGGATCTGAGTTCTTGATGGATGGCCCCTTTGCCAGTGTCAATGGGACGCTGCCAACACTGTTGCCGAGTATGAAGACATTTCCAGATGGGCCTGACTTCATGGTCAGCCCAACCGATGAGAGGCATTCGCGAGTGAGTAGCTCGCCGGGCATTGTGTCCTTGGCCTCGGCGGCAATCAGCTCGAGCCGCCTCACGTCCAACATTCAGAACAATACTCTCCCACCGATGCTTGGGCATCCTCTTGCTACCAACGGCTTGTACCTCCCGCAGCACAACTCCAACGGCAGTTTCAGCACTCCTCCATCTTCTGCCCCAGCGGCGTCTCCTACAAAGCTCACTACGTGCTCGAAAGAGCCTAAGGCTCCGACCGCTGCACTGGACGCGTCAATTGCAGAGCTGGAAATGCAATTAGTCAAACTCAAGCGGTACGAGGAAGAGTTCATCGCTTTGAACCTGGACGACAGTCGCAAGATGCTGGCAAGCCAGGTGGCCGAATTGGAGAGCCAGATCAAGGCAAAGAAGCGGGAGAAGAGTCTCATTCTTATTGAGAGGCTGAAGAGGGAAGGATTTGGTGGGTTGGCGGCCGTGGTGGGCAAAGAGGTTGGGTTAGGTGTTGATGCTTAGGGCCATCTAGCACGACGTGCATAGTGTCGGCTGTCTCGAAGACGGGTCTATATTTGTTTCAACACCATGCACCCTGAGCTTCTTCGACGATGCCACCGGAATTTGGATGAGGATGCCAGATTTCAAAAGGTGCGGTGGGTGCTTTCACATGTCGGTACCAGTCATTTTGATTTCTAGCGTACATTGGAGCGGGATGACGAACTCTTTGATATACCCCAAGGAACGGATAGTGTTGATAGGATAACGAACATAGCAAAAGTCCAAAAGCCTCATGCGCTGCTCGGGTCGATGAAGGATGTGGTGATAGTAATCGTCAGTCCAGGCCGAGGTTCAGCAACGGAAGTATATATATACGAGTATACATGTGTGGCTACGGCACGCACTATACCGAGACGAGTATAGGGAAAAAGTCGCGACCATGCTCTTACTGAGGACGTATAAGTATATCTCAACTGGGGATAACTAGTAGTCGAGATACCGGCGGTGCCTGCCCGTGCAGCAAGGAAGAGGATCCTTGATGTTCGGTTTGCCGGGTGGTGACGGCCAGGGCCTATGCGCGAAATACATGGAGAGGGCAGAAATTGGTATTAACCTCCGTAGTACTGTACATAGGAAGATATATGTCCTAAATAGATAGATACCCGAGGTAATACGAGTAACTCAAGACACACTTGACCAACTAACTAACTACATGGTAACTACGCCATCATCCATACATGCTCCGTACTCTATACTCCATGGGAATGTGCGTACTTAATACTTAAGTGCGTACATAGATGCATGGGTACATGGGTACACATACGTATATACCTGGGTGCGTGAACAAGGCTCGTATTCTACATGTCTCAATCCATAGGTGCCACTTTGAGGAATAGCCTGGATAGATAACTTTATGTAGCTTTCTATGTACCACTGTAGGTACAAGGGGTCAATAATGAACACGAGGACACTAACTAATCCGCCCACAGTGGGGAATTGACGACGGTGAGCCTCTCGGAAAGGAAGACAGCGACACCACGACTCATTTTCACCACGTGGATTTTTCAACACAATCTATTTTCACCACATGGGCTTGGAACACGAGTCATTTTTGCGTCAACCCCTCGTCTAGAAGCTCTATTCGATGATCATGCAGATTCTCGCAAATCCTTTCCTCTTCTTCAGCGGTTTCTCTGCGTCAATGACCTCCTGCAAGCCCGTCTGCATGTCCACCTCCATTGGATCCCACGCCCACTTGTCGTGCCAGAACACAATCCGATGCCCAACGTACATGACGACGAAGATGGGGATTCCGATATAGGCGGTCAAGAACGACGAGGCGGACCATTCGCTGGGGAAGAAGACGGTGAAGCCGTTGATGAGGCAGAGGATAGTGAATGACACCATCGCGATCCAGGCGCCATAAGGCTGAATCCAGTTTCGGTATATAGGTTGGATTCCTTGCGCCTGGCAGGCTTTTCGAAAGCGGAGATAGATAATCATACAGCAAACCCACGAGGTCATGCCCCATGTATTGGTAAGGTTGACAAACCAGTTAAACACCGTAGAACCAGAGGAGGCGACATTTAGATAGGCGAGACCGCAGAATAGGGAAGAACAGCCCACCGCCATGTAGGGGACACCCCAGCGATTGCAGGCTTTGAAGATTCGGGGAGCGGAGCCCTGGACCGCAAGCGAATAAAGCGCACGTGAGGAGATGTAGAGGAAGGAGTTGCCAGACGACCAGGCTGAGATAAGGATGACGGCGTTGACGATGGATGGGAGGGTGTGGATTCCGGCATTGGCGACGGCGACGACGAAGGGCGAAGACTTTGCACCAGCTCCACCGTCGGTCAAGCGTTTATCGTTGCTGGGGCAGGTCACGCCAATCGCCAAGACGCTGAGGACGTAAAAGATAACCAGGCGGTAGAAATAGCGCTTGGAGGCAAGGGGTAGGTTCCGTCGTGGTGATTCCATTTCTCCACCCGTCACGACCAGGAGTTCCGGAGCAAAGGTGAAAGGGAAGACGGACAGAACGAGGGTTTCCCAGAAGGCGACAAAGCGACCCGTGCCGCCTCCGACGATATAAGGATGTGCTGCGCCCGGATCGTTCCAGTACCTGAAACCCAGACGGTCGTGGCTAGGCCCGCCACCCCAAAAGAGGATGAAGCTGAGGATGAGGAGACCGGTCATCAAGATAACCTTTGTTCCGGCGAACCAGAATTCTGTCTCGCCATAGAATCGGACGGGGAGGAAGTTGAGACCGATGATGACAACCAGCATAATTGTCATCCAGACGGCGATATTGACGTTGTTGGGCCAGTAGTCGATGACCAGACCGGCCGCAGTAATTTCGTACGGGACAAGAATGCCCAGGGCGTACCAGTAGAGGTAACCCAATGCAAAGCCCATGGAACGAGAAACGTATCGGTACCCATAGTAGGACATGGTCCCGCCGTGGACGGGCAGATAGGCCGCTACCTCGGTGATGGCGGTCACGACACAATATACCAGGAAGGTCATGATCACGTAGGCGGCTAAGATGAACGCAGGACCACCCAGAGCAAGCGTTGCGCCAGAACCGACGAAGAGACTGTTGGGAGTAAATGTCAGCCCGTACTTTTGCTAGAAATGATTGCTTTCGGTAAACATCTCTTCTCGAGGTCTCAGGGCCAAAGGTAAGAGAATATTCGACATACCCAGTACCAATAGTTCCGCCCAGGGCGATCATTTGAGCATGTCTGCTCTTGAGGCCACGTTGAGTAGTGGCGTATCGTTCATCAAGCAAGTCTGCAGCGATGATTGACTCGGCGACAGAAGACTTCCGACCAGTTATACTTCCTCTCTTGGTGGGTTCAGTGCCCTTTTCAGGGTCATACTCGACCTTGTCCGCCATGTCGACGTCAAGGGACTCTTCCACCCTCAACTGTGGCACCTGGTTGGCAAAGGTTCAAGTAGGGCCTTGCAAAAAGGTGATGGCCACTCGTAGGACGAAGCCAGAGGAGATGAGAAGGAGGAGGAGGAGGAGGAGAGAGGAGGCGCATTGCCGGGGGGGAAGAGGGTCTGAACGGCTTCTTTATAAGTCGACAGGATCATCTGAGGTGGTAGCAGCAGTAGCATTATGGTAGCGTACCAGGGATAAGGCTTCGAGCTGACTTGCCTGGGGTGGATTAGGATCGAGAGCCAATGCTTGCCTGTCAGTGGTTGTTGATAACGGAGAGTGGGAAGGGGAAGTCGAAGGCGAGCTGTAAGACGGTTTTCTGGCGTCTTGGCCGCAATTCTGCCCCCAGTCGCCCTCTGCCTTGGCCACCCGCCGTCCACGCCCGTTCCCGCTGCATATCTCCTGCGCAGGCCTCACTCCATCTAGCTTTCTCCCCTATTGGGCAGTCCGTCTCTCATGGCCAGGCGGGATACAATATCCTCTCCCGGACGCTGAAGTGCATTGCGGCCCTGACGATAAGCACGCATGGAAGCCATTCTCGACTACCCAGCCTCTCCAGAGATCCGATCGAGAACCGCTCAGACGATCCCTCCTGGGCAAATCTTGCCCTCTGCCCTCAAAAGAGCTTGTGTACCACCGTCTTGGCCTACCTTGAAACTTAGGATACCACCACATCGCACGGCTGTGCCCCCGTGTTTTGCCATCGAGGCCACCCGCTCGACGTTGGTCGGGGACATTCAACCCGAGAATCCACCGTCCGAGACGTTGCATATTCCAGAATTGCCAAAAGCCACTTCTCTCGAAGCGAGATCCGAGTCGACCACGAGACTGCTGATGCTGCATTGACACTGGTTTCTTCGACCTCCCCTGCAGGCCCCGCGAACGCCACGTGCCTAAGACCATGGTGCTGGTAGCGGATTTCCGCTGCAATGGATATGCTGGGATAATTCTGGCAGGGTCCCTGTAGCGACCAGCAGGAAGCCGCTCATTCTTGGAGAAGCACCGGCAGATGCGTGTGAGCAGCCTAGAGACACTGGTCTGATAGGCGAAGGAATGATCCTGGAACTCCTATCTCAGGCACAGTCCCGGTGGCCACAGAGGAGTTGGCTCGTATCTATGTCGCCCCACGGTTTTCAAACTCTAATTTCGTCCCATTCTCAGAGGAGAAATTGTCAGCATTTGTCTGGCTTCTTCCCATGCGCTGAGACAGCGTTATTACCTCCCTGGCGCCGGGTTGAGATCAGCAGCCTTGCAGATCGTTCCACGCCCCAAACTCTCGGGGGCCACTTATGGACATGTGCGTCATTGTTCTCGACCTTTAGAAGATTCGAAGCATTCGAGATAACAGATTGTGGCTTGCATCGAGCGCTCAAATCCATCCTTCCAGACCCATCGCTGCTTTTCTTGGTTCATCCGCGCTAGGTCTGCGCTGTCGATGACCTGGATGCGAGTACGAGGTGTCGAATGCGTGACAAGCATCGCACATGATGAAGGACCGAGGTCAGGGAGCTGCAACGCAAAAGAAAACCACAGCCTCGAAGCTCCTCCCAGGCCTTGTGGGCCAATGAAAACCATTTTGCTGCGCTTTGGCGTTGATGAGAAACCTTTGCCCCGGACATGCCCGCTAGCTCTGGACCTTTGTTGGCGCATCAAACGACTAAATTCTGCCCAGATGTTCATCTGCTGTTCATGAATGAATGTGGTTTCAACGATTTTGGTTGCAAGGTCAAGCTTACTTCTTGCTGAAGGGACCAAAATAGAACAACAACGATGTTGACGGAAGGTGAGTTAACCGAAGTGCATGGCTATCAGCCCAGAATATTGAGGCTCAAGTGCAGGGATAACAATACTTGGAATCCCCATTGCCATCTGGGCATTGCTTGCTATAATACTATATGTCGTCTCCAACTCTTTCTCAAATACTGCGAAGCTGAGGAAAGTCCCTGGTCCATGGCTGTATGCAGCAACAAGATTCAGGCTGGCTTTCGATGCCTGGCAAGCAAGATCTATTCACACGGTGAACAAGCTCCACCAAAAATACGGGCCTGTCGTACGGATCGGACCAAATGAGATCTCATTCAATAGTCTGTCTGCCCTGCGGACGATATACGGTGCTGGAAGTGGCTTTGAGCGGACTTCTTTCTACCAAATGTTTGACGTTTATGGCCGACAAAACCTCTTCACGTTCGCCTCTGGAAAACTCCATCGCGAGCGGAAGAAGCTGATCAGCCACATTTATGCCAACCAGACCGTGCTCGGCTTCGACGCCGCACAGCTGGTCAAGAGAAAAGTGATGGGGTTTCTGACGCTTCTGGAACGAGAGCCTGATCTCGGAAAGGAGATCTTTACGAGTTTGCATTACTTCTCCTTCGATGCCATCTCCGAGTTCGTGTATGGCCCAGACCATGGAGGAACGGCTGCTTTGCCAGGATCTAAGCAGTCCCGGGACCTCATTCAAGACATCCTCAACCCAGCTCGTAGGAGATTGGCATGGTTCGCTGTTTACTTTCCCACGTACACAAAGTGGATCACAACCCGCACGGGTCTTCTGGAGAGAGTGCTGACTTCCATGGGGCTGATGCCTATGCGCAAGCCCTTCACATATTCTGGAATCCGTCAGCATGCATTAAAGGCATTCTACAGTTTCAAAAATGCAGAGGCTGCTGTGCAAGCCAAAGCTGCCGAAAGCACCGTCATCGGGCGCCTATTCAAAGTGCGAGAAGAGGCTGGACTGTCCGACCTGGACATTGCCTCCGAATGCGCCGACCATCTGCTAGCCGGCATTGATACGACTTCAGACTCCCTCATGTTCATGATCTGGGCACTTTCGCTTCCTCAACATGAGACATACCAAGACAAGCTCAGGGAGGAGTTGTCGCACATCTCCGTGGACAGCCAGGGGCTTCCAGAGCCCAAGGACTTGACTCAGCTTCCTTACCTGAACGCGGTCGTGCGAGAGTCTCTGCGCCTGTACGCACCTTTGCCTGCCTTTGAGCCTCGATCTTCGCCTGTGGATACGGTGATCGATGGTTACGAGATTCCTGCAGGCACGATCGTGGGCATGTCACCGTACTGTCTGCACAGAGATGAAGGTGTCTATCCTTCTCCACTGACCTTCAGACCGGAAAGATGGCTCACAGATTCCGGCACTCTGATCCCTGAGTCGGACATTAGGAATCGATATTTCTGGGCCTTCTCCAGTGGTGCACGCATGTGTATCGGCATGCACCTGGCTAACGCAGAAATGCTCACTCTGCTGGCTGCCATGTATCGGAAGTACAAGACATCTGCAGAACATCCCGACACGTCGCCTGGTATCACCAGCCGGTTTGAAATTTTCAGCGACGAGACGATGCCCAAGATGGTGGAACATGAGTGTGTGATCGACTTTGTGGAGCTGGGTGCGAAATGAATGATCGAACAGAAAAGGCAAGGTGCGCAGAGTTCCAACGATTGTGAAGGCCGAGCAGCATTCCACGTGTGAACAAGTGCGAGAGCGCATATTCTAGCCAAAGACATCAGAATCAAACAAAGGTGCTAAAACGCGTACCAGGTGAAACTCCAACGCAAATGCACGAAGCCGTGTCTATGCAAATTTATGAGGCCAGGGCCCGCCAACTCATGTTTGTCCCTGAACACACGTCACACAAGCGCGAAAATCTGCTGAGAGAACGACGTTGGCATCTTCAGCTCGCACATGGCATATCGAGAGGGTCTGGTAGACAGGCTTCACAAGATTTACTGCCAACACCCCTGTCATCAAGGCATTTGGCGACTTCATCTTAAATACGCTACGAAGAATGCTCTCCCTCCTTGCACGAACTCCTGCTTGCACATCACCGAAAGGTCTCGACTGTCGCCCTGGTGCCTTGTCCAGTACATACTCGATCGGGAAGATGTGCGTTACCGAGATCTGGAGTTATCGCGAATGCGGATGTTTCTACAATCACACAATCCCGTGCCGGTCGCACCGAAGAGAGCAGACGCCGTGCTCTGCACCTAACACACAATATGCTCCGGAAAAATGGCTCACAGAGACTTCAGTGGCTTTAGAAGTCTCCCACCCGCTGTTCAGACCACGAGCAACATCCGTTGAGCCAGGGGACTGCCCGAATCACCGAGTCGTCGAGAAGTCATTCATTAATCAAATCTGCGAAGACTGTCTGTTAGCAGAACTGGAGGGCCTTCCATCCAGCCTCGGCACTAGTACCGTTGCTCAGGATGGCCCTTCCGGCAACTTGGACAACGGAGAAGGACTGATTTGGGATAGTGAGGTGAAGATTGAGATTGAAAATCCGAATTCCGGGTTCTCAACAAGCCCAAGCGCGCCAGAGACGTCAGTACAGAATCAAGAAATACCGGATGAGGATGGGAGGATTCTGGAAAGCCACGTCGAGATCACAATCGAAGACGATCATCACAGCATCGTGGCCGAAAGCGCAGCTTCTTCAGAGATTGTAGCACATCAACCAAGCGGTCAATCACAGTCGGCGTTGATGCAGACCTCTCCATCAAACAACTCTCGTGGTGGCCTTTGCCAACCAAATTCTAGAGCTTCCGGAAGCAAGAGACATGGGTGTGCCTTTCAGAAAATCGATGTTGTCAATCTCGACGATACGGATAGTGATGGCGGCGTCGACCTCCAGTGGCATCATCGCGATCCTCAACCACTATTGCGAGGAAGGCCTTTGATGTGCTCGAACCTACACAACAGCCAGGTTCGCGAGCCTGATGCAGATAGCGCCCCAGTGCCAGGCAGAGAAAGAACTGGTATCAAGGGCTTCCCCACGTTACAAAGCCTCAGGAGTCTCTCGATGTCCTTGCGCGTAGGCCCGAGGTCATTGGCAGTTGCCTCGGACAACTGCGGTTCTTCAGGAACAGGTCTAGCACCCTCTTCAAGCTCGGCAGGGACCAGTTCAAAGAATCCATTCCGCAGTATTCGCAATCGGAAAAGTTCACCTCGAATAGGAGAAACGAGCGGCTCCAAGTTCGTTGGCTTGGAGCAGCCTTCCGACGAAGTCCACAAAAATATTCCGATCCCTGAAGCGCAAAATACCCCAGCCATTCCGCCGAGGAAGTCGAGTTTGAAGAGTTTCGCCCTCTTTCTCACAGACGATTTCACCCGGACAAAAGCGAAGGTGCAGCCACGATCAGGCAGCCAATTTATGAGCCTTACCCCTAGTCCGACTATCTCCTGGTTCCGCCAGCATGCCGAATCCAGTGAAGAGACAAATTCAGGCAATCAGGGCTCAGTCTCGCATTCTGAAACTGATTTTGAGACTCCTTCTTGGACTAGCGACTCATATACCAATAGAGCCGGAGGGATGAAGGCCGAGAACAACTTCCTCATTCCGAGCATCCCCAAATCGTCCACCATGAATACTATGCGAGCACTTATCGATGGATCCATAGATCGAGATGCTGGGCTTGACGATCAAGACGAGACAATACGTCAGCCGCCTCTGCCAGGGCAAGAGCAAGCTCGGCATCAAGGTCAGTAGGCAAGTGATACGAGAACATGTGGGATCCATATGCTCGAAGACTCTGTCCAGCAGCAGTTTCCTCGCCGGGGGCGTCCTGAAGGAGAGGAACGATGAAACGAGTCCGCCCAACATTGTCCACCACATTAAGGGCGTTAGGTTAAGCCTCCCCTACACCTCAATCCGTTTCCAGCAGTGTCACCTCGGAGTCACGACTGGCCGCTGGCATCAATGAGTGGTTGGAAGAGCACGAGGCGATGGAGGAGACTGGATTGCAGCGAGGAAGGATGTCTCGGATCAAGGGGCAGAAAAGGCGATGGCTAACGTAGCAATTTGTCAGGAATGTTTGATTGAACGTGTTCTAGACAGTCTTCGTGCTTCCACGTCCGGTCCTGTTCTCACGATGATATCAAAATGACTGCACGCTCGCGTTGAGGGATCGACACCAAGGATTGCTTTGGACCTTCTCTGGGGTAAGATATTTCGATTGTAGATGTGGTTTGATCTGGCGTGAGTCACAGACAACGTTGGCACAACCGGACAGTCTTCGTGGGCCATGCAACAAGACAAAGATGATAAGACATGAAACAAGCGTGCGCAAGGGGGGCAGAATATACGTGGTCAAATGAAATGCCGCGGCCAGGTACCAGCAAGCCAGAAAGGGCCCATCACGTGAGACCATCCCACTGTGTACAAGGAACATTTGGAGTCGGTCGGTGGAGAGCGAGAATCGCAGGCCAAAATTATTGTTTCCCGCTCGAACACCACCCAACTTACTCTTAATATCCCTTCGATCGACATCAATAAGTAAGCGATCAACTGCTGTCTGATTGCCACGTTCCTTTTTTCTCACCATTGTTGTCTGGCAAGGAGCGACCGTCAAGATCTGCCAGGCCCTCAATCTTGCTCGAAGTCGATCCCCAGAAGATCATCCAACGCGCGCGCAGGGCGGACATTCCAATCCTCGGTCAACACATATCATTGTCTCTTGCAGGCAACTTATTTCTCTTGCATGCCCTAGACCAGATCTTCTAAGATGTCTGTTCTCCCTGCCGAGGTGCAGGGAGCCTTGACCCAGCTCCTCCAAGCCCTCTCCTCTCCCGACAACACTCTCCGCAGCCAGGCGGAAGAGCAACTCAATAATGACTGGACTCCCAACCGCCCCGAGGTGTTGTTGATGGGCTTGGCCGAACAACTTCAAGCCGCGCCAGACTCGTCGGTATGTCAGGATATCATGAGGGATCCTACGGTTGGAGAGGTTACTAAAGATCTAACCAGACACGATCGTTCGCTGCAGTGCTATTTCGTAAACAAGCCTCAAAACAACGCAAAATTCCTCCCAGCACTGACTCCAAGGAACTGTTCTGGTCCCTCGGCACCGAAGCCAAGACCGCCATCCGGTCAAAGTTGCTGGAAGGTCTAGCAAGAGAACAGATCAATCAAGTCAGGAATAAAATTGGAGATGCAATCGCTGAGATCGCACGGCAATATGTGGATGCGGGTAAGGAGCGATTGACCCTTACTTCCGGCTTCTATTCTGGCTGACATACCATGGAGGCACGAACGAGACCTGGGTGGAACTGCTGCATGCGTTGTTCCAAGCGAGCCAGTCAACCGACGCCGGCATGCGTGAATGTTCATTCAGGATATTCTCCACAACTCCTGGCATCATCGAGAGAGAACATGAAGGTGCGGTCCAGGAGGTTTTCCTCAAGGGTTTCAAGGACAGCAGTGTCGAGGTGAGATTTTGGCGCCATCATTGAGAGTGGGCGACGCATATTGACTCGGTCCAGGTCCGTCTCTCCGCAATCGAGGCGTTTGCCTCGTTCTTTCATTCCGTCACGAAGAAGACACAGCCAAAGTATTATCCATTGATACCCGAAATTCTCAACATTCTACCACCACTCAAAGAAGCTGGCGACACCGACAATCTATCAAAGGCATTTGTCTCGCTTATCGAACTTGCCGAAATATGCCCGAAAATGTTCAAAGGACTCTTCAACAATCTCGTCAAGTTTAGCATTTCAGTCATACAAGAGAAGGAGCTCGGGGATCAGACACGACAAAATGCTTTGGAGTTGATGGCTACCTTTGCCGAATGGGCGCCGGCAATGTGCAAGAAAGATCCCTCATATGTGAATGATATGGTTACGCAGTGTCTCAGCTTGATGACTGACATTGGAATCGACGATGATGACGCCTCGGAGTGGAACGCGACCGAGGACCTCGACAATGAAGAAAACGACATGAACCATGTCGCGGGCGAGCAGTGCATGGACCGCTTGGCCAACAAGCTGGGAGGGCAAGTGATGCTTCCTGCAACATTCACCTGGCTACCGAGAATGATGCATTCGGCTTCGTGGCGAGATCGACACGCCGCTCTGATGGCCATCTCTGCAATCTCCGAGGGATGTCGAGACCTCATGATCGGCGAACTAGACAAGGTCCTCGAGCTGGTTGTTCCGTCCCTGAGAGACCCTCATCCACGGGTCAGATTTGCCGGGTGTAATGCTCTGGGCCAGATGAGCACCGACTTCGCTGGGCCGATGCAAGAGAAGTACCATCAGGTGGTGCTGACAAACATTATCCCCGTTCTCGAAGCGCCTGAGCCACGAGTACAGGCACATGCGGCCGCTGCACTGGTTAACTTCTGCGAGGAGGCCGAGAAGTCGATTCTGGAACCGTACTTGGATCAACTACTTGGACATCTCCTCCAGCTCCTGCAATCTCCCAAACGGTATGTTCAGGAACAGGCACTCTCCACGATCGCTACCATTGCCGACTCGGCTGAGAGTGCCTTCATTCGCTACTATGACACCTTGATGCCTCTTCTCTTCAACGTCCTGCAAGCCGAACAGTCCAAAGAGTATCGATTACTCCGCGCCAAAGCCATGGAATGCGCAACGCTCATCGCCTTGGCTGTGGGCAAGGAGAAAATGGGCCAAGACGGTATCACACTCGTTCAAATTCTCGGCAACATCCAGCAAAACATCACGGATGATGACGACCCACAATCACAGTACCTCCTGCATTGCTGGGGACGGATGTGCAGGGTCCTCGGCTCTGATTTCGTCCCCTATCTTCCTGGAGTTATGCCTCCCTTGTTGGAGCTTGCGGCCGCCAAGGCAGACATTCAGCTAATAGATAGCGAAGACGAAGTGCTGGAAGAGGAGGGATGGGAGTTGGTGCCCTTGAAGGGGAAAGTGATCGGTATCAAGACATCCACGCTCGAAGATAAGCATACGGCGATTGAACTGATCACAATCTACGCTCAAATATTGGAAGCCGACTTCGAGCCTTACGTGGCCGACATCACGGAACGAATCGCTCTGCCTGGCTTGTCGTTCTTCTTCCACGATCCTGTACGGGTGGCTTCCGCCAAACTGATCCCTCAGTTACTCAATTCGATCAAAAAACGATACGGCGACCAGTCGCCGCAGTTGAACGAGATCTGGACGAAATGTTCTGAGAAGGAGATCGAAATTCTCAGTGCCGAGCCCTCCATTGACACCCTAGCAGAAATGTTCCAATGCTTCTACGAGAGTGTCGAAGTGGTAGGCAAGGGCTGCCTGGCGCAACAGCACATGGAACAATTTGTGCAGTCGGTCAAGTCGACATTGGAGGAGTTCCAGAAGCGTGTCCACGAGCGCGCTGAAGAAAAGGCGGAAACCGCCGCCGCCAACCAAGGCCCGGATGCCGATGAAGAGGATTCCTTGTCTGTACAGTATGCCATCGAGGACGACCAGACCCTCCTCTCAGACATGAACAAAGCCTTTCACACCATATTCAAGAATATGGGTGTTGCATTCCTACCGGCGTGGCAGCAACTCATGCCCTTTTATGACGCGTTTGTCACTAGCCCGGACCCAATGCAGCGGCAATGGGCGATCTGCATCTTTGACGATGTATTGGAATTCTGTGGGCCACAGTCCTGGCAGTATTCCGATCACATAATCCAGCCGCTGATCAACGGGATGCGGGACGAAAATGCGAATAATCGACAAGCAGCCGCATATGGTGTGGGTATCGCCGGACAAAAGGGCGGAGAGCAGTGGAGCGACTTTGTGGCTGCGAGTATCGACATCCTCTTACAAATCACGCGTGTCCCTAACGCAAGAAGTGATGATGATGTCTTTGCGACGGAGAATGCTTGTGCTGCAATCGCAAAGATTCTGCACTTCAACGCAGGCAAGGTGGCCAATCCGCAGTCGGTCGTGGAGCAGTGGCTCGACACGCTACCCGTGGTCAACGATGAAGAAGCGGCCCCGTATGCGTACAGTTTTGTGGCGCAACTGATTGATCAGTAAGTGGGAAATCTTGCCGCGACATCGGCCGAAATACCTTTTTCGGATTGCTAACATTTACTTTGCAGACAAAATCCCGCCGTGTTTGCGAAAGCCGCCCAAGTCTTCCATCATATCGCGCTTGCTCTCGAAGCGGAGATGATCCAAGGAGCCACAGCCAAGAAAATCGTCGAGAGTGCCAAGGTGCTGGTTGGCAAGACGGGGATCAATGCTGAGCAGGTTCTGCAAGGCCTCAGCGAAGACGGGCAGAGAACCGTGAGGAGTTATTTTGCATGATGCCTCATTCCGGCCTAGGAGGGGAGAAGGAGATTGGAAAGAAGGGGGGCTGACTGTTGTCGTCCTCGGCAGCCTTGGACTCGATCGGGAAAGGATGCTGCACCGAGGCCGGGAGAGAATATCGGAGGCGAGATAGATGCGACGAGCGGGAGAGCAAGGAGAGGATGGACAGCAAAAGACGGAACGAAGAATGAAACGCCAATCTCTCTCAGTCACACCCACACTCATACGCACATCTGGCTTATGGATGTTCGAAGTGGATGTGATTTCAAGGCGGGGTTGGTGTTCCGGTCCCCCATCTTTCTACCGGCCTTTCCACCATGATCACTAGGTTATTTATGCTAGACGTCTCTCCATATTCCCCTTCACTACAACTCCAGACTCATTGGGGATTGGGGGAATTCCTTTTTTCTCTTTGGAATCAGAACTCGATATGAGATGAGATGAGATGATAGAACCCGGGGCTGGGGAAGCAAGGACGCGAGAATGAATGCCATGTTCCTTACCTTGTTACCACAGCACATGCCCTACTAGCACGAGGAGATTGAGCAGCGTGAATAAATGGATGGATGGGGAAGGCGAGTAGGTAAGTAGGTAAGTATTACATAACTATCTCACTCAGCTGGTGCCCAGTAAGCGAACAAGCAAACAAGCACGTACCTTAACTACTCCGTATCTAACTATACCTCCATCCCTCTATACATATAGATACATATAGATCCATGATCCCTTCTAGCACTCGGTCAGTCCCGTTCCCCCCTTTTACGATCGAATGGTGGGGAAATCATAACGCCAGTCTTATGTATATATACATGGCTCGCTCGAGAATGTGTGGATCGAAGTCTACCTTACAGCATTCTCTCTAAGATGTACGCCACTTTCTGCCTTCAAATTACGCTTCGAGCAGGTACTATATATCGAGTAGCTGTGTAGGTACCCCTGAATGAAGATACTGCTAGAATATAGCACGAGCAGATAAGACAGCATAGCTCGGTACACAAGCAAAAGATAATGTGCGAGGCCTTGTACACACGGGCCAGAGCCTTAGATACGCAAAATACGGATGGACAGGTAAATAGGTAGGTATATACAAGAAACTCCATTCACCGCTTCGATCCCCCATCGGCGTCAAGAGACTGACTGGCTTTCCTTGCACTCGACTTTTGTCCCCGTGCTCGACACGACACATGATCGGAATCAGATGATACCTCCCTTCTTGTCGTTGTTAAAGAAAACATTCCTCCCTTCTCGTCCTGTCCCCTTCCAAACTTCTGGGTATAGTAAGGCGTCACGTACCATCCAAAGCAGGAGCATTGTCATCCGTCGCATCCCAACAGTCATTCTATACCCAATATCACGCAATGCGCCATGCTGTCATGCACGGCAACCAACGTCCCCTTTTCTAGTTCGCTTCATGACCAGTCCGAACCCGGACCCCGTCATGTAAATCATAAGCTTTCAGGGCTCATCATGCTCGCGTCCCCGTCCCCAATCACCCCGTTGACTTTTTCGACCCCATTCACCTGGGGCATCTCTCCATTGACGCCGTCCATCATATCCAAAGCCTCCACAGCAGGTGGTAGTCCGTTGTCGCCTTGATTCTTGTCAATATCAGAGACCTGTTGAACTTCAGTTGTCGAAGGTTTTGCTTTCAGCACCGGTTTTTGTTTCTTCTCAGGACTTCCATCCCCACCAGGGCCGGGCGTTGACGGAGTAGCATTTCCCACTCCATTGACCATCGGACTATCGTCCCCCACACCGTTGGCGACGACCGACTTCCGCTTGCCTTTATCCCCAGGTGTGGTACTTCCCACCGCAGCGGCAGCAGTAGCCTTCGCAGCGTTTGCAGCATTCCTGTTAGCTGCGGCCTTTTTCTGGGGACTGGCGTTACTCTTGAGCGTTCCCTCCCCAATTTTGCCCGAGGCAGGAATTCGCGCCCTTCCGTGGCCAGGCCTTTGCTTCGGTGGCAGTTCCAGATCCTCCGTGAGGGGACGCTCGCCGTTATCACGCAGGCGTTTCTTAAACCAATCCCTGATCAGACCAATCTGCTCATCCACATTTTCCATGCTGATCTTGGGCCAGCGGGGTGGGTCGATGAACATCTTCTCCGCCAAATCTGCGGAGTTAACTTGTTGATTGCTGAGGCCGAGACGGTTCTGCAAAATGTGGAATGGTACTGTCAGACTGGCCATGCCGAACTCCTTATCGAGACCTAGTTCGCGGAAGCCGAAGAAGTCTTCATCGAGGTCGCCTGCAAAGTCTCCGCCCACATACTGCTCTCCACCGTCTGCAAAGGATCCTTGTCCATGAGCAGTGTCGTCTGTCAAAGCTGGCCGGAGGAGATCGGCGAGATGTCCTTTCATCCGCTCATGCATCATTGTGAGTTTACTGGCTGCACGGTCCACATCTTCTCGTGCATACACGTCAAGTTCATTAAGCGACATACCACCGGAATGCAGAGAGTGAAGAATCGCCTCCTCCGCTGTATATGGAGACTTGTACACCACGTCGGCTTTCTCACCCTGAGCCACGGGAACTGTGTTCGGCACTGGAATCTTGTAGTCTTCTCTGTAGTTCACCAGGGTAGTGCATAGTCGCTGGAAAAAGTCTGCTGCTAGGTCCGTCATGGCATCAATCGCCGAAGGTTGGAACTCCTCGAACCCTGCGTGGAAGAAGATCTCCCCAATCGACCTTTGAAAGGCAGCCTTGCAGACCCAGGGAGCGATGACAGGCCCATCGTCTGACATGACATGGTTTGGGATGTCTGCTTCTACAAAGGGTTCTGCTTGGTACTTCTGGAATTGATTGTGATAGGTCTGCGACTGGAGTTGCATCTGTTTGACCACGCTGATCTTGGAAACCACCTTCCGTGTGTCTTGCATTTGTCGCATGTTGGACTCGATCGTTTTGGCCAACTTGCCGTGCGGGGCAACAAATTGACCCTGAGGATACAATCGCAGGAACTCCTCAGCATGTTCGATGACATGTCCTTCAGAGTCTTGTTCCCATCTCAGTCGGGGGTCGATGTCGGGTATGGCAGCCAGCGAATCGTAATAGTCAGGGAGCATGTTCTCTTCCTCGACTTCCATTCCCTCAGCGAGAGTTTGCCCATGGATTTCAACCCTATTATCCCGTTCAGAAGTCTCTGCCCCAAGGTCTGCAACATCTTTGCCTGCGGCTTCTTGCTGCATGCGTTGCCACCTGCGCATACCGGCTTTACTTCGTAGTAACGCGGTCTCCTCGGCATTCAGTTTGTCTCCGCGGAAGAGCTTGTGTCGCGCGGCCGCGAGCATTGCGCGATCCTTTTTCGTCTTCTGTTTCCAAAGTTTATATTCCTCATCTTCGTATTCAGGTATCGGCGTTTGGGAAGGAAGTGCGGGTAGATCCAAATCCATTGCTTCACTTCCACCACCTGCAACACTGCCCGGACCAGGAGCGCCAATGGGTGTCAAAACTCCCGGTGGCGGAGTCGAGTGACCTTGGCTCCCGTCCACCTCAGATTCTGCTCGGATACCATTCTGCACGGAGCTCAGTGACTGCAACACAGGCTTGGTCTCTGGAATAGGGGTCGTTTCAGGCGGGGCTTTTCGGCCTGCTGCTCCCCCCTTCTTTGCACTTTTCTTGGGGGCCTTACGGCCTCGGGATGACATTATGGGCTCATCATCGCTTTCTTCAGCCCCGTCGTCGAGTTCACCCTGTTGCCGTCTCTCTTCAGCCTCGACTTCGGCACGGTCTCTGATGACGATATCTGGAATCAGAGGGACGAGCTTGTCCGTCTCTTTCTGCATGAAGAGAGCGTGCTTTCGAAAGAGATGGTCAGGGTTGCTGTTAAACTTGAGACAGTTCTTCCAAATCTGATTGAGATCATCGACAAATTCCTTCTTGGACTTGTAAGCGAATTGTTTGAGTTTCTTGGTCATGGTACCGAGATCCATGGGGTGCTTGATGACTAGATAATAGTCGGGTGCGTCCTTCTTTTTGACGGGGTTGAGGAATGGAGTCGAGTGCTCAGTGTGGGCTTTCAACTCGGTCAAGACTTTCTCCGCTGCCTCGTACAATTCTTCCTGACCGATCTTGTCCTCGCTTGCCCATTTGCTCCGGTTCTTGCGCACCTCACTCATCAGCGCACGAAGCTCCGATTCAGTTGCATGGACTAGGTTGCGATGTTCATCCAAGCGCGCAATAAGGTTCTTAAGCGTAAGACTTGATGCGCCGAGATTGGCTTTGCTCAGACTACCTTGTTGCATTGCTGCATTTTGTCGGTTAGCATGACCTTCTGCTTCAGCTTCCGCTCGGCGCTCTGCCTCATCTAGGCGTTGCTGATCCAACATGGCGTCCCTGTCATTTTCCAGCGTGAAAAACATCGTCCGCGACAGGGTTTTGACGGTCTCGATTTCCTTGCGCTTGGCCTCTTCCAGCTTCTTGCGAGCATCCTCGGCATCTTCCTTCTGCTTGTTGTGTCCCGCCTTGGAAGCGGCCTTCACCGAGTCGGAAGGAATGCTCGGGGGCGGGGCGGGCCTCGGGGTCGGCGACGAGGTAGCGTCAGCGACGATATGCACCTTATTCGGGTTTTCCTTGGCGGAAGACGCGTTCGCCGCATCGGCGTCGGGTTGCTCGTCGGCGTCATCGTCGTCATAATCGTCGTAGTCGTCATCTTCCAACTTGCGCTTTTTTGATATAGGAGCAGGGGGCGGAGCGGACGGGGCAGCATCGTCGGGCGCGGATTGTTGGGAGGGAGCGGCAGCGAGAGTGCGCCTTTGAGGAATTATAACTTGTCCGACATCATTGAACAGCGTTGCAAGTTTGCTCTCGGCATCTTGGAAGAGTGCGCGAAATCGGACAATCTGGGGGTCTTCCTCGATGCTGGGCTCTGGCTCCGCAGCTTGGCCGGACTGGGAACCGCTCCCCAGACTGCGTAATTTGAAGGAACTCGGCGTATGTGGTCTTGAGGGAGCGCGGAGCAGGCCGTTTAAAGTGTCTCTGTGTAAAGCATGCAGGAGAGGTTCATCGTCTGGTGGTTTCTGACTGTTTGGGGGCGGCCATGATAGGGACATGGCCGTGCCAACCCCGACTGCGGCGAGGCGAGGGGCGTAACTCCTCCAGTTTGAAAGGGAAGCCTCAGCGCCGACGAGGGAATCGTGGGAATCGGCCAAAAATCGAGGAGACAGTCGGTCGGGGTGCGAGGGTGTTCCCGAACATTGATTGAGAAGAATGTCGGCCGAATGGGTGGTGGTGGTGATAAAAATCTCTGTCGACTGTTGATGCGATTACGCAGAGGCGAGGCTTGAGGTTGAAAGAAACGTTACAAACTGCGGTTGGGATTGAGTGAGCCAGCGGAGGCCCTAGGTGCCTTAGTGACTCGCGCCTGCCGAGCCTAAGCTACTCGTTCCTTAGGTGGTGCACCTGCTTCTCCAACTCCCGGGCGGCCTGCTCCTATAATTCCACTTGTCTCCAGGCCTCACTCAATTCCCGAACCATCGTCTCCAACTGAAGTCGCGCATCGTCGCTTTGTTCTCTAGGACTACTGTTTGCATTTGCGCTGTCTCTCGCCGTTGGTCATGTCCGAGTCTGCCTGAAGCTGGCACTCCGCCAGCCGAGTCCGACAACCCGCAGTGCCCGACATCGCATCCCTCGAGGACAGACAACGTACCTGTGTATCCCTCCATTGTCGTCTGAGCAGCAACTTCGACATTAACACCATACCGACACAATGCGAATCCGCTTTCCCTTCGCAAGTAAGCAAGTCCCGAACTCCTCTTAATTTCTCTCGATGCTAACGAGTCCTCCGCAGTCACTTTCGTCATCCTCTTGGTATTCTCGTCGAGTCTAGGCCTGCTCCCTCACTCGTCCCTCCCCTCAACACCAGCCGCAGCGCAACCCTACATCCCTTCGCAGTCCGACAAGGCATTACACTTCATATGCTTCTTCCTCCTCACTCTGACGTTTTACTTCATCCTTGACACCTCTCGGCGGCGGGTGATTCATCTGACCTTGATCGTATGCACATTGCTCTTGGGAGTGGGCAGTGAAATTGCACAGGGACTCTTGCCTAATGATCGTGAGTTTGACGCTTGGGATGTTCTAGCAAATGTCGTGGGGAGTCTTGCAGCACTGGGCTTAGCGAGCGCATATCATCGTCGGGCCGCCGAACGGAGGAGAAGGGCGAAATATTCTGCGCTGACGGGTGACGGCTTGGAAGGTGAAGACCTAGAATTGGGCGAGGGCACAAATGGTACCTTACGCTCGTCCGACGTCGACGGCGAGGAAGGACAAGAGACCGGTGTCGCGCCGGCGCGGACGGTGGAGGACGAGCTAGACAATTGGGATGAAAACGCTCCAGATGATGCCTGGGATGAAGATGACGATACAACGGCAACCAGTGGACAAAACACGAAGGTGACGCCTTCGACGAGCTCGGTTGGGAGCGAGGAACCGCCAAAAAAGGTTGCAGTAGACTAACAAGTCAGGATTCCGGGGTTGTCTGGTATATGGTAGGAGCGGAATGAGACAAAATGGGGCACATGAATATGCAGCGCATCGAACCGAATCGGACCAAGATATCTACGGAATGTACGACTACTCGCCTCCCGTGCTTTGTCTCAAGGGATCGCAATGATTTAGGCCAGATCAGATATAGTAATGAAGGGAATCGATCAGAAAGGCGCTGCACTTCAACTACACTATTTCCCGGAGTTCACTGGTTGGCATTAGGAGCAAACCAGACCAGTTCCTGGTCAGTTCCGCCGCGTTTCTTCGTTTCTGCTTGTTCCACTGGCTCTGCTAGCGCCATCCTGCGTGATATGGATGTTCGGATCGTTGCACTATCCCTCTTCCTTTGCTGTGTTCGTTTCGCGTCATGATCATGATGCCTCATTCCCATGTAGACGCAGACTCGTTCTTGTTGTCGTCCGGCCTCAGGTTTTCCTCCTCCCGATTGGCGGCCCTGACGGTCTTCTTCCAGATTCCGTCGAAGCCTCTAAGTAGCAAGTACTCTCCTTCCCGTCTCTGTCGAATTTCATGTCCTGCTTGTATTCATGTATGGTGAGGGCCTTAACGGAAACAGCTGAACCTCCCACAGCTGAAGCGGAAGGGATTTCTCCTTACACCGTGACGGCCAACAGTAACTCCACCCCCGGCGTGGCGACCGCCCCAGTTTCTGGCTTGTTGTTAGCTCTCGTTTGTGTTGTGGTGAGAAGGCGTTGGGTTCGGTGACATGAATTCATTGTAGACAGTTGGACGTGAGAGCCAGCTTACTTGGTGTAAAGAAATGGCATTTTCTTTTTCCTTTACTGGTAGCGTTGACGGTGGAGGAAGGCTGGGTAAATGAAGCGGCGAGTTGTGCTGTTCTGTGGATTGTTCCTGATCGTGTGGTGAGAGCAACTGACGCACAGCAGTAGTACTACCAGGACGAGGCGGATACACGAAGAGGGCCACGCAAAGGATAGAAGCGAATGGTGACTCCAGAGGTTACGATGTAAATGCCAGAAGGAATCTTCAACGGGTTGTATACTGAGGAAATCGCGGTCATTATATGCCAATGGGTACACGGACACAGCCTGCTAAGATTGGAGAGCTCTTGGTATGACGCTCTTCAACATTCCAGCGGCTGGGCAGAGGGGTCGTTTTTGCCAAGGACATTAAGGTGTCTTTCTTGCTTGGAGGAAAATCAGGATGTCGATTTGAGATGAAGTTGGACAGCCACAAGGTGCGAAGCCGGAAGATCGAATGACGTAAAGCAACACTCAGCCTCGTGCTGCACGTCACAGTCACGTGCCTATATAAACAGTGCCGCTTTAACACCGTCTGGACAACCTCATCCTTACTTGCCCTGCGCTGTCTCCATCTTCAAAACAAATCAAAACACCAGGTTGGGCTTCTGAAGCCTCCATTTCTGCAGGCGCTGGCCTGAACTGATGAGGCTAAGATATGGTGCGCCTTGAATAGCTACCTCTTAGCCTCGAGACCCAACCACTCGAAACGCGCTTCTCCTGGAACGCGCTGAGGCTCTGCTACACGATATCACACCACCCTGGCCTCCTGTCCAGCGACTCTGGTCAAATGGTTTTGTTCGCGCCGCTCCGCATGCTGTGTTCCACTGTTTTCTCCATTGATGCTCTCACCACCATTCTAGCTCCTCAGTCCACTTCCCCCTTCTTAAACCCGCCGTCTCAGATGCGTCGCTAAACGTGTATCAGATCGACGTCGCTTGGCCAAAGACAAGACCTTCATATGTTGCCATTCCCCCTTATCACACCACTGTTGCTCCTCGCCCAGCGCAATGGCAACCGACAAATTTCCTTATAGACCTGCTGCACTATCTGCCAATATGGAATGTGAACATACCGCAGGCTCGGTCTTTTTTTCCTATCTTTGCACTTTCAACTTTCCGCGTCCCTATCGCAGAATTCGAGTCGAGGACGCCGCTGGTCCGGTCCTTGCCATTCCGTATTGCACTGTTCACTCTCCAATTCCCTAAGCACATCGATTTGAGCACCAAAACATCCGCTGGCTCGGTTCATAGTCGTCCTGACCGCAGGGTCAACTTCCCAGAATACTACGCAGAAGCCTTCAACCCTCCAAGCTTCTTACCGATAAGCACACATACGTCCAGCGACGCTCGCACTCGGCTCTGCCAACGTTCTCAAACATGTCGGAACGAACGAGGTCAACACCACTGATGAGGATGCTCCTCTCGGGCGAGGTCAGTGGGGAGGAGCCCAGAGATTTGTCTCCTAAAGAGAAATTTAATAGATGGATGGTAAATGAAGGATCTCGACGCCTATTCGTCGGCGTCTTCATCCTCGTGCACTGCATGTTGTACGGCTTTGGCTTTATGAACTATCAGCTGAAGGACAACCTAACCAAAGCCCGCGCCACCTATGGCTACGGCTATCCCATTGCTCGATCAGCAGCCCTTGTCCTGCACTTCGATGTTGCCTGCATTCTCCTACCGGTTTGCCGAACCCTCATCTCCCTCGCTCGACAAACACCCCTAAACGGAATCATTCCTTTCGACAAAAACATTACGTTTCACAAACTCGTGGGGTACTCAATTGTTTTCTTCACATGGGTTCACACCATTGCTCATTTACATAACGTCGCACAACTCTCTGCGAAGGGCCACGGAGGTTTTATCGGCTTCGTCAAGCTCAACTTTCTTACAGGCCCTGGCTGGACCGGCTATATTCTAACAATCTCGGTCATGGCTATGTTTTTCACCGCGCTCGAAAAGCCTCGGCGGGCTAACTACGAGCGCTTCTGGAACACCCATCATTTATTTGTCATCTTCTTCATCTTCTGGTCAATCCACGGAGCTTTCTGCATGATCCCAGCGGATAATAAGCCATTCTGTTTCGGCAATGGCTCCTTCTACCTTTACTGGATGGTGGGTGGCTTCACTTATCTTGTGGAGCGTATCCTACGTGAGATCCGGGGTTACCAGAAGACTTATATAACTAAGGTGATCGAGCATCCCTCGAACGTGGTCGAGATTCGGATCAAGAAAGAGCATACCAAAACACGGGCAGGCCAGTACATCTTCTTATGCTGTCCGGAGGTTTCCCTCTGGCAGTATCATCCATTTACCCTGACGTCCGCGCCTGAAGAAGACTATCTCTCTGTCCATATCCGCATGGTTGGAGACTTCACCAAAGCCCTCGGAAGAGTTCTCGGATGCCAAGGTCTCAAAAGCAACGAGGAAAAGTCGGCCAAATACTCTGAAGCCGTGTCGACGATCGACGAGAATGGTATGAAGCTCACCAAACTTCTTCCACGGCTATACATTGATGGGCCCTTTGGTTCAGCCTCGGAAGATGTCTTCAAGTTCGAGACTGTTCTCCTGATTGGCGCGGGTATCGGGGTGACACCCTTCGCCTCGATTCTGAAGTCAATTTGGTATCGCATGAGAGACTCCTCGTCCTCAACCCCAAGGACGCGACTGCGAAAGGTGTATTTTTTCTGGGTATGCCGAGACTTTGGCTCACTGGAGTGGTTTAAGTCCCTACTCACTGCCATCGAGAGCGAGGATAAGAGCCACGCCATCGAAATCCATGCGGTAAGTTTGTCCCTTCCCAATTTCTTCTTTCTCGCTCTCCCCTTTGAGGCTTCGGCTAACACGCTTGTGAACAGTACTTGACGGCCAAGATCACAGCCGCTCAGGCATCCAACATTGTCCTGAATTCCGGGGATACCGACGCCATCACAGGTCTCCGTACAGCTACGAACTACGGGCGTCCAAACTGGGACATGGTGTTTCGCGCCATCCGCAAGATCCACTGGCCGGGCGAGTGTGGTGTGTTCTTTTGTGGACCCAAGGGGTTGGGAGCCGAGCTGCACGTCAAATGTAACATGTACACCGATCCCGGGGATAAAGGCTACAGTTTTGTCTGGGGCAAGGAGAATTTCTAGATGTTAGAGTGAGGGTGTGCCTCTGGCCACGTCGCTGCCCTTGCCAGCCAACCACTCCCTGTTGATATGTATTTCTATCAAGATGCATTTTTCAGCGGATCTATTAAGTAACAGACACCTCGTCTATCGTAGAAGCACAAGCTATCGCTCGCGGCAGGATTCCCCGACGCCAATCCAGCCAGGACTCTGCCCTCGCACCCTCGGCGGCGTCCAGTATTCCCACGGCGATCTTCAACGTGTCCGTCCCCTCGGTGGCAAGGAAGACGGTCGCGCCACAGACGCCGCAAAACCCCTTGGCGGTGCTGGAGGACGGACGGTGGTAAGTCTTCAACGTACCCAAATCCCGGTGTTGCTGATAGGGGACGAGGCCGTCCTTGTCCAGAGAGATTTGACTCGCGCGGACATGCGCCGCCGCCTCGACGAACCACTCCATCCCGGTGTTCAGACGGCAGCGGCAGCAGGAGGAGGGGGAGGGGGAAGGGGAGGGGGAAGGGGAGGGGGAAGAGTCGTGCTCGCATGCGCAGAGTGTCGCGACGTACTTGGATCTGCCGTCCGCGGGACGGGCGATCCAGAACTCGACCCCGCCGCACTTACAATGCGCGTGTAGTCGATCGGCCAGGGACGGCGTAGAAGACGGTGGTCGGCCCGGGGACACCCAATGCAATGCTAGCTGTTCGCCCTCGCCTGGATGGCCGGCCCAGCGCTCGATCCGCCCGCTCTGCGCGCACGAGGGCAGCATGTCCGCGACGGCCCCGTCGAGCGTGTCGGCGAGGTACTCGTGGCGCGGGCGGTAGACGCCCTGGACGTCTGCGTCTGCGTCTCCGGCGCCGGCGCTCTCGAGCGTGCCGCACATGACGAACCACCTCGCCACACTCCCGTCCCGTCGTTCCCTGGGGAGCACACGGGCCACCATGTGCGTCCCGCATGCAGCGCAGAAGAAGTGCGTGATCCGTCCCCTGGAGAACTCAAACGGGGTCAACTTCTCCAGCAGCGTTGCTGGCAGTCGATAATGGCACTCTTCTTCCTCCAGTGGCACTGAGACCGGGAAGCTGGTCACGCAGAGAGCGCCGCTCATCCGTCGGCACGACGTGCAGTGGCAGAAGGCCGCCTGGATGGGGATTGCGGCCTCTGGTAAAGCGATTTCGTGCCTGGTGGCGCTGCACGCGCAGCTGCCTCTGACTGTTCGAGTTTCCCGCGGCATTGAGATGGACGAGGTAGGTAGATAGTCGTGTGCAGATAGAACGAAAGAAAGAATGGAGCAGCTATGAGGCGCAAGTGAACTCTTATTCCTCGCCCAGATATGATATGTAGGGACTGATCTCCATCTTCCCCCTCATGACTGCGTAGACGCTCACTAGCCTTGGCGACCCTCAGTTCATCTCCTGCGTCCCGAACACCCCCTTAAACACCCTCCGACCACACGCTGAGTAAATCATCGAAAGATGCTTTTCGAAGATGCGGCGACATCCCTGAATCGTTATCAGACTCCGTCATTCAGAGGATGGGCCCCGAAATGGGCCGATGCTTTAGGAGAGGGCCTTGAAGTGACGGTTGCCACCAAGACGCGACTTCTGTGCAGCGCGGCTTTGGGTGAGACAAGATAGACAATCTCGGTACGATACGAACCAAGGAAGTGTAGCAGTAAAGGCGCTATCTCCTCTTGTACGGGTTGACATGCTATTTAGTAACGTAGAGACTGACTCGAATGTTATTCGATGGCATGTCCGGAGATGAGCGGAAAGGCTTCGCTCCGTGAAGCATGACTTATGAGTTCCATGAGTCGATATGCAAGAACCAATTGCACACTCATAGCGGCCATGGGACTCTCGCAAATGCGACTCCCTCTCGACCGCAAAGACTGTGGCCGAGCAATGATTGTGAGGACATTTGAAAAGCTCGTGCTTTTCTCGGGCGTGCTTCATCATCTTGTCTTTGCGGGAGAACGTCGCAGTGCAGTCGCTCTCGAGACAGGGATACCCACCTATAGTGTTGTGAACAGTGGCCAAGTGTCTTTTCAGGTCGCAGGGTTTTCCAAAGGGCTTCTTGTAAGAACAGCCTGGATGTGTACAGACCAAAGGAGCAACATGCATATTTCTGACATGGGCCTTCATAGCGGAGGGAGAATGGAAAATTGCCTTCGAGGCACAGTCTGGCCAGGGACATTTCTGGGGCCCGGACCAGGTGATTTTGATGGACGTGGAAGTCGATGGAACCGTACTGTGCGCCTCGTTAGCGTCGGTCTAAAAAAAAACCTCACGTTGATTGGTTCAGCTCGTGGGTATGCAACGGCGTCCCCAGTTCCTCGTTGTTGGCCGTGATCAGGCTGGCGCCCAAAAGTGAAGTCTGTGCGACCTCAAGTCCGCCCGTGTGGGAGTGACCAGCGGTGTTCTCGAAAGTCTGATACCCATCTCGTAGACTGGAAAAATTGCCGACATCAAAGACTGACTGTCCAGCTGTTTGGAAGGCCACCGCAGTGTCCAGAGGAGTAAAACCACTTGAATCAGAGGGCTGCGAAGTCGCAAACGCATCGGGGTTGAAGTTACTGGCGCCGTTCCATGCCATGTTGAATTGTTGACTCTGTTCCGCAGCGCCTGGGTCATCGAAGAGCTGTCCGCCGTGCTGTGCATCGGCCTGACCGCTCCCCAGGCGAACGTCAAAGGGATTGACGATGACTGAAGTCATTGTAGAACCGCCGAACAGGTCGAGGTTGGGCAGGTCGAACAGATCGAGCTCCGGGAGTTCATCTTGGAGAAGTTGCGTGAAAGAGCCGTCGTACCTTTGTTCAGAGGACATGTTTGTTAGGGTGACTGCGAAGTTGAAGGCTTCGTTCGAATGGAGAGAGCAGCTGTGACTGATTTTTGGGAGGTGGTAGAAAAGGTTGCGAAGAGGATACGGTAGAGAGGTGCGAAAGGAGTGAAGTGCTGGGGATTGACACTGTGCGCCCTCGGCCCCTTCTCACCACGCCCTGTATCACCTGAGAAGAGGGCGCCCCTCGTATTGAGAAGCAGGCATCATGCAGGCGCCAGTGAGGCTGTCACATCACAATAAAAGGGACGACGGTGACCAGTGGTGCCAGTCAATCAGAATCTTGACGCCTGTAGGAGGCTTGGCACTTGGTCTCGATCACTCACTCACTCACTGACTCCTCGTGGCGAGCGCAGAACAGGCAAACGCCCATCTGGCCAGTTCGCTTGTTGGTCCTCCGCACGCCTCTCCAACTTGCCGTTCGCTTCTTCACTTTGTCCATCGGCCAGAGCACCTTCGAGGCCTACCGAGCACCTCGTACACGCTTCATAAACCCTTTTCAGCAAGTTTCACCCCACGACAAGCTATGACAAAGTCCAACAGCACTACCCTCCCGCTTTATCTGCGTGCTTCCCACCAATCATTCAACCCGAGAAACTAAATGCAGCAATTCTAGGTCCATCTCCGGTTAAGCGTGTCAGTCCCAAATGGCTGTTGACGTGGACATTAACCTTCCCCCGGCCCAGAGCCCGACGGTCGGCTACGTCTCGACTCTCGCCGTTGGTCAGTCAAAATCAGGGACGAGTATAGACTCCTCCAAGTGAACGAACTGCCAAACCCTCCTGGGAAGAATGCCCGTGGCTTGTCCAGGGTCAAAATACAACCGACATCTTAGTCATGTTGTTGAATCTCTCGGTTACCCCATTACCCTTCTGAGAACGGAGTACATACTTGGTAGTTGGGGGAGGCATGATTCTGGGTTGAAAGACAAGAACATAAGAGATATGGGATCCGCAGCTAGCACATATCATCCACACTCCCAAGTCTTGACTATGTAATCGTTCCTTGGCCTGCATCCAGCATGGCGCAACAAAAGCTTGTCTTCGTCCACCAACATTCCACCACATCCATCCGAGACAAGGAGCTTCAGGTCGCCGAGGTTCGCTCTCATATAGCCAGACTCATTCACGGTCGGAGAAGGCTTACGAAGCCCGCGCTTTTCTCCAGAAGAGGGACTTCTACACATCTCAATCTATACTTGTCCAAGGCGGTCGCAAAGAAGCATACCACCAATGTCGAGCATCGAGAGGCCAGAGAAGATCCCACAGGGCACACCTCAAAGGAGAAAGCCGACAAGTCTTCCAATTTGCGGGAGCACCTTTTTTGCCCGAGTCCTAGCACGTTGATGCAGCACGGCAATTCAGACCCCTTTTCTGCATCCGCCGTCCAGATCACTCCCCAGAATCACTCCCTGATCGCGACCTGGCAGACCATCTTTGTCCAGACGGTCATTCCGTCCGAGATACAGAAGTCTTCCACATCCCTCACGGTATGGAATACCGAAGGTATAGATATGATTGAGTGCGCTGAACGACTGCACTTTGTCCTGGCCTGGACAACGCTGCTGCAATCGACGACAATGCCGACCTTGCAGATGAAGAAGCAGCTTATGCTGGAAGCCCTGTCGCACAAGGCTGCCGGCATAGTCACGCTGCGGAAGAATCTGCCCACCTTGGCAAGGCTGACTGCAATTCGTGCCGTTTGGCATCTCATGGGGGCTGAATTGTACAGCGGTTATTTGACAGCTGCGCTGACGCATTTCCATGCCATGGTTGACCTTGTTGTATCTGGAGGTGGGCTCGACAGTCTGCCGTGGGAATTGAAGAAGCTGGTCATCGTCAGCGACATGACCATGTCAGCTGCGAGGAAAACGAAACCCACTTTTAAAGTGGTAGGTTTGCCCCCTTCTGCAAGTCGCTGGCTTTTTGCCATGGCGACTGCCCTGCATTCACTGACCAATGATTCTGCTTTGGCAGGATGAATGGGATCCTGGATCAGTGACGACTGTCCTATCCGAATCCGAGACTGTCCTCCTTGCGATTGACGTTTCCAAACAGCAACCCGTCTCTGTGATGGTTCCACCGCGCCTGGTCCACATTATCGAGGCATATCGCGAACTCCTCGCCGTATATCGTATCGTCGCCGACATGACGGACACATCGCGACTGACCGATCTTCTTCTCTGGGCACACCTGCGGCAATATGCGCTGACGACTCGGGTGACTGACATCAAAGCCACCATAGACGAGCTTCCTGAGTCTACCAGCGGCATTGATGTGCAAAGGGCTCTGTGTGTGGCCATTGATTACTTCTCGCAAATCCTCTGGATCAAGAACAATCCTCAGAGAACCGTTCTCGCTCCATTTCGCCACTTGGAAGATTCGTTCGAAATCCTCCAACGTGCCGCTGAGCTCGAACCGTCCTCCCTGACATTGTGGATAATTTTCGTTGCCGCGACCGTTGAACTTGTCCTCAGGCGTAGAGGGCACGGTAGTCGCTACTTCGCAGCAAGATTCACCGCCACGACAACCAGATTAGCGTTCAAGTCCGCAGAACAGGTCCGGCAGTCCTTGTCCTGCTTCTTGTACCAGGCCACGACGTTCGACTACTATCTGAATATCCTGATGAGTCCTACGCAGCAGGTTGAGGGGGGTGTACCAGTGCATCTCATCCAGATGGGGAGCTTTGCGCCCAAGCCGCCACCCCAGGATTCAGGTCTGGTAGACGTGTTCAAGCAGACCTTGACCATCTCCTTTGGGCCGAATCAGGGACAAGAGTCGGTCACGGTGCAGCTTGAAGATATCAGTTGAGGATTATTACCCGCTCAAACATTAGAACCAAATAGAACAAGCCCACGGTGAGGATTACGAGCCCATTTCCACCCTGCCTTGCTTAGTGTACCCATAGGTCTATCTATGACATGGTTATTTATGTAGGTAGGCAGGTAATCGACAGATAATGAGGATCAGGCTGTCTGACATCTTCTTCTCTATCGTCGCGCCTTGGGGTTGTTGCGAGCGCAGGGCCGTTGATTGCTGCGATTCAAGCCTTGAGGGCCCGGCATACGAGCGAGGGATTTGCACAAATGGTGAGAGCACACGACTGGCAGTGCTGCAACGTGTACTCCGTATGTAAGCGGGCATTACGTTCTATTCCTCTTTCGAAGGACCTCGTAGGTCGACATCGGGGAACGCGAGATCCTAAATCAGATTCATGTGGACGGTTCCGGGCCTGTGACAGCCTCATACACGATAAGGGGGCACCTCGACAAGTACACAGTATACCCCCCCGATACGCCGAGTTGTTGCTCCTGTAGCACGCCGCGGCATTCTCCAACCATCCCAGACGGGGCGGATACCAATCCGATAGATCGCTCATCAAGCATTATTTCATTTCATACACATATACCCCATCATGTTGGACGGGCGGCGGAGCAAAAGAAAAGAGACAACACATCGTGCGCGCACACAGCTTTGCAGTTCATCTGTCCGCCCGGCTCAAACTTCTCAGCACGGCGCCCAGATCTCGCGGTGGACTGCCTGATTTCACTTCCAGGGCTTTTCGTTTCCCTTCTTTTTCCCGTTGTGCCAACTTCTCGGCGCACATGGCCAGGACTCTGCCAGCTACGCCGTCTGCGGCGGTCCGGTACTGCGCTATCCTGTGGACTCCGTCCGCAAACGTGTCGACGGTCGGCCCTATCGATTCCAAGACGCCACCTAGGCGCCGTGATATTTGATCCGTGGTCGTCGACGCGTGAGGTCCTATCGAGTCAAGTGCGGCGGCGTCTGCTTCCGAGAGGAGTGATCTGTCCAATTGATGTGCTTTCGACGGACTTGTCGGCACGTCGAGCTCACGCAAGCTGGGCACGTTAGGAGGCCGGAGCAACTTCTCCAGTGCCTCTTTTTCGAGTCGCAAACTGCCATTACCGTCAGCCACTGTGTCTGCAACATCCGCTAACTTCCAAATCTCACCATTTGATTTGCTCCTCCAGTTCGGCAATCTTTTCAATGTTCTGCGTGTTCTTGGGGTTTGGCCGTTCTGGAAGCGGTTCTTTTTGCACGGGTACTTCTTCGCGCCCAAACCAGTCCGATAGATCAGATCTATTGGCCAACTCTTTCAACAGCTCTTCTTCGATTACTCGGGCTGCCGGAATAGTTAGCACGGCATCCCAATGGGACCCAGAGACTCGACGGTCACAAACCTGCTTGTCTTGCGCTGGCCTCCCCAAATCCTGTACCCATTGGCTTTTCATCGAGAGCACGCTCGGCGCACCAGATGAGAAGCTGTTTCATCCGTCTGGGCTCTGGGAGGCCTTCACTTTCAATGTGCTTGTAGTAATCCGACACATTCAGTTCCGGGTGGGGCAGGGCTTGGAGGAGAATTAGCAAATATCAACCGGCTGTATGACCAGATTCTCACCACTGGAATTCCCTGATTCGATGAGCGAACTGGCCCTTCGCCCGCGCATGCCCAAACTACTCCTTCTTTCGCCTTTGCCAGCCTTGCCTTCACGCATGGCTTTGTTCCGTTTGATGACCGGCGTGTCCGCGAACGGTAGCGCAATCTTGGTCGAAGCATGGTCTTGTTGTACTGTAGAGGCGGCCTCCTCTTTTGGATTATTTGCGGATGTCTCGGGAGGTGGTTCGTGCACTCTCTTCTCCGGCGATGTTTTGGGGTGCGCATCAGCGTGAGGCTCGCGCTTCTTCGATTCCTCTCTGCGCACGCTTTTCTTCACAGGACTTCCAACTTGTTGTTCGTTGTCTTTGGATAAACGTTTTGAGCGGCGCCGGGGAGCATCATCCTTCTGAATGGGTGTGGGAAATGAGGTTCGATTCTTCCGTTGTGCGGTCTTCCTTCCCATCTGTTCACCCTTTGCAATCTCAGTCCTATCACTCGTCGGCTGGGGATTAGGCGCGTCGTCTTGAGCTGGTGCGGGACCTCTCTCTTTCTCTGTCGGTTTCGCTAGAGGTGGTTTCTTTTTGACGCGTTTAAATTGAAACCCGTCGTCGTCCTCATCGTAATCTAAGAACCAATGTAAGCCCCTCCGCTCGCAGTTCGCCTTTGGCCCTTCCGACAGTACGTACCAATCTTTCTTTTCTTATCATTGGATGGTCTGGCTGATTGTGCTGCTGCAGGTTCTGAAGCGCCGACAAATGTCTTCGCATTTCGGTTGCTTTGTTCCTGTTTTGAATACACAGTCGCGTCATCTTTTTCTTGAATTCGCGCGCTTAGCCTTCGGGTCGGCCTTTGGATTGAGGACATTGGCAGAGGGTGTAACGCAGGACGCGCAATTAGCATTGTCATTTGAGCGTTGGTGGTGGACGAGGAGAGTCGGATCCCGCGTTTGTTGGTGAGTTCGGTCGCATGCGCAGGTGCGGAGTTGAGCCGGCGGTTAACAGTTATTGAATCTCATTATAACGATATCTCTGCTAAAGAGTGATCGGACTGCGGCGCATTCGAAGAGGGCGTGGGCGTGGGGATTGGCGTTGAAATGGGATCGAAGGTGGTGTCCAGCACTGAAGCGGCTTGCATCGCGGGCTTGTTCAATTGTTTACAGTCTGAGCCGAGCCCGCCAATCACAATCCAGATGCCGCTTTTACACACCGAGCCTCCTGCGCTCCATTGCCAACGCTTCATCAACGACTTTCATCGAACGCTCTCTTTCATTCATGCTCATCAAGTGCGACCTGGCATTTGAGTAGTACGGTTTCTTCCCTATGTCCCGGTTCGCTACATACTTGCAGTGACAGTCCCGACGACCACGCCCAGATGTTCACTTCGTCTCGGAGGAAAACCGCTTCCATTTCTCGTCCAGCAATCTCTGCACCGCCAAAAACTTTGTTAGATACAGCCTGGCTTTTTCACTGGGATTAATGGTTTCGGAAAGACATATTGGACCGAGCTCTTGACCAGCAGAGACCACTGTCGAAGACACCAGCTGTACCTCCCGACTCCACTCGTCGCGCGATAAGTGACCCTGCAAATGAAGTCGGAGAAGCTGTGCGTGCAGACAGGCCTGGGTGACGGCTGAGGCTGTGTGAGGCCTCTGACCAGCAGCGGCGTCCCCGAGAAGCATCACCTTTCCACCACTAAAGACATTCTCTAACGCCAGAGAATCTGTGATCACTTGAACGAATGGGTTTCTGGTCTTGGCCACCGCTTCCGCAAACTGGGGCGAGAGCTCATTCTGCGCCTTTGCCCGCATCTCGTCAGCTAGTTGCGTACACATGCCACCTGGTGGCAGTGTCAAGTAGTGTCTGGCGCCATTCACATCTGTCATCAACTCTGCCAATTCTTCCTCCGTCTTCCTCATGTACCATCCCCAGTTGAGTAGCTTGTGGGAGTCTGGAGGACCGACTCTGCTTGCTGGAACGGTATAGGAAAGCATTTGGGAGCTTTGATTGAAGCACAGTGTGCCACATAAGTCCATCACCTGCATCGCGGCAGCTGAAAGGTCCTCCACCGGTACGAGGCCACGGAAAAGCACGTAACCGGCATAGCTTCGCTTTGTGTCTGGGAGCATGATATCACGCACTTTGGACGAGGCGCCGTCTGCGCCGATGACGAGATCCGCTAACAATGTCTCCTCCTTGCCAATGTCGTCGACGAAATGGACTTCCGCTCGGTCGTCGCGCTCGGTTACGTCCCGCACATTGCAGGAATATCGATATGCCGTTGCCGCTGCGTCGTCGCAACTCTTCTCCGTAAATGCGAGCATCAGCACACGGAAGAGTTGGCTCCATGTGGTCGCACAGCTGCTGACGACATCTCTGTGAATGATTACTTTGCCTTCCTGGTTGAGAATCTTGAAGGAGTGAAGCGGGAGCCCATAAGAACTCATAGGCGCATTTGCGTATTTCTGGAGGAACTCGACGACCTCATCTCCAGCACGAATCCCAGCTCCTTGGTCTTGCAGTTGGCTTGAAGGTTGACGTTCTAGGATGGTGATGGTGCCGACTTCAGGCAGTGTCTTCAGCGCGACACCGACACAGAGGCCCGCAATGGATCCTCCCACCTACAATTGCGAACCTGGTCAGACACCATCGCTCATTTCTAGGATTCAAGAAGATGAGGATCGACCGTGATTATTGAGTAGAGAGAATTTGACTTACGATCACCACATCCCGGCGACGCGAAACACCCATGGTCTTTACACTGGCTGTTCCAAATTGCAACGAAACTATGCTTTGTTTTCTTCTATCACGGGCAGATATATACCTCTTGGAGCGAACTGATGGGAGACCACCTTGTCTTGAAAGCCTTGGGAGTATAAATTAGCTGACTGTTGGCTGACTCTGGTTCAGCCCACCAATTGGGATCAAAACACGGTGGCATAGGCGCCGAAATGGTATGTCTCAACTGTCGTATTCGGATACGATGTCGAGGGGCGGCCTCCCAATCTGCGCAACAATGTCATAAATCAACGACAGGGAACGACGAGATGGCTTTCGGTAGGATGAAGTACCCGTGCGCGTACACGAGAGCGGCTGAAATGGCCCCGTGCATGGGTTCAAGGCTCGGGTTCATGCTCACATCATCCGGCCGTCAACTCGTGTTCAGCCTCGCCAATCGTATTCTACCCCAGCTACTCGTATACACATCAGACGTAATACGGGCTTTCCCTCTTAGCGTTTCCCCCCAAACCCCAGATACTATTGATTATGATTGTTTGAGGAGGGGTACGGATCACTGATCGTCATACAGCGTCGTCCATTGTTTCAGCAGCTGATTCACTGCATCGGGTTCCCCTTGCTCAGCCAACTCCTGTTTGCCAACTGTGTCCTCAACGGATGAATCTGCTGTTTCTTTCGAAGGTTCTTCTGTTCTCGCCACGGTTGCCGAAGGATTTGGTAACTCGTGTTTCGCTGGTTCCTCATCCATGGCTGCCTCGGGTGGAGCAGGTATTGTGTTCGAGTTGTCGGTACTCTCCAGGTCCGGTTTTGGACTTTCAAGCGTGGTCGTGACTGGCAAAGGAGATGTGCTTGGACCTTTAACAGGAGGAGCATTCAGGATGTCATCGAAGGTCTGGGATCTCGCAATTCTCGGGCCAGCTGAGTTGGCTGCTTGGGACGCCCCTGCACCACTCTCTCCATGCTTGTGGTACTCGAGGACGGTGTCTGGATTTTCCGACTCCTCGTCCACACCGAAGAAGAGACCAGAGTTTTTCACCGTCCTGGGGAATTTCCGTCAGCTCAAGTGAACGACATACAGGAGTGGAGGGCGGTCAAGGCTCACTCTTGGATGGAACCCAGCGCGGCCGTCGGCGAAGGGAGAGATTCCCAAACCGATGAATACCAAGGTTTTCCGCTCGACCTCCTCTGTACTCTGATCGAAGGATCTAGAGGTTCAGATTCGCCCTCCAGCACAGGGAGTGGGCCCGGGCGCCGAGACACCCGATTGATGCGCTCGCGCATGACTCCTGCACCCTCGTCGATTCGCATTTGAGGCCTGTTTCGATACTGGGGTGCCTCCTCCTCAATGCTGATGCTCTCGATGGCCCCCGCTGCCACACTGGCGTACATGTCTAGGTCGTCTGGCTCGAACTTTGACGGGGTGCTGGCGCGTTCAGGCCAGCGTCGATCTTTGCGGACAATGGACAAGACGACCCACGGATTCGGCCTTCCTGGGGCGTAACGAGGGCTGCCGAAGTCTTTCTCCAATTCGATATGCACGCCCACCCGCGGGCTGTGACCGGGCAGAGAACTCGCCTGGTCGACCTGGAGCAATGCTCTCTCGATGCGCTCGAGGCACCCTCTGATGGTCGACACAAGTGGGGGCTGTTGTGGAAGTAAACCTCGAGGGGTTGAACCGTCAATATTCTGGCCTGGAGGTATATCCCGGGGAGGCGCAACGAATGGACCTCCGGCAGCGGACTCTCTCAAAGCGCCTGGGAATTGCGCGTTTGCTGCATCTGGGCCTTCGGTTTGGGCTTGCCCTGGGGCTGGTGTTTCGCCGTCCGGCCCAATCGTCTTGAGAAGGTGTTGATAGTTCCTGGTAGCTTCTTCGTTTGCTCGAAGCAGGTTTTCGAGCAGCGTCCTCTGATATGCGTCGTCGTCGTCCTGGGAGGCGGTCTTCTTTCTGGGACGCAGAGTGAGACCCCCTTCTTTTCACGCCAGCTTTCAAGGTGATATAGGAGGTAGAACGTACTCGACCCTCAAATCCCTCGCGTATGTCAGGACATGCAGCATCAGCACGAGCGTGCTCTTGAGCCTGTCCAGGTTCCCCTTCAGGACCTCCATCTTGGGCTCCATGAACGGCCCCTGGAGCCGATCCCGCGCGGACAGGGCCAGCTTGCCTCCTTTCTTCAACCCCTTCCTTGACGCGCTCTCCATGGCCCGCGCGACCATGCCGTCCATCTCCCTGAACACGCACTCGCACTCGGCCACGACGTCCGTGGCCGTCTGCACGGCCGCGCCCGAGTACAGCGTGGCCTGGTCACCCTGCCTGAGGTTCGCGCCCAGCTCCTCGAGCACCGCGGAGGTCAGCGACACGTCGCGGGCCATGTCTCGCACCTTGGCCGGCGCGGTCGCCACGGTCTCGGAGAAGGTGTACAGCGTGATGGACAGCTTGACGCCCGCGCCGGCGACGCCGACGATGGTGCCAATCAGCCCGACTTCGGCCATTGCGCTGGGGAAGGCGTCTTTTGGTTGTTTTCTTGCTGTTGAGAGAGAGAGAGAGCGGTAAGATGATGCCCTGATCGTCAACCAAAGCCCCCCAGCTGCAGCTGCTGGGTTAGGTAGCCAGCCGGTCTAACGTCAAGGCTGACTAAAATTGTACCTATTTCGGGGTCCGTGATACTCGGGTCGCGAGGAGCAGGGTGAGTCCCCTGTACATGAACGACAGACCAATCATCGAGGTGGCTCGATGAGGCGTGCTGCAGGGAGTGACCATGCAAGACAGCAAGTCAAGGAGCACCACGTGCGAATCATCTGACAAGTAGAGAGAAGCAGTTGCTTCTGTTCTTTAGATGGGTGTCAGCCGGCAACTCGGTCTGATGTATATTCTTTCCCTTTGACCCTTCTTTTCCCCGCCAGAGAAGGACTGTCGGGGGCTGAAAACGTGCCAATTAACTCACTCCATTACCTTTCAATTCCAGCTACTCCGTACCTCCTCAGAAGAAGCCTGGCGGGACCCGAGCGGTTATTATCGTGCAGATTGAGCGAGGCTGGACCCCGAACCTTGACACAGGTGTCGTCCTTTCCCCATACGGAACAATTGAATGGCGCCCATTCAGAAAAGGGTTTCTGTCCGAGCCCGTTCTCGCCTCTACCAGGCACTGAGGATGGGCAACGAGAAGCTAACACTACCAAGTACAGGTCTACAAATTCTAGACCTGGGGGAAGACGGCTTGTCTGTGTAGGGCGAGACCAAACACCCGCCTGATTAGGCGACCTCAGCCAGCCACACCAGAGAACATGGAGGGAGATTAGACGCCGACAAAGGCACGCCTATCAACTATGTACCACCCAGGTCTCTTGCGTCTGTTGCCCCTGTACTCCCGGGTCCTTTCTCTGGATCCGGCTCGCTCAGCCCTGCCTTCACGCTCTGCAATCCACCAAGATCTTGACGTGTTTGTCCTTCTCTTCAATCAACGGCCGGAACCCATCCTGCGCCACCCGATCGATCTTGATCTTGCCCGTGATCATCTTCTCAGGCTCCAGGGAGTGGTCGTCGAGAGCCTTGATGACGCCTGCGAAGTCGGATTGGAGGTAGCCCAGGACTAGAGCAAATCAGTCACATTTCCACGTATTTCCATTGAAAGGCTATTCATCCTTTTGCATAGTAGATATGCTCGGACACAGCGCAAACAGAGAAAGGTGTTGATCTGACTTACTCGCAAAGTATTTCTTCTCCCCAAACACGAGAGTGTTCGGTTGGAATGGGACCTGTAAATCAAACATCAGCATTGTTACTTGCCTGTTTCTTGGTCTTCATCGCTTTCAGTCTGCCGCCATCGCCCCAGCGCCAGAAGAGGGCGACGACCTACCTCCTTCTCCCAGATTGCTAGGTTCACAATCGTCCCCCTCGCCCTCACCGCCAACGCAGCATCCCTCAAACTGGCCGGAACCCCTGCAGCATCCAGTGCAACATGCGGGCCCTGACCGCCCGTGATCTCTTTGCTTCTCTTCACCACATCCTCGGTCCTAGGGTCGATCAGATGTGTGGCGCCAAACGCCTTTGCGAAGCTCTGGCGCTCCTTTGCCACCTCGGCGACGATGATGGTACCGGCGCCGCGGGCCTTCAGGCATTGAATCACGCCGAGCCCAATAGGACCGGCTCCCATGACGAGGGCGCTGTCACCCTTTTTAAGCGGGTACTAGATTTCGCATCAGCATAGCAATATGCACCCCGTCACGAGCGACGGGTAGGAACAAATGCTCCGTAACATCATTCTCAGCCGTCCCAAAGTGTCTGCAATGGACCTACCTGGTCAACCGCGTGCCAGGCCACAGCCAACGGCTCCACCAAGGCACCCACGTCCAAGCCCACATGATCCGGCAACTTGAACACAAACTGTGCATCGACACAGACATAATCACTCATTCCGCCGCCACCACCACTCAAGCCCACGAAGCCCGCCGAGTCGCAGCAGTTGATGTAGCCATCTTTGCATGGCCCGCAGTGGAAACAGGCGAGGGTGGGCTGGACGGCAACCTTGTCCCCGACTTTGAGGGATTGACCCTGGAAATTCGGGTGGGAGGCGGCGAGACCCCCAATCTCCACGATCTCGCCCGAGAACTCGTGGCCGATGGCGATGGGCATCGCCTCCTTTGTTATTGGGTGAGGAGAGTTGGGTTGGGGGATGAATGTCGGCGACGAATATTCGTGTACTGGTGATAGAAGTAAGTACAAGTGGTTTATGCTATCACAAAACGTATGTGTGCCAACTGCTAGTATAAGAGCTCCCTAGCTTCCTCTGATACAGCTAGACACCGTCACAGGCCAGAGGACAAGTATGAGGATCACTCAGTGACTTACAGTCTGTCCCGCAGATTCCACAGAAGGCAGCTAATGAGTCCACCTCAACTGTCAGCTCGTTCCCTCAAAGCTCACAAGACTCAGGGTAAATTGCTCTTGCACAGTCGATGTCCTGCCCGAGACGTTCCGACTCACGCTTGACCTTGATCTGGTTCTCTCCGCATTTGGGTTCGGGGATGCCATCGTCAACGCGGAGGTCTTTGACGCCGTGGTAGCGGAGGGCTCGCATTGTGCCTGGTTGTGTGGGTTGTGTTTCGATGCTGGGCTAGGATGGCGAGTTCGAAGACCTCAATACTTGAAGGAAGGAAACACTAGACAGTCAGTACACCCGCAGAGGAAGCTGTAAAATATACTCCAGCTTCATTGACATTGCGGGGCAGAAAGTGAGAGTGTAGTAGTGGTTCCATCGCCATCCTGTGCAGCGGAACAGAGTCGTCAGGCAAGCACGGTCAAACGGAGCAGCATCCACAGCCTCGCGAATATGGGGCATTGATCAGGAGATGTGCCCAACGGCATTGGTGCAAGGGACAGAGTCGTCTTGATGAGAGTGTGAGGGGAAACAGCTGGGCGCATGTGAAGAATCCACCGTCGACCGAAATTCGGAGCTTCAGCCACAGGGACAAGCCACATGTTTACATCGGTGGCTGCGAGGATTTTCTCCGCAAGGCTCTGCGCCTGCGCCTGCGCCTGTGCCTCCGCCATGGCATCGAAGAAAAGTGGAACAATGGAGACGAATACGATGATCCTTCAATGCAGATCCGGGGAAGAGAAACAGTATCATGTCTCACCCTCTCTCATTGACATTAATTAAAAGCACTCTATCTGCTTTTGGATCTCTGTGCAATAGTACTATTCCCACTCCAGCCCCAAAACTGAAGCCCACACAAACGCGCTCGCTAAAGGATTGAAAGTGCTGTTGGCCGCAAGCCGACACGCTTAAAAACATAAATCATCATCGCTCACTTCTGATATCGTCACTCCACTCCGTTGACCATTCTGACATGATTCAAAACCAAGTCATGCCTCCATCATCCATGAATCTGAAACGGTCACCAATATTCTTCTCGTCTGAACCATGATGCTTTTCCGGTTTTCCAGTGCCCCCGAGACGCAAAACTCTGTCCAAGTATTAAAGCATTGGGACGAACTGAAGGCACCTGATGCTTGTAGCTCGAAATTGCAAGGCGAAGCAGTCGGAGCCTAGACCAGCAGCTTGAAGACGGCCATGAGGACAGCTGCGAAGGCGCCTGTGGCAACCTGCTGAGAGACGCCAATGGCAGCACCGCCGGTGGCAGAGGCACTGGATCCAGTAGCCGAGGCAGAGCTGGAGCCAGAGCCAGTGCTGGCCGCGGAAGCGGAATGCGACGACGCAGGAGCCGAGGAGGTGGATGAGACCGAAGAGGCCTGGGCAGCAGACGTTTGCGCAATGGCTTCGGCGGTCGCATTACGAGTGCCACATTGCTCGTTCTGGGCGCATGTTGCCTGTCCCTGTGCATCATTGGGGTGGTTGTTGATGCACTGGGCGTAGGTTTCTTGACAGATGTAGAAGGGAAGAGTCTCGATGAAGGCGGTGCAATCTGGCACGGTGCCGTTGGCGCAAACGCAGGTGTAGGTAAAGGCGTTCTAGAAAGAGGTTTTAGCTATCTATCGCCAGGTGACGATGCCCAGAACACCATACCTGATCACACTGGTTTTGAGAAGCAGAACCGCCGCAGATCTGGGGACAAGTGTTCAGCTGAGCATGGCACCAGTTGACTGGATTTTCAATTAGTATGCAGCCTCTTTGACAATCGGGGCATTCTCTCTTACATGCAGTCGTGGAATCAATTCCAGCAGGGTTAAAGGCAGCGGTAGCCGCCGGAGGCATCACCTGCGACTCGGTGGTAGAGGCTGCGACCGAGGAGGCACTCGAGGTGACAATGGTCTGGGCGTGGGCGAAAGCAGCCAGAGAAGCTGCAAGGAGGATCTGGTACTGCATGGTGAAGGCGGTGGCGAGTGCGGACTGGACGCTTCTGTCAATGCAGAGAGTCAATTGATGCTCAAAGTACTACGATGGTAGAGGTGGACTGATGGATGGAGTGAGTAGAGTATGTGGGAAAAAGAGGCGGACAGACGGAGAGAGAGAGAGAGCGCTGTGAGAGACGGGTGAGAAGGTGTGGGCTGGTGCTTTGTAGTGAAGTGGGAGGTGGACGGCAGGATTCACACACACTGACAGAGGGCGGAAAGAAGGATCCGACAGCTGGGTCGACGGGTTCCTGGGGTAAGAGCTCACCTTTAACAGTCTGAGAGGTTGGTAACGGCGAGGTGGAATTTCTCCAAGATGCTTTCCGGTTGCTATGGGACGTGAAGGGCGACTGAGATAGAGGCTGGGAGAGGAGGTGGTGGCTTTTTTATCCCATTGCGCGTTCATGGACACTCCTGCGCATTTCCACCATTCACTTTTGTTAGCTCCAAGAAGGGCCGGTATCATGTCCATGACGCTGCCGCTATCTTGTCACCCGCCTTGCTGGATTGGGGACTAGCTGGCACCTAGAAGCCCCGACAGGGCACCAACAGGCACCTATTAACCCAAAGCGACTGGGCGCCAGCTTGGGGCCTGGCACGCTTGGACCACCCCATTCGTCACTCTGCTGCAATTCTAAAACACATTAAGGCCCGCGCCAATCACCAGGGCAGCGCATGGCCGGCGCCCCTCACCCCCAACTCCACTGCGGACAATCTTGCAGCAGGCTTGGGAACCCCTAGAGGTGCCCAGGCCCAAACAGTTCTAGGCGTCGGACACCCCAAGCAAGAAAGATCCGCCGCCAAAATCCCACCATTCACGAATCACGCCGCAGTTACCCGTATCTGTGAGCGATACAGCGCAGTTCAGTGGTCCCCCCAACCGAGCAGACCGAGGCACGAGCTCGGACCCAATGTCCCTTATCCATGGACTTGGAGAACGAGAGACGGAAAAAAGTTATACGACTACCACTGCGTGCTGCATCTTGCCGTCCTGCTTCACTCTGCTCTGTCGAATTGGATAATGTGTGACAGGTAACACGACTGCGCTCATCATGGCACCCCAAACCGAGCAGATGGACTTCATGTCCCAGTTCATCACCACCCACCGCGTCCCCGAAGATGCCCGGCGGCACTTTGAGTCTGTTGAATGGACGAATAAACACCTGTCCAATCCTCTCTACCACGCCATCCCTACATTTTCGCGCGTTCTCAAGGACTCTGGCGAAGACTACTTCTTTTCTCGCACCGTCAGCTCGCCTTCCACTATCCCTCACCTCGTCACTCTGCAGTTGAAGGATTTCCCGAACTATCCAGAAAGGCCAAAGGGACAATTGAAAATGAGAACAAACCACAATGAGGTCACACAAGTACCCCCGAACCCCGACTGCATCATGCTCCTGCGACTTGGTCGCCCCGGGCTTGATGGTCATCCTTCAGTTATTCATGGCGGCATGGCCTGCGCCATCCTTGACGAGATGATGGGACTCTGTGTGATGCTGCACCACCAGCACATTTCCGGACCTCGAGATTCGCTTTTCACCGTCAGTTTGAATGTCACCTACCGTGCGCCCGTACCGACACCGGGAGACGTGCTCGTGAGGTGTTGGCTCGTGGGAAGAGAAGGCCGCAAGTGGCTCTCGCGGGGACAAATCGTGGACAAGGACGGCAAAGTCATGACTGAGGCCGAAGGGATGTGGGTGCTCGCAAAGAGACAGGAAAAGTTATAACATCCCGCTCGTTCCCCTCGAGCGGGTCCCCGATCAGCCTTTTGGAATCGGTGGCCGCCTGACTCAATATGGCGAGAGAATGTAATTGAGGACTCTGGAGCACAACTCCCTTTATCGATCCGGGCGAGCTATTACTGACTGCGGTGAGCGGCCTGAGTCTGCCGCTCTCCACTATCGGCAATTGTTATCGCTGGCGAAATTGGGCAGGTCAGCTAGGGAAATTATGGAGCAGCAGTGGGGATCTACGCCACCAGATAGAGGCGCACAAGCTTCTGCTTCGGCTCGCAACAAGCATTTTCTCGCCGGGTTGTTGATGACAGAAGGATCGTTGGGGCAAGGCGGTTTGAATTCCTCAAAGGGCAAGAATTGGATGATACGTAAAGGATAGATTCACTCCTGGAATGTATGGAAGGGAAACACATGTAGACGCTAGCCATAGATTTCGCTAGACATACAATAGAAAGATTTCAGCTGTTGACCGCCATCGTCTTCGCTGGTTGTGTTTGGAAACCGTATTGATTTTTGCTGCTCTGACGATTCGCTCCGACCTCGCAATAAAATTTGATGGAAAAGTGCTGGCCACAAGACACCGAGAACGTCCGTCAGCCCCAATGCCTGTTATCCTTGTCGCAATGCCCACCACACCGACTTAATTGCTCAAGAAATACGTGGCTGCGACGGCCGGGCCCAGCTTCGCCTGCTTCTCGAACCGTGAAAGATCCCATCTCATGCGGTCCCTGACACCGAAGCCACCCGCTTTGTTGAACATTGCCGTGTCGAAGTCGGCCGGCTGATCATAGAGCAGGAAGATGTATCGATGCGGACTGCTGAGCGGCGGAGGCCCCGGGCCAGCCCAGAAGGCGATGGCGGGGTCTGACGAGGTCATGGCACCGCCGCTCGATCCCTGGACCGCGAGGCCGGCCTGGAGCCAGTGCAGGATGGGGCTCAAGGGCGCGAATGAAGGAAAGGGTGCATCGAGGTCAAGGCAGACAACCACGAACTTCTGTCCCGAAGGCGCGTCCCAGCCAAGTGTCGGGCGCTCTTGAGCTTCTGCCAGAGATTGGGTCAGCGAAAAGAGACCACGCACGACCAGTGCTGCAGAAGTCGAACAGACTCTCGACCAACTCACCTCCTTTAGGGACCTTGTCGCCCGGGTTCACCTTTCGCGAGCCGAAGGCCACATGAAGGATGTTCGGATCGCCCTTTTCAATCAGTGACAGGACAGATTTGAGGATCGGATGGTCTGGCATGGCGAAGGATCATCAAGCTGTGCTATAGTGGTCAATACGACCTCTTCGAAAGTGCGGCAAGGAAGGGGATGGGCGGATCATCGGGATTCGCTCCAGTCTCAGGGACTGCGGGAGTTATATTCGCAGCGAGAGCATGCCAATCTGGTGCTCCGTTGTCCCTGTGTTGATCTGTCTGCAGGGGGGCGTTGGTGCCCTGTACCGGCCCGGTTTCTGGTGGCCTGTCCCCGGCACCGGCCACCTGGAGGAAATTTGACCTTCGAATCAAGCAACAAACGTACCGAATACTTCGTCGACTTCATCTTACAACTATGCAGCATCTTCAGTATCTACCGTAACTCCAGCTAACGCCGACGTCCGTTCTTAGAGATTCCTGCTACTTATAAGATTCCGCGTGTGCGGTACGACCATGGCCCGTTTCCCCCTCGACACTCGGCTTCAGACACCGGGATAAAGAAAACTAGAAGAGGCCCTCAAGTTTTACTTGGCGACAACCTTTCGCTAGCCTCACCCTCTGCACGGCGAGCACACAGCATATCAATACCTAAATCGATACGGACGAGGAGGTTGGAAACACAGAGTTCTTGTCCAGCTCTGTCCACTATGGCTACCAAAGAAGCGGACATTTCTCCCCCTGACAAAAACGACGAGACGGGAGCACATAGTCCTTCGAATAGCGGAGATGCCAACGACCATATCAACACCGCCGGACGACGGGCTTCTGACCCTTCACCCTCGGAGTCAGAGAAAAGAGACGTCGACGGGCAAGATTCAACCCTGACGACGGCGAGTCCCAGCGACCAGAAACCGTACACAGCCTTCTCCAACCGTGCCAAATGGTTCATCGTGACCATGACCGCCATGGCATCCTTCTTCTCGCCCTTGTCCGGCCAGATCTACTACCCAGTCCTCCCCATCCTGACGAACACATATCACCTCTCGTCGGGTCTGATCAACGTCTCCATCACCACGTACATGATCTTCCAGGGCCTCACGCCTAGCTTCATGGGCACCTTCTCCGACGCCAGCGGCCGGCGGCTGGGCTACATTCTCGCCTTCACCATCTACACGGCGGCGAACATTGGGCTGGCGCTGCAGGACAGTTATGCCGCCCTGCTCGTCCTGCGCTGTCTGCAGAGCGCGGGGAGCAGTGGCACAGTCTCGTTCGGGTACGGGGTCATTGCCGACATCGTCACCACGGGGGAGCGGGGCAAGTTCTTTGGTCCCATGGCGGCGGGTGTGTTGACCGCGCCAGCCCTCGGACCGACCATCGGCGGTCTTTTGACGCAGTTCCTAGGGTGGAGATCCGTCTTCTGGTTCCTCACCATCGTCAGCGGCGGCTACCTGGCGATGTACATCATCTTGATGCCCGAGACGCACCGCAAGATCGTGGACGACGGGAGCATCGCCCCGCATCAATGGTGGCGCCAGTCCGTCGTGCAGTACGTCGCCGGCCGACGGCGGCTGAAGAGAATGAGTGTCGAAGAGAGGCGCGACTACGAGTGCGCGCGGCAGGCCCTGGCGGAGCGGCAGCGAGACACGAGGATCCGGTTTCCCAACCCGCTCGGGTCCTTTGTCATTCTCACCAACCCGGACGCCTTCTGCCTCATCATGTACACCGGGGTCATGATGTTCAGCAACCTGGTCCTGATGACGAGCACGCCGACCGTGTTCCCCAGACTCTACGGCCTCAACGAGCTGCAGGTGGGGTTGTGCTTCTTGTGAGTGACACTCCTCCTTTCTTCCTTTCTCATCCCATGACCACCACATGTTGAAAAAAGAGGGCTTGTGATCTGACCGAGATGTCGACCCAAACAGACCGCTCGGCATCGCCGCCAGCATCGGCTCCATCTGCAACGGCCGCCTCCTGGACTGGAACTACCAGCGCACCGCCCGCCGGCTGGGCCTCACGGTGGACCGCAAGCGTGGCGACGACCTGCGCAACTTCCCTATCGAGCGCGCGCGCCTGCAGGCCGTCTTCCCTTTCCAGGTCGTGCAGGTGGCGGCGCTGGTGCCGTACGGGTGGGCGCTGGAGCGCCGCGCCTCGCTGGCCGTGCCGCTCGTGCTGCAGTTCGTCCTGGGCTTCTGCCTCGTGGTCGCCTCCAACTCGATCAGCACCCTCCTCTCCGACATCTACCCCGGCAACGTCTCGACCGCGTCCGCCGCGTCCAACCTCATCCGCTGCATCCTGGGCGCCGTCGGCGCCGCCGTCGTCGACAACATGCTCACCGGCATGGGCCTCGGGTGGTGTTTCTTCCTCGTCGGCTTGCTCATGGCCGCCGCCACGGCGTTCCTGTGGGTCGAGACCAGATGGGGCATGGGCTGGCGCCAGCAGCGGTGGCGCAGATTGGCGGAGAAGAAACAGACGCAGGCGGAGAGAGAGGAGAACAGCAAGGAGGCTCAAGTGTGACCGTACTGTCCTCCTACCACGGTCCCCGGACCCATAGATATTTGCTAGAGTGGTTTTTTAGTAGGCCATTTCTCTAGAACGGAAAGCTGGGTAATTTCATGTTTCCTTGGTTTCGACTGCACGTTTGGGTTTTGGGTCTACAATCAAAAGTGTTCGTTTCTGACCGCGACGTGGAATGCCCATGATGCACATAACAGCTGAACCCAGAGAGCATTGCCTGCATGGCAGCCCGAGTCCTTTGGTCCAGCCATGAAAATCATCATCTGCTGGGAGAACTGTCTTTGAAACAATATACAAACTCGCCACCATCGAGTACCTGTCAAAACAATTTTCATGTTCTCATGTCCACCCTCGAATCTACATGTCCAATGACGAGTCCGATATCCAAAGCCCAGAGCCTTGGGGCAAGCAAAAGCGTATACAATTACTCCGACCCATAAGATCATTCCCCTTCATATCCCTCGCCCACCGTCGGATCCCTGGTGACCCGAATCTCCTGCATGGCCTGGTTCCCATCCCTTTCACCTTGTAACACCAGCCCCTTTTCATTTGCCAGATGTAACAAGCAAATGAAACAGTATGACGTGCTGATGTCCTTCATCTGAGGCTCGGGGTAGAAGGTGCGAAGGTCCTGGATGAGGTCGGTGAAGTTCAAGGTCCCCTCGTCGGCGCTGGTGGGTGAATCTTGATGGATAGGCATGGATGCAAGAGGCTCGGCTTCGGGTTGAGGCTGGTCATCAATGTCCATCATATCGACATCGCCATCACCATCACCATCCTCGCCCTTAGGTTGCTCAGTTGCCGTTGCGGTGGAGGGTCGATCAAACACATTGATCAATTTCAGCCGGCCCTCCATACCCTTCCACATATTCTCCTTTAACCTCCTCACATCCACTTTCTTTGCCGTTCGTGCGTAGTTGACGTACTCGGGTCGAATTCTTTTGCCAGCTTGTGTCACAAGTTGGCTCCCGAAACTACCTGGAAGTAGGTCAGGCTGACTTTGCTGTGCTTGTGGGTCTTGTTGTGACTGCTGGGATCCAGCAAGCTCATTGTCCGCTCCAGGTTCGCCGCTGAGCAGGTTTAGGTGCTGTTCCTGCTGCGATTCGGGTTGGGGCGACAACATCTCTCGCGCATCCATAAAAGCCTGTCCGCCATCATCGCCGCCTCCATCACCAACCCCATCATCGTCATCCTCGTCAATGGGCAATGGACCATCAAATGGAAGCATTTGATCATCGTCCGCAAAGAAGTTCGCGTCATAATCACCCTTTCTGCCCTCGTCGTCCAGCTCATCGCCAGCTCCGTCACCAAAGGCGTTGGTGGTTCCGACACGGTTTCTCGCTCCGAAACCCTCGTCAATAATACCCATTCCCACGCCCCCTTCTTTTCTTCTGATCCTGCCCACCCGACACTTTGGCTTTGTCCATAAACGCATCAACTTTCTGGGGTCCACAACCTCGTCATCTTTGTCCAGCAGATTTCGGCCTTTTGTCCGCCATTGCGATTTCGGCAGAGAGATCTGCGAGTTCAGAACGGGGGGTTGTTCAAGTAACTCCTTCAGGGAGTCTGATATTGGGCCTAGAAAGTCAATCTCATATGGCTCTTTTTCCTTTTTCTGTCTTGTGGGTGCAGCATTAGTGCCACTGGCTTCTTGTTGAGCTTTCTGGATCTTCTGTATTCGCCAGTTTTCCAGGGTGAGAAATGCCGTCTTGCCTTTTGCGCGAGAGTTGAATGCCTTGTTGAAATAAGCCATGATAGACTCATGCTCCGCATCCTCTTGGTACTTGTGCTGTAGAGACAATGCGTATCCATCGCCTCCAATTTCCAGAAGGTTCTCGTCCACATCGTCTGCTCGAGCAACTCGAGCCTGAGCCTCAATGGCGGCATCTTTCGCCCAGGCTTCTCCTCCTTCACCAAAGCCCACATTATCTGCGACGTCGAAGCCACCAAGCAATCCGTCGCCGTCGTCATAGTCATCATCGAAGCCCATGGCATTACTTCCGTCGAGAAAAATCCCTGTTTGATCGGCTAGATTTAGGGGAAGATTCGTTGCGGGCGCCGGCGTCTGAGATCGCTTCTGCTCTTTCCAGTCTTCGGGTACTTTGAGGAAGGGTAAGCTTAGGTCTCCAGATGGGTCGCCCAATGTAAAGGATTTCATAGAAGGGCAAACATCCTGGGAGTCGAGTATGCCCATATCCGGGAAGAACTTCGACGCTAGAGAAGCGAGATCGATTTCTTCGTCTTGATCGTCTGGAATGGGCTCCTCATCTTCAGTGGTGGAATCCGGCTCATGCTGAGCTTTCGCTGTAGAGGCCGTCTCATCTTCTTGTTGGTTGTTATCCTTCTCGCCGCCCAAAGGAGCGTCTCCCGCATCGTCGCTGCTGTCAAACACGATGCGTCCGTCAGAGTCGATGGATAAGTGATTCAGCAGCAAGCCCTTAGCTCCTCCCTCATCAAAATCCGCAGATGCCTTCTTGAAAAGCGGGTCGACCGCAAACTCGAGTTCCAGCTTCTTGCCTTGGAAAGACGCAAAGCTTGGTGCGAGTGTGGCTTCGTGGCTTCGCGCGGGCTTCTTCTTTGATTTCTTCTTCACCCCGCCCTCACCATCTTCGCCGTCTTCGTTTTCTTCGCCGTCTTCATCTTCATCCTCCTCCTCGCCCTCACCTTTACCTCGCTTCTTGCCACCCTCAGAGGCACCACCATCGGCAAGACCACTCAACAACCGGCCGGTCTCTGTTGCCACGCTGTCGACTCTGCTCGTGTAGATCTTGACGCAGCCGTCCAGCGTGCAGCTCGCTTTCTGAAAATTAACGCCATCTCCTTCTTTTAAAAGGCTCATGTCATGGAAGTAATCAATAAGTGCAAAATTCCACGAGTTCGCAGCATTGATCTTGTTGTCCGTTGCCATTTTCATCCATTCTTCGAAGTTTGCGAGGATCGGGACGCGCTTCATGGGTGTGACCCCATTGTCGTCCGCGACACGCCCAATGCTGTTCCGTGGGTGGTCATTGTTGTTCCGCTGTTGGTTGTTCAATCCTCCTCTTCTTCGCACCTGTGTCCCATGGTCTGACATTCGGGGAGTTCGGGGAGAGTCCGACACATTACTATAATTGGACTCTCTTCGTCTCTGGTTGAGCTTGCGCATGGGACTTGCTGCAGCGCGGATTTCGTTCATATGGATTTCTTGGAGGGCTTGTCGAGACTGTAGACGGGCAACCTTTTCTCCCTTGTCATCGTTGAGCGCTAATCTGTTGATGCAACACAGGCGGTCAGCATTCGACGCGAACCAAGGTCTTGTCTGACGAGGAAAACACTGCGCATCCCTTCAAAGCGCTTCGGGTGAATTGGCTGTTGGAAGGTAATCATACTTCACTGAAGATGCCTTGCTACTTTCGCGCGCCATTCTCATAACAACAGCCTGCCGGCTGGGGCGCCCACTGGAATCTCTTGCAACTCGAGGCATCGTTTCCTCACGGGTCGGTTCTGCTATTGTGACCTTGTTCGCCCGCGGAAGGCTGAATGTTCTCAAGAGCCACAGCTGAGCCGTGTGTCACTTCTCTTAGAATTGCGTCAAATATGTGTTGTTCGTCATCGTCTGGTCTGTCGTGTGGATTGTAAAAATTGTGTTGAAGGTTGTTGTGAGCGTTGAAACAGTTGGGGGTCGTTTGTTGACATGTACAAAATTGGTTTAGTGCAGCCGCAGGCACGTTGTCACGTGATGTGGCTGCAAATACGCAATGTTCTACAAGTATACCTTGGCATCTAGAGTCGGTGGTATCGGACATCTGCCGACCTGGGTGGGGACAAGTTCAACTGAACAGTGATTTTGATGATATGTAACGACAGAAATGTGCAATTTATGTTTAAGTTGTGGTGTATGATTGTCTCGTCCCGCCTCCTCTAGCATCTCTTTCTCATTGCCTTCCAACTCTCATCTAATCCAGGACTCTACCGGCAACAGAACTTGCGCTCCTGTCCTTGGTTTCAGTCTTTCGCAGTCCTTTACCCTTCTGGATCTCACCCAGCAAAGCACCAATATCACCAGTTCCAGCACGGGCTGGAGCAGGCATCGGTGGAGGAGGCGGCGGCCCTCCAGGAGCGCCGGAAGTAGGGAAAGGCGGAGGTGGCGGAGGCGCGTTGAAAGCACCAGAGTCCGGCATTGGAGGGGGAGGTGGCGGTGCCGTTGGTGCTCCAGCCCCGGGGATCGGTGGAGGTGGCGGAGCGGATCCGGAGTCAAATGCACCTGGAATGGGTGGCGGCTCTTGGACGGGCGTCTGGGGCTTGCTATCCATGGCGGACAGTGGCCTGGGTGGTGCCATAGTTCCAAACAGAATGGAAGCCAGGTGCTTAGCGGAACCGCCGCCGGGGTGATCGGCTTCGTCGTCACTGTCTTCATCCTTCTCGGAGCCCGCAGCAGACCATTCGTCCTCCTCGGGACGACGTCGTGATTGGGCACCAGTAAAGCTGGGAGTCAATGGCTTAGCAGCCTCTTGTTGGGCGATTCGATGGAAAGGATTAGTCGACGGCAGACTTTCCACAGCCGGCGCAGGCGGTTGAGGAGCGGCCGGTGGAGGTGAGAATGTCTGAGCCTGCGGGATAGGGGGCGGGGAGAAGACTGGCCTTCCATTCTCTGACGGTTGTGTTTGTGAAAGTTTTCGGAAATACGGATTCCTTGATTCTTCAGCAGCTGGTGGACTGGAAACCGGGGTAGGCTCATGACCACTGCTTGCAGAGGGCTCCGGAGCAGTAGTACTTGGTGGTGGTGAGGCGATTGAGCCAGTCAGCAATTGGCTGGTTGCCGGAGTGCTTTCTTGGGGCGTAATCTGTTGTGGACCCTCGTCATCTTCGTCTGACGAGGACTCGTCCCCAAGATGCTCCAGTTGAAGTTGAAGTTGCCGTTCTCTCTCTCTAGCCGCCTCAAGCTCGGCTCTTTGCGCCGCAAGTTTGGCCTCCTTCTCCTTGGCCTCTCTCTCTGCTGCTTTCTTTCGGGCCTTTTCTTCCTGTTTCTTAACCTTGCCCGCCTTGACTTGCTCTTCAAGTGCTCGCAAGCGGGCTTGAGCGGCTTCACGTTCCTTCTCAAGCTCGTCTTCTTGTGTCTTGGCCTGGGCCCTAGCTGGGTGTCAGTGGATGCCACTGCAGAAGGTTAACAGATACTCACTCCAAGCGTTCGCGCTCTCGCGCCTCTGCTTCCTGCTCCGCCCTGATCTGTGCTGCCGCTTCTTCTTCTGCCTTGGCGCGCGCTGCTGCCTCGGCGGCTTTCTTCGCAGAGAAATCTGTACTATCTTGCCTTTGCTTTCGAGTGGGTGGAGGAGGCGGCTTCTTTTCAGCTTTCGGACTCGGGGGTGTTACCCCCTCATTTGCGAGTCTTTGCTGTCGTTCTTGCTCGCGCCTGGCATCTTCGGCTTCGGCTTTGCGCAGTCGTTCGGCTCTTTCTTGCTTCTCACGTTCCTGGCGCTGCTGAGGAGTTTCACTAGATTCCCCAGCTGGTTTGATCCCAGCTGCAGCCATTCTCTCTTGGATACGTTTCAGAGCCTTCTCCTTTGCAGTCGCAATGCGATCCTGCTGCGAATGGCCCGTTGTCACGGGAGAGGCTGAAGGGGCTGACGATGGAGCTGGTCGCGACGGCAAGTTGCCATTTGTTGATGTTGCTTCGTCGTGAGAGTAATCGCGAGACGCTTTTCTGGCTGGGCGAGATTGTCTGCTTATGTCAGTTTCGGGTATTCCATCAGCATTTACATGCGTCTTACTCTTCTTTACGAATCTTCGCGGTCCTGCTGCTCCGTTGCAGATCATAGATGAGTTCTTTGATCTCATCTTCCACACCCAGAGCTTCCTCCCATCTCCTGCGCTCGTGTTCCTGAGTCGCGTTCTCCCCTTGATCTCGCAACCCATCTTCGAGGCTCGAAACAAAATCCTTTACGCTCTCTTCAACATCTCGAGTCATGGCCTCGTGTCGTTCTTGTTCTGATTTGACCTTGGAACTCTCTTGCTCTAGGCGTCTTTGTGCACCAGCTTCATCATCAGCAGCAGGGGCAGGGCGCCCTGCAAGTTCAGCAGCTCGAGCTTGCATTCGGGCGCGCGCTCGCGCTTTAATGCGGTCGGCTTCAGTGACTGTGCCTTTTGGTCCAGTTCCAACAATGTTTGAGGCGCTGTTCGGGTGAGCTTTGGCGTCTTTTAAGCGGAAAAGTTGCAGCTTGGCTTCAGCAATGTTCTTCTCAACCTTTCTTACATCTGACGCTAATGCTGGCAGGCGATCTTGGTATCGTTGCAGCTCCCTCCTCATTGCCCTCCTCTCTGCGCCTGTATCACCACCAGCGAATCCGGCATTAGGATGCGTATCGATATCGTCTTGAATTCGGCGGATCTGCCTGAAAAGATCTTCAGCCTCTCGTCTGTCTCTTCGATCCAAGACATCATCATCATCCGCTTGTCGTTCATCTTGGAAGTCAGTAGCGTCGAGCAAGATCTTCTTCTCCCGAATCTTCTTCCTGATTTGATCAGGTGTCAGCTCATCATACACACTATCTCCCATATCGGATGATGGTGCGGGGGAAGGGGTTCTACCCCCATGTCCAAGGCGGCGTCTGGCACTCGAACGATATCCAACGTCATCGTCATTATTGCGAAAAACAGTTGCATCCTTGCGGCCAAAGTTGGGTGACGCAGAGCTGCTGCGGAACGAATGATCCTTCAAATAGCTTATGCCAGTCTTTTGTGGCTGTAAGAATGCGCCGGACGATTTCCTGGCTTCTGCGTCTTGCGAGAGCAGAGATTTGACAGTATCAATAGAGCTATTGAAATTCTTTGTTGATGGAGGAATGAGCTCCGGGGGGAGTCGGGCAGGGATCGGGTATCCATTCAGCTTCCGGTAGATAAGGTGCATCGCCACAGCGAACTCGTCCATGTTCAGCCGACCCTTGTTGTTGGGGTCAGACAATGTCCAAATGGATTCCAGGTCAGATCTCTCCAGGCCACTCTGGCCCATAATCTCGATTGCCGTCTCTCCGGCGATGAAACCTCTGCCGAGGCCGTCCCAGGCTCGGAATAGCTGATCATAAATCCTTTTCTCGTCCTTGGTGACCGCCCAAGGGATCTTAGCGGTGCCAGACAGTCCTTGCGTTGTGTAGCCGCCGGCTTCGCGACCAGATTGGGGCATCAGACGCTGTTGAAGAGCTTCGATATTGGGTAGACCGCCGGCAGGGGTATTGACGAAGCCCCATTGACCAGGAAGCCCAGTCGGCTGGGCTTGAAGAGGGCCTGTCTGTTGCGGGGAAACATTAGAACCGAAGCCACCCGTGGGCATGAGTGGCATTGAAGGCCGAGCGCCGCCAAAACCAGCAGGCTGAGCGGGATTTACAAAACCCGTGGCCTGGGCCTGCAGTCCCTGTGATAGCCCTGGAAAGCCAGTGGGTTGTGACTGGAGCCCGGGCTGGAACCCAGTGGCCTGATTGTAGAACCCCGTCGGCTGAGAAGTGAGCTGTGTCAAAAGCTGTTGGTTTGAGGGCTGCTGCGGGGTTGGCTGCTGAGGCGCTGGAGGAGAAACGGCATTCTGCCTGAGCGGAGCATCAAAGTCGGGCACATTCGACCGCGTCGGCGGCAAAGGCTTCTCATCTGGTACTCCAAACGAGATGATATCGACCATGCTTGACACTTCGTTCTTGATCTTCTCCGGAAGGACACCAGGCAGCTCCTTTCCAGTCAATCTCAGATTGCACAGATACATGGCCAGAGCAAACTCTGGGAAAAGGAGCTGGCCTGATTTTGTAGTATCTGAGAGAACCCATATCTGCGATAAGGCACTGCCCGGTAGTTTGGACCTCAGAAGCAGATCTTTGGCCTTCTCTCCACTCAATGCTTGGCCTTCTCCCGCGGCAGACTTGAACAACTGCTCAAATTTTGCTTGATCTGTAGCAGTGATGAAAGACAACCGAATGTTTGGGATTCTGCTGGAGCTCTTGCTCTGCCTCCTCTTTGCCGCGGGTGCGCTGGTCGAGCCTTGGGTGAAGGAGGCTGCGATCTGAGCCGAAGTCTGTTGAGGACGGAGCGGAGCAGCGGCAGGCGGCTGCTGTGGAGGAGCTGGAGGAGCAGCTTGAAAGGATGGCTGTTGCTGGAAAGCTGGTGCCTGTGGAGGAGGCTGTTGAAACTGGGGCTGCTGAGGTTGATTCTGCGGCGGATAGCCCGTAAACTGAGGCTGCTGCGCAGGAGCCTGAAAACCCTGCTGCGGCTGCTGGTAACCAGGAAAGCCTGTCTGTTGAGCTTGTAACTGCCCGGGGAAGCCGGTGGGCTGGGGAGCAAAGGGCGACTGCTGTTGCGGAGGAGCTTGATTGAACGAACCGAACGATTGCTGCGGTCCGAAGCCTCCAGGCGCAGGACCAGGGCGAGCAGAATTTGTGCCGCCCAAAAACGAATTGGAAGACGAATACATGCTTGCAACAAACGACGCGAAATGCAAAAAGCGGATGGAAGACAGAAGAGATGGGAAAATGGAGATGGGAATTGAGTGAGACGAGCGACAGCCAGGGTTTCAGAAGCACTAACCGACCTCGCCGACCTGGGGCCTCAGTTGGTTGCTGGTTGCTGGCCAGTGACGCGGTCTTCGCCGCAGAGCTCCAGCATCGTGGCTGAGGCTGAGACCAGTGAGGCTGCACCTTGGCATGTCGCTGCTTTAAGAGGTACTTCGTCTCTGCCAACTGCGCCCTCAAGCAATGAATTCAGCAGACAAGCGTGCTTCATTGTTCGAATATTTGCAGCTCAGATTGTTCAGCTTGCCCTCCAAGCGCCCTGCCTGTGTCACCGGTGTCCAATATGTCCGAGGCGTCGACTTGTGGCATTGAGGACAGCATTACAAGAGCATGTATTGCCGACACGAACACCTATGGACGATCAGGAAGAGGTGCTCGAAGAATCACATTCATTTCCTCGTGCGTAAGTGAAAGCGGAAGTGATTGCAGAGAAGAGTCAGTGATCCACATCCCTGATAGACTAATTAACGACAACTCTCGATCAGTTCACATCATTCGCATTTCTTCCATTTGGTCACCCTTGACGACCCTCCGTTACTTCATCCTCATTCTCCTCATTTCGTGGTAGTCAAAGTCACTACCTAGATATGTTTCCCGAAGACAGAAACAAAAAAGGGGCCCTTGTAGGACAGGCACTGGACGAAGTCTCTCTAGAACACGCCAGTCGACCAAGTTGTCTTGACCTCGGACGCTAGAACCACCATTGCAAGAAGTTCAGCCGTAGTTTGCTCGTAGGACCCGTTCCATGCAAAACACAAGCTTGCCAAAGCACATCCTGCGCAGCGTCCTTCTGAAAGTTGCCCTTCAGTAAAGAAGCACCGTTGTCTGTCGGCTGAATGGAGACTGGGGAAAAGGGCGGGTCACCCCAGCGGAGTAAGAGCAGGATGAGCTGCCCCAACCTTATCCCCAGATCATGCTTCCCCCGGATGCGGCACCGGTAACGATCCTGCTGGTTGTCTCGCCGAAGGTTTAGTACCCATTATCCATGGAGAACCAAAAGAGGATGAGAACACAAGACATCACAAGACATGATCGACACTGGCTATGCGTATACAAGAAGTAACCAACATGGTAATCGACTTGCATAGCGAACATTAGCGAATTAGGTGTGAAAGGGGACCCAGTAAGACTCCTGCTGCGGTCTGTTGGGACACTCTAAAACATCCCACAAGATCTCCAGAGTCACGAGTCGCAAAAGGCTTGGCCGAGGTCCTCAGAAGCATCCAAGATGCAGCACGTGCCGAGATTGCTATACCGTCTCGCCGTCTTGCCGTGTCCTGGTCGCCCTTGATTGTTTTTACCTAAGCAATTTCATACCAGGCACATCAGACTCCACGTCCGCGCACACTAGGCTCTCAATCGATCACCGTGTCTCCTTGCCTCGATGATCAAGAACACGGGTGTCAGGCGCCGTCGCTATCGGTGTGCCGAAGCATGCAGCACTTGCAAGCGCCGCAAAGAGAAGTGTTCAGGCAACAGACCCTGTGCTCGCTGCATCGAACGCGGGGTTCATGTCACTTGTCGATCTGAGCCTCGCCAGCCATCAACGCGTTTTACAGAGTCTTACAATCTCAATCGTGAAGGCTCTGTCGCCGTCGAATCAGCCAGTCGAGATCCAAATGTGCAGGACGGACGGCCCCAAGAGTCGCTCTATCCTCTGGGCTTGGTGATGAGCAATGCCTCTACGACTTCCGTTCTCGAGACATCGCGGCTCATCCAAGACACCAAAGGCAAATACATGTTCATTGGGGATTCCGCAGACCTGTCGCTGCTTCAGAACATTTGCAGTCTTGTCGGGGCATCCATTGGACCATGTGCGTTTGTCGAAGACCCCTTCCGGTATCAAATGGTCGAGTCGGCACCGGAGGGCCCGGCGACATGGCTCCATGCGAGAGACCACCAACATCCTGCCAAACCGAGTTTTGATGAGGCAGTCTATTTGATTCGCCGATATATCATGGCTACGAATTGTGTGCTGGACCTCTTCGACGAAAGCGACCTCCTGGACAATGTTGCGAATTGGCTTGATAACCATTCGGACCATACGTCTGTCCTAAGTGCAATTTACTACCTCGTGTTCGCCATAGGGGCTCAGACATGTCCAGAGGATAAAGACGCACTGGCTAAAGTCTACTTTGACTATGGCCGCTATCTCACGGCGTCGTACTTTATGGAGGACCCCATCATTCCAACTGTGCAAGCATACGCCATGATCACCATGTACCTACTTGGAGCGTCTCGAAGAAATGCTGCATTCATGTATCTCGGGACCGCCGTTCGTGCTGCCTATGCTCTCGGGCTACATCGGTCTGATATCGCTGGGCTCTTTACTCCGGCCGAAATCAAAACACGAGAGAGGGTCTGGAAAGTCATGCGTATCCTCGACCTTTTCATGGGCGCCTCGCTAGGAAGACCTCCTTCGACGGAAGAGACACGTAACACAGAGCTGGACGAGAATTACTCCCCATCAGTAGATCTGTGCGCCATCTTCGAAAAAATCTTGACCGATATTTATGCAAAGCGAATGATCTCCACCGACACAGTCCAGAAAATCAGTCAGCATCATCGTCGGTGGACAGCGCACTTTCAAACCGGTTTAGATACGGACCGAATCAAGGACGAGGAATTTCTCGAGGGCCGACTGCCAAATATTGGCCTGATACACGTCCAAGAGGCGTACTACTGGACCATAATACTTCTCACGCGACCGTTCTTCGTGGAATATGTCTCCAGTCGCATTGCACTAAAGTCACAGAACTGCGGTGATGGAGAAAGAAGTCCTGACCCTCTCAGGTCCTCCCACCGCATCCAGGTTCATGCATGTGTCAACTCTGCGATAAGCACAGTGAACATGCTGAGAAAGTTACTCGGATTCGATGGGATCCCGAAGAGGCTTCCCTTTGTTGTCAATTCGATCTTTGTTTCAGGTCTCGTACTGGGCTTGTCCTACTTCGGTGATTTGTACAAGACATATCCTTTAGATGACAGCCTTGGCACCGCACTGAAGCTGCTTGCCCTCTTTTCGCAAGACGCTGTCGCTAAAAGGAATCTGGCGATTCTCGAATCGCTGCTAGATGCCTGCAGGATCTATGTCCAGAAGGAAGCAAAGGAGAACATGGCAATACATTCTCAGCTGGTGAGTGGGATGTTTGGGCAAATTCACACAGAGGATGACAAGGAAGATTCGGGCACGACAAATACTCCGGAGGGAGATCAAAGCTCTGTCGGCAATATCGAAGACCAGTTACGTCGACCAGCTGTCTTCAACCGTATGGAACCACATGATGCTACAGACCAGGGATTGACCAGTGTATCCACCGTGGGCAGCAGCGGGAGTGTTGGTTTGAACACGCTAGATCGCCCGGAAATCAATAACCTCAATCTAGAGGCGATGGCTGCTCCTCCTACTTTCCAAGACGACATCTCGATGCTACCTCCTATGTCTCCAAGGACGTTATGGTTCGGCTCCTACGAAGACAATGTGCCTCTCTTTTCGATGATCGACGCACGGGATTTTCTGGAATAGCGGTGACTATTGAGATCGCTTCCCTGATAGGTGGCTCTTCGGCAATTGAAAGCTCGAGAAAACATGTCCATATGATGAGACAGTGGCAATATGAATCTCCGGCCAATGGCACACCCGGAGATTGAGCTTTGGGCCTTGTTTACGATTATCACCTAGCGTCTAGGCCACTCTTTGCCACCCACAAGGTGTGCCGACGTCTGCGCCCATGTCTTGCAGCTATGCAAATCGTCTCATGGCCTCGCTGCCTCTGCTGCATATGAGACAGCCAGGATGGTCGAACGGCAGGGAGATTCGCCAGTTTGCAGGACAAAGATATGCAGGAACCAACAGATCAGTCAGGAATAGTTCTTGCCACTTGCTGGTCCTTGCTGGCTTGCAAGCCTGAAATGAAGCTGAATCTATACCTCGCGATCAAGACCTAGGAGCTTCACCGACTGTCTCCCAATTGAGGCATGGACATACAACATCTTGCCACGATGTCTTCGGCCTGCCGGCCACTTGAACACTCCCGAGGGACCGTCGACGTGCAATTGCACCATGCGGTCAAGAAAGGCACCTGCGGAGCAGGCCAATGACAGGAGTTGCCGAAAAGCCATTATGCTTCCGATGGGACTCCCCCAGATCCCCCACCCCACAGTACATTGCCGACTCCACCTGCCGGATGGTGTCCAGTATCGTCCAGGCTGAACGATTCAGGGGCAAAGATTCATCCACGACATCTATGCTGCCCCTAGTACGGGGAAAGCCTCGGCTATGCGGAGGGCTGTGGGGTGGCTGAGTCGGCCTAACTCGTCATTCTCGATTCCTCGCGGCAGACACCCTAGCCTTGCGGGAGAGTATCAAGCTGGTCCAGTCCATGCAGTCAATCTCACGGGCGGCCCTGCACCAAGGGATTCCACTAATGGAGCATGATTCGAGTGGTGACCCCTAACACGATCTTGATGGCTGTTCTGCTGTGATCGACCTGTGCATGCGTTCTACAAAGCTTTGGCCCACTAGTTTCGTTGCTGGTGAGAGCGGTACCAAGCTACGAGACGTCTGATGCTCGCACGTATCCTCCAAATGAGATCGCCATCGGATGGCCTCGGGAGAGGACTGCGTTTCGGATATCCATCATGTTTTACTGATGGTTGTGGAGTCTTCTGATTTTCCCGGACGTGATCAAGTCGTTCAACCTTGATTCGACATGGCGGCAGCGTCCAATATGAGGGGCATCAGTCTTCCATCAGGCCGAGCATATGTGAGGTTCATTGGCAGCTAGGGTCTTTGTTCGTGTTCTCGCACAGTACCCCCTTATCCCTCCGTCGGCAATGCTATTGATTGGGCAGAGAAGTGAACTCGCCATTTCGTCTATCAATACCATCTGGTACTTAAAGCATGAAGCTCTCGACACTGGAATCCAGCATGTGCTTTCAGGATCCTGTGATTTCATCGAAAACGCGTCCAAAATCTTTCCTTCCAATTCCTCTTGAACACTTCAGTTCGAAATCCACCACGCTGCTCTCGTCCCCGAAACACCTGAGATGGGCTCTTTACCAACCCCCATTGAACTCGATGCGCTCATCGTAGGGGCTGGCTTTGGTGGAGTCTACCAACTGAAAAGACTGCGTGAGGAAGGCTACAAGGTCAAGATCGTCGACAGCGCTTCGAACTGGGGCGGTGTCTGGTACTGGAACCGATACCCGGGCGCCCGCGTGGACAGCACGATCCCTCACTACGAGTTCTCCGACCCTTTGCTCTGGAGGGACTGGCGCTGGAAGCAGCGGTTCCCCGGCAGCGCCGAACTTCGAGATTACTTCGCCTTCGTTGCAAAGAGATGGGATCTAGACAGGGATGCCATATTCAATACCATGGTGACCGCAGCCACCTGGAATGATGAGACCGCCAAATGGCACGTCACCACTCAGACAGGCCAAAGCTTTGTTGCAAAGTACCTCCTGCTCAACACCGGGTTTTCGGCAAAGAGACATATCCCCGACTGGCCCGGCATCGAGAAGTTCCGCGGGACCTTTGTTCACCCTTCCTACTGGCCCAAAGAAGAACCCGACCTGGCGGGCAAGAACATCGCGGTGATTGGAACTGGATCGACCGGTGTCCAACTCGCTCAGGAGTTGAGCAAGGTGGCCAAGGACTTTGTGCTGTTCCAGCGGACTCCGAACCTGGCCCTGCCGATGAAACAGGTCGAGTATAGTGGCGACGAGCAGACTGTGCCGCACAAGGAGTACCCAGACCTCTTTGCGGAACGGTTGACTTCGTTCAGCGGGTTCACGTTCAACTTTCTGCCGCGGGCCACGTTTGACGACACGCCCGAACAGAGGAGGCAGACGTACGAGGAGCTCTGGGCCAAGGGGGACTTCCACTTCTGGCTGGCGACCTACTACGACATGCTCTTCACCCAGGAGGCCAACAAGGAGGCGTACGAGTTCTGGAAGGCCAAGGTGCGGGCGCGCATCCACGACCCGGCGCTGCAAGAGTCGCTCGCGCCCGAGATCCAGCCGCACGCGTTCGGCTGCAAGCGCATCTCGCTGGAGAACGGCTACTACGAGATCTTCAACCGGCCCAACGTGACGCTGGTCGACATGAAGCGCACGCCCATCGCCGAGTTCACCGAGCGCGGCATCCGCACCGGCGACGGCCGCGACTTCGAGCTCGACTACATCGTCTGCGCGACGGGCTTCGACGCCCTCACCGGCGGCCTCAAGCAGATCGACATCGCCGGCGTCGGCGGCCAGAAGCTCGCCCACAAGTGGGACAAGGGCACAAAGACCTACCTGGGCCTCTGCGTCGCCGGCTTCCCCAACATGTTCTTCACCTACGGGCCCCAGGCCCCGACCGCCTTCTGCAACGGCCCCACCTGCGCCGAGTTGCAGGGCGAGTGGATCGTGCACATGGTCAAGGACATGGACGCCGCCGGCCTCAGGAAGATCGTGGCCAACCCGGACGTCGAGGACCAGTGGGCGCAGGATGTCTGGAAGCTCGCCAACGCGACGCTGCTGCCAACCACCAAGTCGGTAAGTTTCTGCACTCTGCACACAGTGACTTTCTTTTCCCGTCTCCTCCCTGCCCGCCTGGACTGCCCTCTCTTGTTCCTATCTAGCTTCTCCTTTCGATTTTCTTTGTTGGCACTTGCTATCTACTAGAATTCTCCGGCTGACGAGTGTTGGTAGTGGTACATGGGAGACAATATTCCCGGCAAGCCAAGGGAACCGCTTATCTACCTCGGCGGAGTGGGGACTTACTACAAGACCATCAATGAGTGTGCACAGGAAGGTTACAAGGGATTTACACGCGTGTAACGTCCGTTGGAGAGACTGCAGGGCTAGCCATAGTCTCGTGTGGAGGTAGAAGGTCTGCTTTGACAATTTCATAAACAGCATACTAGTGTCTCCGTTTCCTCCTGTCAATGTCATGCCAATATGCTATGTGTTGCAACCTTTTTAATGCGTAAAGTCCACCGTCGTTGAGATACCGTCCCTCTTTTGTCGAACGCCTTAAGCCCAGCACTCCAGGTCCGCCGCTAATGATACAGGGTATCGCCGATCCTTCAACCTCGTACTTGGACCCCCATGTGACCCCCATGTGGCTTCCGCAGAGGGCCAACCAGACAATCTGGTCACTGCCCGTGCTGTGCACCGCCAACCATCTTTCTCAGTTCGTACTCACGAGTAAAGTTGGTCTTGAGGACGTCCAGGTCGTGGACCAAGTCGCGGGAACTGGCCAGCACGGCTTCCTTGGGGGTGATTTCGCCGTCGGTTTGGACACGAAGTTCGAACTTGGCAAAGAGAGGATGCGGGATCTGGAGGAGTTGCGTTAGAATCCTTGTGATTCCTGGCTCTTTTCATTGCTTACCCGATAGGCGGCAAAGGTGACGTGGCTGTTCTTCAGGAGCTTGTCGCGGAGAAGGTTGGCAAGGGTGTGGTCTTCCTTGTTGAAGGTGAAAATGGTAGTGTTTGGAGTACCTGGAGAATAGAGATTAGTGGCGTCAAAGCTGCACGCAGACGCAAGCACCCACGAGTGTCGATCTTCTCTTCAATCTTCTTCTCGTCGTCTCCAAGAAGGAAGGCTTCAGTGCTATAGAACATCAGTCAGGGTGTGTCAGCCTACACCTTGAACCCGCAAAGCAAGTAAACATGTTATGCAGTAGACACTCGTGGGTGTCCAAGAGGAGAAGATGCGGAGGATGCGATCCAAGTCGTCTGTCTTCGTAAGTGCGCACCATTCAAGTCTGTTGATCTCCTCATGATGCATTTGCTCCATTTGGAAAAACTGATAACGACGATTCGCCGGGTGGTGTCTCCAAGCCGAGCCATCAATTGGATAGCCACCCGGACCGGCGCCAGGGTATGGGCTGTGGTTCGGGCGTGCCTTGGCGGGCGAAGCCAGCGAAGCCGGGTCAGGCACAGAAGGCGGCCCAGGATCTTCCATATCAGTCATTTCGACGATGTCCTTGGTAGTAGTCTTGGTGTCGGTAATCCCACTGCTATGAAATTGTGTCAAAACAAGTCGAGGTTTCCTTGGTCTGACTGAGTCCAGGTCCAGATTCCAGAAATGATCCAGGTCCATAGGCCAGAGTAGGCGCGACCGTGGGGGAACGGGAACTTACGTGGCCGGGATGTTGACACTATTCGTGTCAACTCCAGAATTGACGCTTCCCAAGTGTTTATTTTTTGGATGGTTAGGCCAGAGCTGGCTCTCAACAGGGACAAGCTGGCCGGAGGACATTCGTCTAGGTGAGAGGGTAGTCGCCTTGGGGGGTGTCTTATCCCCCGGGGCCGCAGCCTGGTTGGGTGAGGTATCCGACATGAATGATGACATCTTCTCTGACGGGACGAGCTTCAAACGCGGTCCTTAGGAATGATGAAGGGCCGAGGAAGGATAGATTGCTGGGGAGGCAGTGGGTGGCCGAGGTGAGGTCTGAATTCAAAGCGGTAGACAAGGACGCCAAGACCAAGGTTCTTTGAGGCAGGCAGTTTTCCAGGAAACGATCACGGCAGCCAACATGTCTTTCGAGCGAAACGCCGTCCAAATGTATCAACCAGCCGTTTGAGCTAAATTGAAAAGGGTCGGAAGATGTTTGCTCCCTGGCTCGTTTCTTTGTGCGCGGCTCAACCACTTTTAACCTCCTTTCTCCTCGCCCTCCAACCAGCGAAATTCGACAAAGACATCGAGAGAGCGCAATATCGCGAACATGAAAGAAACCTGAGAACATACCGATCGGGGGCGTTCATACTGTCAAACCAAGCGAGAAAGTATCCAAAAAGGTCCAAAAGAGACAAGGGGAAGCAAGAGATTCCGAGTTAGATGGGCAAGAAAGGGGCGTCGTAGGAGGCTGTCAAGATTAAAAGTGTTGCCAGATGGATAAGAAGCGAAAAGATAGATACCAAGTCGAAGGATGCGAGGGAACAGCAACGAGACGACGACGACGAGATCGAACGAGGTCCTCTTCTTCACTTCTCGCCTCGTTCATTTGAAAAGTCGGACTCGAGGGACCGGCAGACAAACCGTACAAAGTTGCCAAGATCCACGTGACTATCAAACAACTGACGACTCCGAGCTGACGCGCCGACAAACGCAGTTTTCGCTCAATGCAGGGGCAGAGTTCACCCAACGACATCTCCGCGGCATGAGGCATGGATCCTCCAACTCGGTCCCCTTGGTCGATCTCCGATTCTCGTCCTCGAAACGAATTGGATTGACTCCTCCTAAGCCTGGTTTCGGTCCCATGGAACCTTCCATTCGCTGACTGCTGGCTGAGAATTCAGCAATGCTGTCACGCCTTTTGCGATACGAAAACGGTGGTCAAACAGCTGCACTTTAAGCTGTATGCGGGGATTTGCAATTCGACTGCTTATTGTTCCTTTGACAAGAATTCTGCGAAAGACCCTACGTCTCTAAAACTGTGCAGTTGTTTCTCCTTTTCAGAGGGACCAGCTCCTGTGCAACGTCGTTGCGAGCCTCGTCTCGTTAGAAGCTGGCTTAAGCATGCCGCCCAATGCGCTTCACCATGACTACCCGTGGACATCTCCCGATCTCCCCTTGGTCGTATCCGCACCCATGATGAAAATTACCATGGGTCGTCTGGCAGTTTCTGTGTCCGCAAACGGCGGGATTGGTTTCCTGGCAGGCGGATTCGACCTGTCTTCCCTACTACAGAACCTCTCTGAAGCAGCGGAATATGCAAAATCTACAAATGTACATCTCCACAACGGATTGCTCCCAATCGGCGTGGGTGTCCAGAACTGGGGCAGCTCTCTCCCACTTCTGACCCAGGCCCTCGAGAAACATCCCGTCGCTGCGGTATGGTTCTTCGCGCCCACCCACCTCAGCGATCTCCTCGACTGGGCGAAATCCATCCGGCACCTCACCAACGAGCGCACCAAGATCTGGGTCCAGGTCGGCACCGTGGCCGAGGCAATCGAAGTCGCCAAGACGACGAAACCGGATGTCTTGATCGTGCAGGGTTCGGATTCGGGCGGCCATGGACTCGCGCAGCGGGCGAGTTTGCTCACGCTGTTACCCGAAGTGATAGATTCGTTTGAGAGGGAAGAGATCGATATCCCGGTGCTTGCGGCCGGTGGGATCATGGACGGAAGAGGGGCCGCGGCGGCGTTGGCACTGGGCGCTGACGGCGTGTGTTTGGGCACGAGGTTTCTCGCATGCGAGGAAGCGGTCATCGCCAAGGGCTATCAAGACGAAGTATTGAGAGTTACCGACGGCGGCACAAGCACCGTCTCGACCACCATTTACGACACCGTCAGAGGCATTCACGGATGGCCGCAGGCGTATACTGGCCGAGGCGTGGTGAATCGGACATATCTAGACGCAGTGCACGGCATGGGGGATATGGAGAACGTAGAGCTGTACAACGAGGCGGTCAAGATGGGCGATGCAGGCTGGGGCCCGGAAGGGAGGATGACCACCTACGCGGGCACGGGGATAGGATTGGTGAGAGAGATCATGTCGGCGGGGGACATCGTGCGAAGTGTCCAGCAAGAAGCGATCCAGGTTCTACAAAAGTCTGCCTCGAAATACGGGAAGACGTGACGAAGAATATTTCTCCCTGTATCTTCGGTATGAAGGATCGGTTGCAGACTATTTGTTCGGCTGTTTCGTTTCGTCATGCCAGGGCCTGTACCTCCAAGCCATCAAGGCCCTGTCAGGCGTTGTTGCACTGTATACAGAGTATTTCCTCGGTGTGAATATCCCTTTAACGTATTCTCTCAGCTCAAACAAACGACATCGACGCGCTCGGTTCCTCGATCGCCTCCGGCCTCTTTGCTTTGCTTGATCATAACTCTCGAGTGCGGCGTTTTTTTGGAGAAAAAAAAAGGAGCCCCGTAGTCGATTGAGCAGACCTCTCTTCTCATGATGCCGCCGCAGGGACTGGCCCTTCTCCGCCCGGTATCAACTATCCACGGAATCAGCCAGTCGACTACGTTGAACGCACACCGCTCGAAGAGCGTGCAAGGGAAAGAGGAGGGAAAGAAATGGAAGGAGAAGAAAAAGAATCCCTTTGATGAGCAGCGCTGTGGAAAGGGGGTGCAATGCATGGGGCTGGAAAGAAACAAATTGTGGTCTTCGCGAGTGTGCTTACCATGCAGATGTTGTTCCCGTTCAGCAGAATCTTGGGCAGCCGCGTTTGAGCGCCGGTGTAGTCACTTGTTCCAAACGTCAGTCTCTCCTCGTTCGGATGTCTGGGTGGACCAAAGTGTCGACCAAAGTGGGAGTAGCGGACGAGGACAATGCCGATGGAGGGGGACAGAGAAGAGGGACAGACTTACAATTCAATCACATCCTCCAGGACCATGTCTATACACACCGAAGGAAAGTTACATAGTTAGCTGGATTGTCTCGTTCTTCATGATATACTGCCATCCTCCACTCTCTCGTGTGGGCCGTGTGCCAGAATAGACGGTCGCGCGCATACTTACTGACATAGTCGTCGAACCCGATCAATGTGCCGGCGAATTCTGCAAACCGGGTAATTCAAAGTCAGTCAAACCGCGGAACCTGGATTGGCAAGGCGAAGATCTCCGCGACAGAATCGACGGCGGGAGGTGGATGTCTAATGAGAGACCCGATGCAGTGACCAAGGTGTGCCGGTTGACAAGCCACCGCGAGGTTTTCTGGACTGGCGCGCGAATTCGACGACTTGAGACTGGGATTCCCCGTACCTTTATCGCCTTTCATGACGATCCAGATCCTCGAGCCGACACACTTGTCGATCAGTTCTGTTCCCAATAAACGTGGTTAGCGATTGCCTATTGCACTCGTCCGTGGACAGGGGCCAATGCCCGTGAAAATATGGAATATACCTAACGGCAGTAATTGTGATGCCATGGGTGGTGGTTTGGCGGTTAACATGGGTTGCGCGGAGAAGGAGGGAGGGAAATGGGTGGGCCTTGTATCAAGGCGTGTTCATCGGGGTCTAAGCTGGCTACTAGGATTCCAGCGAGATGCCGAGCTCTGAAGGAGAGATGGTTTGCTGGGATGAAATCTAAAATGGCAAAAGAAGTTGATGTCGAGGCTGGACTGGAGAAGAGCCTTGCGCCAAGTCCGGAACGGGGAAACATGAAGCCGACACCGTCACTGTCCACTACAAGCAGACTACAATAGTCCAGATATGCACTATAGATCGAAGGCGAGTTTCCCTGGATTTCGAGGGTACGATATGGATCTGGATGAAACAGTCTCGGGATATGTTATATATATGTGCCTATTAGGATTATGTACGGGGCTCCTGTTTCTCTCACCGCCACAGAATTGCACAACGCCGCGCTTTTATCCCATATCTTTATGGGTTTTTAGACAATCCGAGTCTGTTATCGCTCATCGTAACCCATGTCATAACTCATCATTCATAAAGGTCGTGTTGTATTTGCCTCTCGACCAGTCCCAAGGATCTCCGCCAGGAACACAGAGCCCCAGCCGCCAGAAGTAGTCACGATGAGCAAAGAACAGCTGCCAAAATTTATAGCGCCGACTTATCTCCCACATTTCCTTGATCTCGGAGGCAGCACTGTCGTCATCGCCCATTGCGGTTTTGACCTGCTCGGTGGAGATGCTGTCGGCAATACAAGCAGGATCCTCATCGCCCACACAATGCCGGATATCAGCACGAGCGGGAGGCAGAGCGGGTTTGGAGATGTATATCTCCCCAGCGTGCATTTTGTAACCCCATTCTTCCAGCGGTAGAAGGGGCACTGGATCGTCCACATGTGTCACTCTGCGGTATGTCCACTCGTCCGGTTTGGTGGCATTCAAGTTGAAACGTTTATCGATGAACTGATTCAGTGCCAGATTTCCAACCCGTGGCTCACCAAATGTTGTGACATGAGGCTGCCATCCTCTCGCTTGAAATTCGAGAGACGCCAACGCTGCAACAGCGCCTCCAAGCGAATGACCCACCAGCACCAGTTCGTAGTCTGGGTGGTCCTTTAGGGCCAATTCTACGTGTGGGATGATGATGCAGCGTGTATTCCGCCAGGACGTCATGAAGCCCGAATGAACAGTGCAGTTCGGACATGCCGCCTGAACCACACTCCTTTTCTCCGGCTGTTTCAATAGTTGTGGAAGGATTGGTTCCCTTTCATTTTGCCACTGCTCGGTAGTGCAGAACGAATCATTATCTCTCTCGGAGGGGAAAGGAGCGTATTCGGCTGGGTTTGTCGACAGATCTGCAATTGTGTTTGCGATGGAGTAGGTTCCTCGAAAGGCGACGATAACTCGTTTTGGGTAGGGAGGATGCGACAAGGCGATGTAGCCAGACGAATCGGACAGAAGGGGACCGGTGTTCCAGGTGGTGACGAGTTCGAAGCCCTCAAAGTCGCTGCATCGACTCAGGCATTTGAAGGGCTTCTGAATACCCGTCGTCCCGACACAGTAGGATATGTCGACAATGCGAGCGAGTTCTTCAAGCGACTCAAAGGTCTGTTGGGAGATTTCTTTGTCACTCGCCCAGAGATGCGCCGGAAACGCTGCCCCAGCTGCTACCCATGAGCATACCCAGAAAACAGTCCACAAGCCGAACATTGGAAAGTGCGATCACACAGGCGAGGACAGCGAGGTATTCATGCCTTACATAGGAGAGAGAAGGAGGGCGGCACGAAGCCCAACATTAATCAATATCTGGGGAGAAGAGGCCGGTCGCATGAGGGCCGGTCAGGTGCGGCTTTTGGAAGAAAGGCGAAGGGTTCGTGTTCATCTTTTGCTCACATGACCTTGACGTCACAGCCTCCTTGCCCCTGGCGGCTCCTGCCGCTCCCATCCGCCCTCCAGACATGCGTATCCACTTGTATGCCACGAGGCTGTTGTGGCTGTTCTACAATTCTCCATTATCTGACACACGCATCTCTATCCGATGTTCCTCCTTCATATTGAGAAGACTCTAATCCGGAGGCTCCACGGGACATGTTATGAAACACGAGTCACACATCAGGCCAACGGAAAGAAATGTGATATCACCGAGTCGCGGAGCAAACTCATAGTGTTCTGGAGTTTGATCAAGGGATCATTGCTTCGAGGATTATTTGCTTATATCGTTTCTGAACGCGAGTCAGGGCACAGCCTCATAGCTGAGTTCCACCGTCGTCGTGGCCAGAATCCTCATCATGACTAACTTCATCGTTTTCGTCGTCAAATCCTGTGAAATCATCGACTGGTTCTTCGTTGCTCTCATCTTCATCCTCTTCCTCCTCGTCATCACTGGGCGATGAGTCCTGTTCTGCACCAGACTCAAGTGAACTCTCACCACTCGCCGCGGGTTGGTCAGCTTTCCGTTTGCTAGGCATCTCGCCTAGCCGGCCTTCCCTCCCTTCAATGACTTCTGTCGAGGGATCGTCGCCTGTTCCGTCGGCTCCCTCTTTCTTCGGCGGTGGCGTGAACCAGGGAATTTTCCCGCGCAGGAAATCATTCAAAACCATCTTGGCCACACCGTCGACATCGGGCTCGCCACCTTTCAACAATCTCCCGCCCTTTCTCGCCAAGATGCTCAGAAATTCAATCGGATCGTCGTTATAATCTGTAGCCTTGATATCGTAGGTCCGCTCGATATGGCGGGGCTTCGTTCTTCTCAGAACAGCCTCAACATACTGTGCGGGATGTTCGACATTTTCCACCCGCACCACCCCACGCAGCAGGATATCTTCTTCGGTGTCGCCTTGACTAGGTGGAACGACCCCCGGGCAGTCGATCAAATAGATTCTCTTCATTAACGTGATGTATTGCCAAACTTTGGTCTCCCCTGGAATTGGGGCGACTGTACAAACTCGCTTCTTTCGTAGTGTGTTGATTATCGAGGATTTGCCCGTGTTCGGATACCCAATGAAACCCACCGAGATCTGTTTCCTCGACGAGTGTAGCGTCGAGAATTGTCGTAACAGCGTGATCAGCGAGCCTTTCCCAAAGGAGTTCGTCATCGACGCGTGAAAAGCCAGCGTAGGATATTCCTTTGAAAGTAATCTTGTCCATTGAGCCTAAAATCTTGAGATTAGTATGGATGTGTGAGACATTACTAAGAGACGTGCCATAGACGAAGAAAGCAAACCTCAACTCAAACGAAACACGCCTTGCACTCTGGTGACAGATATGCTTCCAAGACGGATGCAGTTGTCGGAAACCACCCGTGAGGGTGGCGAGCGCGGCTTGATGTACCAAAGCTGTAACAGGCTGCTTTCATTGAGGAAATGCGAGAACGCAGAAAGGAGCCTTGACTTAGCAATGGAGTGGGGATTATTTCTGCGCGTGTACTTTGTAGAAGTTCGGAGACACTGAACGAAAAGAGAAGATAACCTTACCGCTATGCTTGTCGGCACCAGATCGCACTTGTTGAGCACAAACACCAAGTGTTTATGCGGTGCCTCCTCGCGAATGTATTTTTCCACGCTCCTACATCTTGTGCCCTCGGGGTCTCGAGCATCCAGCACGTGGATAACCACATCGGACGAGTCAATGACCTTGTACAGCTCGTTCCATATCCTTTTGCTTTGGCCTTTTGAGAAGATTGGTTCACGGGCACTGGTGAGTTCGCCATCTTGTTGTCCCTGCATTTGTTCCGCCGTTTGCCCACTCAGCAGCTTGTTCTCTTCCAGTCGCTCAAGATAGTCGTCGTGCATTTTCACCGACTCGTCAGCCAAATCCGTCACAGAGCTTGCACTTAGTTTCACACGCTTCCGCTGGGACTTTGGTCCAAAGGTGTCGGCAAAGGGGGCAGACTCGACCGCAATCTTGGCCTGGTGCTGTTTAATCCCATTCTTGGTATTCTCGGCATCTCGAATCAGGCTCATAGGGAGTTTGTTCGTCTTCAGAAGGACCTGGTATGGATCGGCTGCTCGCTCTGCCACGGCTTGTCTGAAGGAGTCGAGTGCATCTTGAGATATCACTCTCGTATTCCCAAACCACTTCCGATTAGGCTCTACTCGGGCCTTGGGAACTTCGCGGGACTGGTATGAGGCGGCTTTCGTGATCTTGCCTTCGGCATTCCGCTGTGCTTTGCCGTCTTTCAGCATGTTTAGTGTCTTGAGCTTTTTGGCATTGCTGTGAACGTCCTATTAGCATGGATCGTCCAAGTATCGTCCACCGCATCTTCACGCACCGATAAAAGTTCTCGCCCTTGACCTTGACGTTTGCCATGCCGTCTGTCGATTGCCCTTGCCGCTCACGGCGGGCAGCTTCTTTCTTTCGAGCACCCATTTTAGTCAAAAGCGACCTTGGAGAAGGTGAGACAAAGGTAAAAAGCGGGTGGTGTCTAACAATTCAGAACCAACTACAGCGTACCTCGCAGTCGGCGAAGAAAAGTTGAAAATTTCGGTTGAACTTCGGGGGAGTAATAGCGGCCCTTGCGCCTTGGCAGGTCGGAACTCATTCTGGGAATCACCCCGACCGCGCCGCTTTTAAAACTTTTCTCCCTAGCGCAGCCTTGACTCCACGACAGCCAAAGACCTATGTACAATGGATACATGGTAAATCAGACGCTAGTAAAGCGACCATGATGCAGTACATTTAACAACAGCTGCGAGACGCTAAGTATCTGGTGCGGATCGAGAGCGACAGAGCTTGGTCGAACTCCTTGGGAGTGCCGCCTCTTATCGCCATGTCCGTGGAAAGGGCACTCATGGACGAGTTTAAATAGTAGTGTTTAGACGAAGTATCCCGTAGAGTGTCAAGCGTAAAACTAATGCGACATGTGTTGGCTTGCTCGTCGAAAAGTTGTTCCCAAATCTGGCCGTATAAGGGTCCTACGGACTCACCTTTTGTGACAAGATCGTATCCTTAAGCGGCCTATATCAGCGCCAGGAATACATGGATGACAAATGTACGGAGACGACAAATTCGTACCACAAAGATCATGAGGACTTCGCTGTAATGGTTGGAATTGTTGTCTGATTTTGTTGCCCAATGATAGTGAAGAAGTCAGAGAAAATATATATCTGATTATCGGTCTCTTTTTGCAGCTCGACAGTATCAACGACAAACCAATAGTTACCAGGACATCCACAATGCACGATAGATCATAGATGCGGAGCGTGCTTTCAGGTTGTGAGCATACTAATTGCTTGTGCAGTACCAAAACCTAGCGGTGGAGCAGCTCGGTAGCATTCTGGAGGATAACTTCGCCAGCCCACTTAATGTTCGGTTGAACGAATTGCGTCAGCTGCCTGCTCTTAGCGAGCCCAGTGATGACCGCCAGGATCAGAATGTCGCGTTCAAGATGGATCCAGGGCGATACTTCACGTGAGAGCGAGTTGACAGCCCACCACTTGGTGCCTCCCGTGAGATTGAAGGCGCCCCAGTCGACAGCAAGTGTCCGCCGCCAATATTCTTCGGCTTTCCCTGGCCATGAGGTGACATTGCGGCCGTTCTCATTAATGAACCAGCTGGAACATCCGGAGAAGAAGACACTTGACTTCAGCTTGGTGTGGATGATATTGGTTTCGCGATCTTCGGCGCTTTGTTTGACCTCGATTCTGTCGGCGCGGCCATCGACGATTGGCTTGATCAAGCTTCGGACTGCATAGCTGACCTGAGTTTGACAAGAGAACAAGGCTGAGTTATTAGCTGGGAAGGTATTGGGCCCATAGCTAAGATTAAAGATCAGTTCTTGTGCGCTTACAGAGGGACACAACCACACTTACATGATTCCAAAGTTAGGGAAGTTGTGGACATACGTCCCCAGGTAAGCTTGAGCCCCCCGGCATTCCCGCCATTGCTGGCAGAGAGATATGCCGTTGGCACCGTGAATCTTCATAGTTTGGAGGAAGTCAGTGACTTGGTACCCAGTGGCGAGCACAATGATGTCAAAATCAGCTGCCTTGCCCGAAAGGTCAATCAGACCGGTCTCGGTGAACTCTGCGATGCCTTGGTTGATCAGCTCCACATTCTTCTTATTGAGGCTATCAAGATAACCGGGGTCGAATATTCGTCTCTTGCATCCTTTTAGAGAGTCAGCCCTCAGGTGGAGGTCGCAGGCACGTGTCGACATACCAAGGGGGAAGTCTGGAATAATGAAGCTGTGATACTTCTTCGGAGCCTTGGACAGCATATACGCCTCTGCTTTCTTCTCAAGCACGGAACGGCTCCTGACTCCCGTCTTTGAAGAATAATATTCTTTAGTGTCGGCATCAGCATCGAGGAATATTCGGAAACGGAGCCATCTCTGGAGAAGAGGAATCCAACGGAACGACCATTTCTCTGCCTCTGTGAAAGCATGATTTGGCTATTTCAAGTCAAACGGAGATCAGTATCTGATGATTTTACCAGTACTGATTCTGGGCACACTTACCCTCGGAAGGTACCATTGTCGACTGCGAGCGTACTGAGTGATCTTGGCTGCCTTTTCAGCCATTACCGGAATGGCCTGTGCAGAGCTGCAACCATTTCCAATCACCGCCACCTTCTTGCCTTCCCAGTTGAGACTATGGTCCCATTGAGCGGTATGAACCATCGGTCCACGGAACTTATCCATCCCTGGGAAGTCTGGTGTCTTCGGAGTCGAAAGAGCGCCAACGGCAGATATCAGGATCGTAGCGAATCGCGAATAACTGATCTTGGTCTCCTGGTCCTTCAAAAAGACTTCCCACTCATTCCGATCTTCGTGCCATTTAGCCCCCAAGCATTCGATACTGAGGTGGAAAAAGGGACGGAGTTCGAATTTGTCTACAGTGTCGTTGAGATCTGTGCTGAGAGTTAGTCATCCAACGCTCAGGCTTCAATTGTGTCGGTGAAAGCTCACATTGTAGGATTTCAGGTTGCTCACACAGTTCAATCGACCAATTCGGGTTCGGATTGAAGCTGAAAGAGTAGAGATGAGAAGGGATGTCGCAACCACTGCACTCCGTATCAGTCATATTCCCCCTCCTCAAGAAACTTCGCCACGTTACCATCCAGGATATGTGTTGGTCTTCCAAGTTCCTCCGATGCCGTCATTTCGTTCATAAATCTTGCCCCAAGTCAGCAGTTGGAAACGCAGATTGAAATGGGTCACCTGCGATGAAGTCTGTGTAGCCAAGCTTGTGCTTGAGCTCGTATGCGAGAGCTATGCCGGATGGCCCGCCGCCAATGATGATGGTATTCGGTGTCGATTTACTTGACATTTTGACTGTCAGTCACTGCTAGAGTGGGTGACCGTCAGGTAGAATGCAGAATGCTCAACTCCGATCACATCGGCCTTGCTGCGAGGGCAACTGATTTATGAAAATTGTTGAGCCATAGCAAGAAGATGTTCATCACTAAGGCTCGCTCTCCTCGGAATTCAATCTTTGGCAAGTGGACAGGGCAAAGTCACCTCCACGAATGGCCGTAGCAGCATCAAAGTTGGCTATATTGCCTTCCTGGGATTTCTACCCGGGTCGGTTACTTGCTTGCGCACAGGTCATTTGCCGCAGGTACCATTGCAGGAAGACAAGCAAAGGCAGCAGAATAAGCTCGTTTGGCAGTCTCCTGATCCTGATCCTTGATTTCCCGAGCATCTAGCCGCTTGTTTTAGGTGAAGCTCTGGCCGGAAGCATTTCATTCCACCATTTGGTAGTGGAGAGGACAGAGCGAACTTCTCCTGGTGAATTGTATGTTCCGGCGCTCGATTCATGGCTTTAACCGTCCATATGGTACCCACGGCACTTTCATCGCATAACGTAGTTTCAACGGATGTCGGCACGAGACCGGATTTGCCATTTCGATTAAAAATATGTTTAAGGGCCAGTACACCATTGGGGTATCAGAGCTGCTCAATGAAGTCTGGAACCACAATATGAAGCTTTCCTGCTATAGATGCGCGAGAATTTAGAGATCGTAGAATAGTACGGTAGAGTCCTCCAACCCGATTCTAAGTCTCTTGGGTACTTGTAATCATCAGACCTCTTGACTGATCTCGTACAAGATGCGCTCGATGCAGAATTTAAACCTGGTTTTCGTACCCTTGACCGACTCCAATTCTAGCACGAATCTATTTCTTCCGCTTCAATATCTCCTCTTCGATGGCCCCCCCTAACCCATCTGTGGTTCCACGTCCGCCCATATCTGGTGTGTTAATAGAGAGGTCGCCTTTCCCTAGGACGGTCTCTATCGCGTCCAAGAGTGCCGCCGCCGGCTCCTTGAACCCGAACCACTCAAGCATCATCTGGCCAGCCCAAATCATTCCCACAGGGTTTGCAATACCCTTTCCCGCGATATCGGGGGCACTTCCATGGACGGGCTCAAAGAGACTGGGGAACTTTCGTTCCGGATTGATATTCCCGCTGGGTGCAATACCAATCGTTCCTGCACAGGCCGGACCCAAGTCCGACAAGATGTCCCCAAACAAGTTACTCGCAACCACAACGTCGAAAATTTGGGGCCTCTGAACCACGTGCGCGCTCAGAATGTCGATATGGTACTTGTCGGTGCGAACGTCGGGGTATTCTTTGGCAATTGCTGCCGCTCGCTCGTCCCAATATGGCATCGAAATAGCCAGGCCATTACTCTTTGTAGCACTAGTAAGGCGCTTGCGAGGTCTTGATCGTGCCAGGTCGAAGGCATATCTCATCACCCGGTCGACCCCCACACGAGTCATAATCGTTTGCTGAAGTACGATTTCCCTATCGGTTCCTTCGAACATTCTGCCGCCGACTCCGCTATATTCGCCTTCGGTGTTTTCTCGGACGACCAGAAAGTCTATGTCACCTGCTTGACGATTCTTCAGAGGTGTCGGCACACCCTTCATTAGTCGGCATGGGCGGAGGTTGATGTATTGGTCGAACTCGCGTCGGATTTTAATCAAGGACCCCCAGAGAATGATGTGATCCGGAGCAACTGCAGGATTTCCTTGGGCGCCGAAATAGATGGCATCAAATGGTAAAAGTAGCTCCTTCCAGTTGTCCGGGAGCATTTGGCCATGCTTGAGGTAGTAATTGATGGAAGAAAATTCGAATTCCTCGAATTTCAGCGATAACCCATAGACCTTGGCGATTGCTTGGAGGCATTTGACTCCCCAAGGCATTACCTCAATGCCAATACCGTCGCCGGCGATGACGGCGATTTTCAGCTCCCGTGCTCCCGCTATCATTTCGGCGATGGAGGATTGAACAATGTTAGCAGGGGAAGGGATCCGGGCTATAACTTACCAGAAGGATCGATCCTGCAAGGTCAAAGTTGTGCAGACTTGCAATGGCAAAATCACACACTCTCTGTTACCTTTGTATTGTCCCATTCTTAGTCTACGCCAAACAACAAAATATTTGCTAGTTCACTCGGATACCCGAATCTGTCCATGCAGTATCGTACCCTGTCGGAAGTAACCTATTTGCTATACTGAATGCTTGTTAAACGGCCGGATACTCCAACGGCGGGTATACTACCAAATCTGGAACTATACGCCTCTCTCCTTCGCACCATTATATTCCGCAGGTGTCAGGACACATGTTTTGGACGGGGAGGCAGGCCGGACCGTCGGCTTTATGGATAGATGGAATGTGTTATTTTGCGGTACCCATGACTTATTACATCCAATAGCTTTTGTCCTTTCAGAGCTCGCCCGCGTCCTTCCTCTCTGTCATGAGTTTGTCAGCGTCGTCTCAAGTCCAAATTAAACGCAGTCTTGACCAATAGCAATAGTGCCGAAGTTGAACCTCTTTAATCCCAAGCTTCTCCCAATTCAGAAAGGTAATTGATGTTTACCTAGGACTGGTATCCGCTGATATACCCCAGCCGGGGTATAACAGCGAGGTTACCCCAACGGGCTTAGCCACGAGTCGTAGGTGGAGAGATGAGAGATATGCGAGTTCTATCTCTTTTGCCTCAGGGTCCAGGCAAAGACCAGAAGGTTTAATGAGAGAATGTAAATCTGGGGCTTGGATCTTCTGAGGTCCTCAGGTTCTTGTCACACGACCTTTGATATTCAGCAGCTCGTCACTCATATTCTCTTCTCTCGACATCTCTCATAGCCAAATGGCACCGATATGATATTTGGCAACTCTTACGTATTGACCATTCGTACATCTAGCCCATCGGAGATTATCCTTAGGTCCAGCTCGTGGGCGTGAACTCCCAATGGCTTCCGGGTCACGAACTGGCTTCGTTCCAGCCAGGTTTCGTGCGGCGAAGGCATGTCTTCTTTGCAGACAAAAGAGAGTCAAATGCGACGCCATGGACCATGGCACTCCTTGCACAAGATGCGTTTCAAGTGGGAGGACGGATTGCGTGTTATTTGAGTCGAAAAGAGGAACCTACAAAAGGAGACAAAGGATTGATATGGAGAAACAGGCTCATGAATCCCCACGACCGGACCTTGATGGCCAAAGCTCTGAGATCGTCTCGACCTCATATGCTGCAGGAGCAGCTCTAGTTGAAAGTGCTCAACATCGACCCGATTCGTCGCCCTCGAGTAATCGATCCAGGACAACAAGTGAGCATGCCACAAGGCCCGAAGAACAATTCCAAGCGGAACAGCCATCGGCAGCGCCAGCCAGTATTGGCGCTTCAGAGACAACTACTGCGAATGCCGCCAGGGCTAATGAGTTCGCGGCTCTGCCAAATGTCCCAGAGAACAGTGATCTTCGAACGCGGTTGTCTTTAGATTGCTCCTCGCCGGTCTCTTGTTTGTCCAACACCACCCTTTCGCCATATCCAGACGTCTCGTGGGCGTCGACTTTTGACCCATTTCTCAAGACTCGGAAGAGCCCTCCAGACGACAGGTCCAACAGATTCTCCATCACCTACCTCGACGAATCTTTCCCCCTCTCTCTCGTCCTACAGGATCAAGGACACGGGACGAAACCTCAGCTACATTATCTCACTCCAGCAAAGCCGGAGCCGCCAGGACACCCCCCATCATCAGACCATCATCATCCTGCTCATGTCCCGCCCAAAGATATTGAATTCTTACAAACCAGAGGGTGCTTCGAACTCCCGAACCCAGAGATCTTGGACATGCTGCTCAACACATTCCTTGACCGCGTCTATCCTCTTTACCCGATCTTCAAACGCCGGAGCTTCCTCGAGAGCTACAGAGCTCAACAGCTCCCCTGGCTCCTGCTCCATTCGGTTTGCTTTGCGGCGGTGACCTTTTGCGAGGAAGACGTGCTGTTCCGCGCTGGATACCAGAACAGGATCGAGGCGAGGTTGTCTTACTACCGAAAAGCCAAAGCTCTGTTCGACCTGGGCTACCATATGAACAAGATCATGGTCCTCCAGAGTGTCATCCTCCTCAGCTTCTGGGGAGGCGCACACAATAGCTATTGGAACTCGGCCAGCTGGATCGGAGCAGGGGTGATCATTGCAGAGTCCCTCGGCATTCATCGGTCAATGGCGGATACTCGGCTTGCGCCCGAGGACAGGAGCTTGTTGAGACGGTTATGGTGGATTTTGTTCGTCCGGGACACTGGCGCCGCCACCTTTTCAGGCCGCCAGTTCCGCATGAACAGCGTCGACGTGGCCGATGTAGAGAGTTTGACTTGCGAGGATTTTGTGGCGGACTCGCAAGAAGGAGAGGACGGCGTTCGCCATCGTCTCGACGGCACCATTGGTCCATTCCACGTCGAGAACACCAAGCTCTTCGGGATCCTGCGACGGATTGTGCTCTGCAAAAGAACTGGTCACGGTGCCAGGCACGACGAGATGTACCACGACCTACGGAGATGGAGAGCAGAGCTTCCACCAGCGCTAAATTGGCGTGATTCCGAGGTGAAGTTGGACCTCCTACCAGCCAGCCTTGCACTGGCCTATAACCACAACCTGATTCTTGCCAATCTGGGTGGGAAACTCCAGCAATCAACGAATTCTGTCCATTCAGATCCTCGCGGCAGGCAACTGGACGCTGTGTGCGAGAATGCCGCCCACCGGATTTTCGACTTGACGTGCGGTATGACCACCAAGTCCACGTTTCCACGCTTGCCGCACGAAGCCTTCCACGCACTGTTTCTAGCACAAGCCGTATTTTACTCACAGACCTTGGCGACGGACACGACAGCGGCAAAGATGGGCCGCATGGCGGTCAACACGTGCCAGGTTGTCTGGCACAATGTTCGAGGCGGATGGGATCCCGCCCGATGGGTCATGAAGCTCTTTGAAAATCTCCTCGTGGCCACCCCCCCGCGGCGGTCGGAAGATATGCACATGGTGATAGATGACGCGCCCGGCCACCCCGTAGACTACTTGTCAGATATGCCTGTGAATGACTTTGACGGCATGAACTCGCTGCTGTCGTCGATCTTTGATATGTCAACCGCCATGGATGGTTTAACCGACCCGACCGGACAGGAAATGTTTTCTTTCAGTCTTGCCAACGACAACAGCTGGTAATTGTGTTTTAATTTTCCAAGGCAGTGTTGTTGTGGTAGTATCGGTGTATCATCTGGCAGTGGCTATGAACCAACAATGCAAACATTCAAGCTATTGCCCACAATGCCCAGCGAAACGGAATATTCTACTTGAGCAGAGTCCATCTACGTAGCTTCGCTCCATCCTGGTGCGAATGAACATAGTTCGCGACCTTGTGGTAAACCCCTCCAGTATCGAGGCCGAAACGCCCGTAGTTGGCCATCCCAGCCCCAGAGAAGCCAAACGAGTCCATCGCGATGGATGCGTTACAGTACCGCATCGTATGCCCCCAAAGTGCAACGGCTAACGGTGCCATGCCAACAGCAGATCCTCCGTGTCCGCCGCCGTTCTGGCGGCAGCAGTCCATGACCAGCTTCCTGATGTCACGGACCACGAGTTCATCCTCGGTACAGCTGCTCGACTGAGTCCCATTGACAAGCGAGTTGGATCTGGCCAACGCCGCGGAGCTGGGGTGATGCTAGATGGTGAAGGTGACATTGAATTACCAAGTCAATGCTGGACGTTCTTATGCTCACCTTTCCCAGTGCTTCAAAATCCCACCCAGCGTCCCTTGGCTCAGAAAGGTGCACCTGGCAATTCACGGGTATTGTCAACATGAAGTGTAGCCGAGAAATCCAAATCAGCACATGGGACACTTCCAATATCTTCGAGGTGCCGGAGGATGTTCTCAAGGCTATCTCCCGGGTAACCCATTTATACCGCGTAGATTTCCAAATGCAGCTTCAGATCTCCACCCGCAGTTCAGCACCTTCAAAGGGAACATTCTCGGTCCGATAATTAACAAGCTGTTGGAAATGGCGGTTCAACACTTGCCAGTTGGCTTGGACAGGGTACCGGCTCGCAGAACAGGGCGACGCTGGGAGCAACTGTCGCTTCAATTTCTCAGCGCCGCGAAGCTTTCTATCGGCTTCTTAGCTTTGCCGTAAGATGAGTATTCTCTGGCCCAGAGAGAAGCAAGCTGCATCATTTCCTCGTGTTTTCTTTCTGATGATCATAGCGTTCACCTTTCCTTACTGTCCTAGATCCTGCCTTACTAGAAGCAGATGAGGGTTGGTAGATATCTACCTGGCGCTTTTGTATCAGCTCTGATCCAGCTATATCATTCATGAATCAGCAACCTAGCTCTAACAGACCCAGCCCCCATCAACGCTGACAGTCACACCCGTGATAAAGCTTGCGTCTGAGCTCAGCAGGAAGGCGACTGCCTTCGCAATTTCCATCGGCTTAGCAAAACGGCCCAAAGCAGTAATTTCAGGATTCTCCTTTTCCTTCGCGGCCTTCGGATCAGCGTCGATGGACCTTTGCATCATCGGAGTCATAGTGAGGCCCCTGGAAAGACATCTGTTAGTCCTTGAGTCCCAGACCGCATCTCGAACCACAGACAAATATGAAAGAATTTGACACTGACGGTGCGATTGCGGTTATCCTGATATTTTGTCGACCAAATTCCTTAGCCACGCTAGAGGTCAACCCAACGACGGCGTGCTTACTTGCTGCGTAACATGCTGCTTCTGCTCTCCCTATCAGGCCGAGGGTGCTCGCAAAGTTGACGATGCTTCCTCCACCGCGTCTTTGTAGATGGGGGATCTCCGCCCTCATGCAGTTCATCATGCCGCGCACATTGACCGAGAAGACGTTGTCCCAGTCACTGTCCGTCTGATCCAGGATTGTGCCTTTATTATGCGACTTCGGAATGATGCCGGCGAGGTTGACCGCTCCATCCAGGCCGCCGAATTGCTGGTCGACATCTGCCAGCCAAGCTTCAGTTTGCTCTCGGTTGGTGATGTCAACTCGGTGAACCAACACCTCACCCCCGGCAGCACTGAGTTCTTGTTTGACTGATGCGAGGAGATCTTGTTGAATATCCGCAATCGCGACTCTGGCCTTGAGTTCGACGAGAAGCTTCGACACTGCATGGCCAATTCCAGAGGCTCCCCCGACCACGGCGATCACTTTTCCCTGTAGCACAGACCCGGGCATTTTCAGAATACAAGGGGCTTCCTAGCAGATAGGGTGGTTGATGATAGATTCGGTCCGGCGTATGATTATATGATTCAAGTTCTTCCGGTTGAGGCGCCACTGGCAATGAAAATGTTGTTTTGAATTCGTGTTAGAAGATTTATTGCGGCGTCTCGGTGTCTCGATATTGCTGACATGTAGCATGAGTTCGGAGAGGAAAGGGAAAAAAGGATTTTGGTACCTGGCGAACACTGGCTTTCCGGGTATTTCAGAATCGCAGACTCCCGGTTATATGCAACGCGCCATCGCCGCCTACTTGGTCGGAACTTGGGGATCTGGTGGCGGACCCATGCTACAGTCCTTCCACAAAATAATCATGACACAGTGCTTGGCTCTTCGCAGAGCTGGGGCTATTGAGAAGCAGTTTCACACACTCTTGTCTTGTTGTCTTTTTTGGAAGGTCACAACAGGCAGCTAGGGACAGAAGTAAGAACATAAAATATGCTCTATAGAAGAAAGACATATACACTGTGGGATGTATTTTTATTCTTACACGCCAGAGATTTAGGCTTCGCAGTAAAAGTCATTGAAAATGCCAGTGCCTCGTTACAGGCACAAGCTTCTCTGGAAGATATTGCTCGGAACGCACAACGAACATGAATTATCAGCGACATGCTATCAGCGCAACGACAATGAGAATGTTGCAGCCGAGATACAGGCAAATGAAAGCCACTATACAGTACCGTTCCTTCAATATCAACAAACCGTAAGACTAGCGTCACCGCTATGTAGTTGTGCTAGAGCTGACAAGATAGCCCATCTGAGATGATGAATATGATCCTCAATTAGGCAATCTCTTGGTGCAAGACAGTTGCAGATTCCAGTGCCTTGTTATCAGCCTTCCACGCCTCCACTTCGCTAGCGTCCATCTTGTTATGTTCCAGTGCTGAAGCTCTCTGGGTCTCCTTGTGAGTCTTCCACGCTGGAGTGCCCAAATACCTGATACCATGAGGATCGTCGAATATCCCCTCCACCTCTTCCAATGTCTTCCCGGAAGTCTCTGGGAAGAAGAAAAAGACGTGTACAAACGAGGCCACCAGGAAGGTTCCGAAGATCAGGTACGTCTTCCACTGAATATTGACGAAGGCAACCGGGACAAACAATCCCAACGCAGTGTTGAAAGCCCAATTCGCAGAGGTACTCAAGGCCACAGCCTTGCCCCGGACTCGCAATGGAAATAACTCTGGCGGGTAGATCCATGAAACCGGGGACCAGGTAGTTGCAAAGGTGCCGACGAATAGGTAGGTAAATGCAATCAACGCTTTCGCCGGTGCACCGCTGATTAGCATCGACTGCTCTGCGACGCCATTGACGCCCCCAGGAACATGGGTACCATAAGTGCCCAGGACACCCCCACTGGCGAACATCCAAATGGCACATCCGAGACTTCCAGCCATAAGTGTCGGCCGTCGGCCCCATCTGTCAACCCATATCAAGGCAGGGATGGTCATAACGACATTGATGACATACTGAATCGATGACGCCAGGAGATTCGAGTTACCCTTGTAACCAGCCATTCCAAACACAAAGGTGACATAGTACACTGTCGGACTGTTAACATCCGCTTCTTTGGCACAAGAACCGCCAGTAGACTTACTCATCAGGTTCATCCCGCTGAGCTGGCACCAGATTTGATCGAATGCGCCGATGATCGTGCGGTTCAGCATCTTTGGCTGAAACAGCTCCCAGTACGTGACATCGCCAAACTGTCGCTCCAGTTCGCACGTGGCGCTTATCTCTGCAAGCTCTAAAACCACCAACTGATGGTGTGGATTGCCCTTTCCGTGCACCAATGTCAAAACCGACTTACATTCTTCCCAGCGATCTTTCTTGGCAAGCCAACGAGGCGATTCGGGTAGAAAGGTCATGCCTATCATAAGATAGATCGCTGGAACCATCTGGATAGCCCAAGGCACGCGGAATGAAAGCGGGTTGAAGGTGCTAGAAGTCTGACCGCCAATATGCGCACCGCCGTACGAAATACTGCCTGTCATCAGTATGGACAGATTATGACGATACTGGCAAAAAGCTCAACTCACTAATACATAATCATGATCCCGCAGGAAATCGCCATCTGCTGTAAGCCAACCAGGCGGCCTCTCTTCGAGGGCGGTGCTAGCTCCGAGACATAAACTGGAACCTGCGCAGACTCGATCCCGACGGATATACCGTTGAGGATTCGACCTCCGATGAGCATGCCGATATTCTGTGACGCAGCGCAGACCGTGGACCCGGCAATCCTGAAACCGATCAGTTTTTCAATCTTCGCGCCTCGACTTCGGTGCTTTACCAGAATAGACATCCAAGAATAATGGACATCTTTCTCCCGAGCCAGTCAGACATATAGCTCGAGATCAATGCCCCTACCCAAGAGCCGGCTGCCATCGAGGCGGTGATTCCGCCCTGAACAAGTGATCTCGGTCCCGAGCAATTCTCATTGTCGTTGAAAGGAGGTCCCTCGGGACCTTGGTTGAAGTAGCATTTGTAGCCCCCGGTGCCGAGGATCCCAGACATAGAGGCTATATCGAATCCGAAGAGGCCGCCTCCAACTACGGCAATGGAGGCAATAACATAGATATTGCCAATAACGAAGCGTTTCATGGCGACGTCTGAATAAGTTCAATGTCCGAGAGTATCGTCGACGATTCTAGGATCTGAACAAAGGGCAAGCGGAATGCGGCCTGACCAAGTCCGTTAGCTCAAGAGATGACTTACATTCAGCGAACCCCGTGGGGCCCCGGCAAATGATATATCTGATATTCTCCGGATACCTCATCAAACCGAGAACGGCAACATGGATGATGCGGGTCCCTGCAAGCCACCAGTGTGTTCTACCCGGTACGAAATACCCGACATCATATTGTTGCGGCGACGACGACAGAACCCAAATATCCTGAAATGTTGGCGGGGAGGTATCCCTCAACGGAAGATTGCGCAGGTGCGAGGCCAAAGTTTTCAAGGATCAAAGCATCCAGGCTCCCTAGTGCTAGTGTCTAAACAGAAGAACATTGCCAACTCCCTTGGGAAGTCCCTTGTAGAAAGTCTTTGCTGTCCTTTAACGCCACTCTCACCAATTAACGCAGAGTTATTCGGTCATCACAAGCGCCATGACAAGATTCCGTCTTTTGACTGTAGGCTCAGCAGACATTGGTGCAGATCCCGATGGCGTAGTATGCTCCTTCACGGGTCGCCTTTGTGTCGGGGACTGCCGGTGGTATTGGAGAGCAATCGCAAAACGGCTCGCAAAAGGTGGCTTCGGTGTCGCAGTCTCGGATATACAACAAGGCCATTTGGCCCTACAGGAAACAGCGGCGATCGTTCAGTCAGTCCATGGCATACAACCTGGCACAAAGCAGCAGATTGACCACGTCAGATCAAAATTGCTGTGTAACGACCGGAGATATCTCTGTCGGTCGAGATGTCGAGAAGGCAATTGAGCGGACCGTTCAAGAACTAGGTCGTCTGGATGTGTGTTTGCCTCTTCTCTGGTAGCTTTTCATTCGGCCAGTCCGAGCAGCAACCCTAGCTTCCTTGCTATCAGGCCGCTCTGTAATTTCCCCGAACGATGCCTTATAGGTGTTGGTGTGGCAAATGCTGCAATGTTGTCGGGTAACGGCCCTCATCGAGCTAAGCACAGAAGAGTTTCAGCCTGAAATATCCATAAGCTTGACAGTACATGGAATTTTACCCCCATCTCCTGAACTTTTCGGAGTCCGACGAGAACGGAGTATCAGGTATCTTCCATCAATACCAAGTGGCAGCAAGGCAAATCATCGAACAAGGCACAAATGAGCGCTGCGATGTCGTTACTGTTCAGGGTGGTTTATCGAAACTTCCCGTCCTCTTATACAAGCGTAGCCTTCCCAAGAAGGAACAAGGGTCGCGTGCCCTTCCTGACATGGCTGGTCACTGTCAGCACTGACAAAAGTGTACCATACAGAGCTGCGGATAGACCTCTTCCTGGTGTTAGATTATCGTTAGCTACCGGGGAATTTGGGTCAAAGCCTAAGTTGCTAAGCTCTTCCGGAGTAATCTGGGGTATCCCCAGAGTCACAGAGGATGAAGTCTGGCCGAGCACTCCGTGCTCGGCCAGACCCATATATATAAACCGTATTGTCCTTCAATTTCGTGAGATTGACACTATTTACTTACCTTTGGTACCAGATCCAAGCGGCAGCCCACCAATTTTCCCACCTTCACGCTTTCCAGAAATGATTGGAAATATCTACCTCATTACGACAATCGCCGTCATCGGCGGCGGCCTATTCGGCGCTGACATTGCGAGCATGAGTGCAATGTCAGTGAACAACGCTGGCAACAGCCGTCGGATATGCTCACTAACGTCTTGATTCATAGCTTAGGGACAAATCAATATAGATGCTACTTCAACCAGGGCCCCAGTGGCCCACCTTTCGACAAGAATCCCCAGTGCTCCGGTCCCACAGCTGTTGTTCAAGGAGGAATTAACGCTTCAATGCCAGGTGGTTCCTTCATCGCATGTATTGTTTCGGGTTTCTTATCGGATCGCTGGGGCCGGAAACCTACCATCCAGGTTGGCTCGCTGATATGGGTGCTGGGATGCATCGTAACTTGTGCGGTCCAGGTATGCAGCCAAAATGCCTTTCGCATAGAAGAGTGCTAAACAATGGTTCGTCTTCTAGAACATTGCCATGTTGGTTGTCGGTCGGTTCATCTGTGGGTTCGCGGTCGGCATCTGTTCCTCTCAGGTCCCCGTCTATGTGTCCGAGCTGGCGCCACCAAGCAGAAGAGGCCGTGTCGTCATATGCCAGCAGTTGGCAATTACTTGCGGCATCACCACCATGTACTTCGTCTCTTATGGCAGTTCATTTCTCAAAGGTGCGGCTTCCTTCCGCCTTCCCTGGGGCATCCAGGCTCTCCCTGCAGTCCTGCTGGGTCTGGGTCTCGTGTTCGCCCCCGAGTCGCCGAGATACCTGGCACATAAAGACCGGTGGGAAGAAGCGCATCAGGTTCTCGCGCTTGTTCATGGAAATGGCGATCGCGACTCGCCGTTTGTGCAGAGAGAACTTCTTGAAATCAGGGACTTTTGTGAAGCGGAACGAAACCAGCCTCCCAGCTCCTACTGGGATCTCTTCAAACCAAAAATGCTCTATCGCACCCATATTGGAGTTTTCATGCAGATTTGGTCACAGCTGACGGGCGTGAATGTGATGATGTACTGTAAGTGCAACGACTTCTCATGCCCCAGCTATGGCTCACATGTGTTCCTAAAGACATCACATACGTCTTCGGTATGGCAGGTCTGTCCGGGAACGTCAACCTTTATTCATGTTCAATCCAATACGTGATCAACATGTGCATGACGCTGCCAGCTCTCATCTGGATCGATACTTGGGGCCGCCGCTGGCCGCTCATCTTAGGGTCGGCTTTTATGACATTCTGGATGTTTCTGAATGCAGGGTTGATGGCCAGATTTGGGAAACCAGCACCGCCCGGCGGCGTTGACCACATCCCCCAGGAGTCCTGGCAAATCCATGGCGTTGCTTCGAAGGCTTTGATTGCAAGCACGTTCCTGTTTGTCGCCAGCTTCGCAGTCTCGGTACCTTGTCTGACCCCATTCATTGGAGCTGATGTGCTGACACTCGGAATCAGGTCGGACCGATCTCGTGGATCTACCCTCCAGAAGTCTTCCCCCTTCGACTTCGTGGGAAAGGGGTATCGGTCTGCGTCGCTTCCAACTGGATCTTCAACTTTGCGCTAAGTTGGTTTGTCCCTCCAGCATTCGTCAACATCAAGTGGAAGGTCTATCTCATCTTCGGTGTCTTCCTGGTTGCCATGGGAATCCATTTCTTTTTCGTCTACCCTGAAACAGCCGGCAAGACTTTAGAGGAGGTCGAAAACATATTCGCAACGAACACGAAAGCATGGAGGACGCGAGTCGAGACGAGAAGGGCACGCCAGATTGAGACAATCGGTATCGGAGCTGGTGAGCCCATCGACGTGAAAGACGCTTTGAGTTATACCGCAGCAACCGTCGGTGCCGAGCACATCGAATTGTCGAATACGGCGGTGTCGAAGCCATGAGGCCGTACCAGATGACTCTTCTGCGGTTCTTCAGTCTCGTAAGGGATCAGATCGTCTCTAAGAGACTGGGATCCGACGTTGGTGGACTAAATTGAGGATCCGTGTACCGGCATGGAGAAGATTTTCTGCGAAAGAGTTGAGACGAAGGGCGACGATAGGAGGACTAGGATGACGACGGAGGAGATGTGATTAAAGTGGTGATACTGATATCCACTCTCATTTCTGTATGAAGGCTTTCCAAATGGCAGGAACAAAAGACAGTCGTTCGTTAGCACTCTTCGCCTATTTGTTGGGGGCACTGACCCTTGTGGGAGGGACAAAAATCAAGCATGAAGGCTCTTCAAGTTTAGTGCTCACTTGCGTACAAGAGACTCGGCATTCTCAAAGGATGATCTTGAAATAGAAGCCCATGAATGGAACCTCGAACTCGCCAGAATTTTGTGAGGACGAGTTGATTGCGTGCTCAATTCTTCCGCCCCCTACACGTCTACAGCCTTGTGCTTGTGGATACTTGCCTATTTCATGAGGCCTTGCCAAGCCTTGCCAAGACCAGAAGATACCGCCCAGCGCTAACCACAAACCTTTGATGCCCTCCACGGCCTCTTCGATTGTCTCGGTAACTATTCAATCACATGCCACTTATCGCGTCCTTTGGAACAAGCATTAACATGATGGAGTTTGGGGGTTCGCTCAATTCTGAAATCTTCCTCTAATTGACGCAAGGAGCTGACAGTGCTCGTCTGGCGCGTCATCGTCTGGGCCTGGCATGGCATCCCGGCAATTTCGTGCGTAACATACCTTAAATGGCGGTTTACCCGTGCGAGGATCAGGGTCGCTGCAAAAATGCGGCATGATGGGTCTCAGCCCCAGACGTCCCGCATATGGCTTTGTAGCCACACTTCTGTTTACTGTTGATGGGTCCGGGTAGCCATTTTAACGGTAACGAGAAATGCAAACATATCTATTCACGTGGTGTTTAAAGCTGATCTAGAAGATGAGATTCTTTCCTCGCCAAAAGCTCTTCCGCACCTCAATAAATGACGATCGCGGTCATCTTTGAAAGCACCTCTGGCGAAAATACACTTCAGTCCATCTTCCCGGGAAGTCGCTCTCACAAGACAAAACGCAATTGCTAAACAAAGCCGACCATGGTGTCAAAAACTCTTGCTGGCGTTCAACGAAGGGACCTCTTGCGGGATAAAGCATTTATTGACGATGTCTGGGTCAGCGCCTTGTCGGGCAAGACTTTCGACGTGGTCGATCCAGCTACCCTGGAGAAACTCGCTACGTTGCCCGAAATGGGAGCTGCGGACGTGAACAAGGCTGTCGAGGCCGCGGACAGGGCATTTGCGGCATACAAACAGACCACGGCACGCCAACGAGCCCGGTGGCTCCGTCGATGGAACGATCTCGTCCTCGAAAACGCCCAGGACCTGGCCCTCCTGACCACCGCGGAGAACGGGAAGACCTTGGCCGAGGCGAGAGCCGAAGTCATCTACGGCGCCTCATTCCTCGAATGGTACGCCGGCGAAGCCGAACGGACGCACGGCGAGACCGTTCCTTCGGCGAATCTTGCACAAAGGATTGTCACGATCAAACAGCCCATCGGCGTGGCGACGTGTCTCGTGCCATGGAATCTGCCCATCGCGATGATCACCCGGAAGGTCGGAGCCGCTTTGGCTGCTGGCTGCACCACGGTTTGGAAGCCAGCCGGAGAGACACCACTGTCGTCTCTTGCACTGGCTGTCCTGGCCAGAGAGGCTGGCTTTCCACCAGGGAGCATCAACGTGATTACGACCTTACATCGAGTTGCGGAGGTCGGTGAAGCGTTATGTACCAACAAGCTGGTGCGGAAATTGAGCTTTACCGGAAGCACCCGAATCGGGAAGCTTCTGGCCCGGCAGTGCAGCGAAAACCTTACAAAACTCTCCCTTGAGCTAGGCGGCAACAGCCCTTTTCTTGTGTTCGACGACGCCGATGTCGACAAGGCGGTCAAGGCTTGTCTCTTGGCCAAGTTTCGTAACGCAGGCCAGACCTGCGTGACAGCTAACAGGATCTTGGTCCAAGCTGGAATTTACGAGGCGTTTGTTTCTGCTTTGATCGAAAAGGTGAAGGCCCTCAAAGTGGGCCACGGCATCGAGGAAGGTGTTGATATCGGTGCTTTGACGCACGAGCGTGCTGTTGAAAAGGCGATGAGGCACATCAAGAGTAAGTCTTCCGTTGAGAAGGCGACTAGCCACCGATACATCCGTGCTCACACGAACACATAGGCGCAGTAGATCTCGGTGGTCAAATTGCTCTTGGTGGAGGACCGCTTGATAGCAAGGGCGGCTATTTTATCCAACCGACCGTCATCAAAAACATGTCTCGCAGTACTATAACCTGGAAGGAGGAGACTTTTGCACCGGTTTTGGGAGTTTACAAATTCGAGACTGAAGAGGAGGGAATAGCCCTGGCCAACGACTGTGACGTCGGCCTGGGAAGCTTCATTTGCACTTCGAGCATTGCGCGCAGTTGGCGTGTTGCGGAAGCGCTGCAAGTCGGCATGGTTGGGGTCAACTTGGGCCTGCTCAGTGCAGCAGAGAATCCCTTTGGCGGTGTCAAGGAAAGCGGTTATGGTAAGGAAGGTGGCCGTCAAGGGATCGACGAGTACTTGCAGCAGAAGTCAATATTCATCGACGTCACCGAGTGAAGTTGCTCACCTGGCCAGAGCCAGACACAGTCCCAGGGAATCCCTCGGAACGACGCCGTCACAGATTGCTGGCTGGAGGTGATTCTGAGACCTTTTCCCCGGCAATATTCCGTCCTGGGTCGTATACTAGATCGTTATCGGACTTGGTAAGGACTGTACACAGACAACAAAAGACTCTTAAGAGTCAGAATAGATAGATTGAGAATTCAATCCAGCTGCCGCTTTGTCCCGTGGACGAAACTGTTCCGTGTCGGCTCAAGCGTCACAGATTCCATGCTCTACGACATCTGACTTCTTCCCCTCGCTACCCAACCACCCTCAAATAACATCCCACAAATTCGTGAAGCTCGCTCAAGACTCGATAAACTTCAACAGCTCATCAACGAAGCCCTTGGGGTTCTCCTCGGCAAGGTAATGTCCCGCCTCGGGCACCGTGCCTATTTGGACATCCTCGTAGAATTCCCTGGCCATCTCCACGGCCTCGTCCGCGTGGAAACTCCTTTCACCGGACAACATCATGTTCCTTATTTTGACCTTGCCGGACTCTCGTCGCCACTTCAAGTTGTCGGCCGCGTCGGCCTCGAACGCGCGGTACACCAGGAACGCGCACCGCAGCGAGTCCGGCGCGGCGTACTGCTGGGCGTAGAAGTCGACGACCTCCGGGGGGAAGACGGTCTGGTTCTGCATCTGCCGGTCGAAGAAGTACTTGACATAGAGCCTCTCCTTGCCCGACACCAGCGCGACGGCAAGTTCCGTGTTGTGGCTGTGAAAGTCGAAATGCCACATCTTCCGCGTGTGCTTGTACATGTCGTAGAACTTGGACCCCGGCAGGAGGTTCTCGCCCCACGTCACGCTGGCCACGCTCTCGGGGAACTGGCACGCGTAAGGGTGCGTGACGATGCCGCCGATGTCGTAGCCCACGAGGTGGATCTTCTCTTTCACGCCGATATGCTCGGTCACGAGCTGATGGAGGTCCTTGGCGAGAGACCTCGCCGTGAACGGATCTTGTTGGTTGATGTTCCCAATGGGCTTGCTGCTGAAGCCGTGTCCGAGAAGATCAGGGGCGATGACATGGTACCCGGCTTCGGCCAAAGGGGCCATTACGTGGCGGAATTGGAACGACGTCTGCGGGAACCCGTGGACCAGAAGGATGGTGCCCTTGGTCTTCTTCTGCCTGTCGGACGGGAAAGACTCGACGTAGTAGATCCTGATTTCGGGATCGACATGGCGGAGGTAGGCAGCCCGGCCGAAGACCTTGACACTTTCGGCGTGTGACAGAATCTGGGCTGTGGTGGTCATGGTGGTGTTGAGGACAGCTTCGATCGAGGTTTCTGCAAAGAGAATGCAAACAAACGAGTTAACGCGGGGTCTTCGAGAGCTTCGAAGCAGTCTTTATCTGTTTTACGCGGCAGAAGGCCGACGGTCTGCAGGATGATGGTTGAACCCATGGGGACAGACAGTGATGGACCATATTGTCGGCCCTATGCGGGGAGGTGGCAGTCTACAGTAAGATCCGCGCTCAGCACATTAACAATAACAACCAAGAACTGCGCAATATCAGTTCGGGATATCTTCGGAAGATCGACGATAGAATGTCGAATCAGGGGAGATGCTATATCTACCGACTTCTTCTGAGACGAGGTCAAGCACTTTGTTAAGGGAGTAAACTACCACCAGGTGATCCACGAGGCTGTTACCTCCTGACTCGGCTGGGATCAATGTCAAGGAGCAAGAATACTGTCTCTCTTAGGGTTAGAATTAAGGATTAACGACACATAAATCATCCAAATGCGTCAAGGAATGTTCAATGACGAGCTATATTCCGAGTCGAAGCGAGCTACTACCTTCGGATTGCCCCCACATGGGCCGTCGTCACGTCTCCTCTCTGTGCTCATTCTTCACGGATCACATTGCTTAGATCGCTCTCCTAGAACGGTCCACTTCTATCACCACAAGCTCTACCCAACGTCGCACTCCCGCTCCGAATATAGCAAACCTTTTGTTTCGCACATGCCATGGTAGAGCAGCTCTCCGTCACCACGCTACTCTTAGTTTCGAGTAGGTTATACAATTCCACCAAAGTCTGATTGGTCAACATGCTTTTCGTGACGCCGTCCCAGAATGTCGCGTTCAATGGGGCACCAGACGGCCAACGCCCAGAGGAACTATTGTGAGCAGCTGCAACCGAATAAGTAGCCCTGGCATCATATTCAAAGCGCCACTCCGGTGTGGTCCAGCTGTTGGCTTCGCTGACGTTGGCGAAATAAGTCTGGATGCCCGTAATGGAAAACGTAGACGCGTCGACCTGGTAGAGTTGATACCCGGCGTTGTTTCCGGTCAGAGGCGTGATGGAAGGGCCGATATACCCGACCGTCAACGGTTTAGAGTAATCGACCATGGTGGTGTTACGATACGTCTTGCCATTCATGGTATACGTGCTGTTCGGGAGGAAATCATAAAATATTTGGATTTGGTCCTCGTGGGTGTGGCCGAAGAAGACGCCAGCAATCGTTGCAGGGGAAAAGCGCACAACAATGCTGTAGAAAAGTGCGGACGGGTTGAGGACGGCGTTGCTCCCATCGTATCCTGAAGGGACATGCCCAATGATCCACGCCCGCTGGCCTCGGGCTTCGCACGAAGCAAGCTCAGATGCCAGCCACGTCAAGACGCCCGACGTGTCAGGGTTGGTAACATTCCAATAGTTGAAGATATTATCGACGTACCAGAAGTCTGTGTTAATCGAGATGATACGGAGGCCTTGTGCGGTGGTGTGTGCGTATGCACCGTAGTGCGTGGAGGCATATTGTTGCTCGGTGCTGTTGATCCAGCCTGAGTTGCCCCACAGGGAGGAGAGGAGCGCATAGTTCCACCCGAATGCATTACCTGAGGGTGCTGTTGAGCTTCCGGGACTGAGGCTATTTTGCGCTGTCATGGACGTTACTCATTCTGTCGGAAGACACGAGGTAGGATTTAACTGACTATTCCACGCTTCTGGGATAGAATCGTGATTTCCTAGAGTAGCATAGACTGGAATGTTGCCCAGTTGAGCCTTAAAGGTCTGGTAGGTGACGGTTTCTTCATATTCGGCATATTCGCGGGATATCTGCCCGATGTCAGCTTCTCACCCTTGAGCGCTGTTACTGGTCCTTACCTGGTCATCATTGTCGTGGGACAGAATGTCACCAGTAAAGATGGTGAATGAGACATTGCTCAAATCGAAAAACTGATGCATGCTCGTAAACGAACTTAATGCTAGGTCAGGAGGCGAATCGCAGTACAGATACCCTTAATGCAGTCAGCCATAAATTAGTGGCATTGAAATCTGGATATGTACCGAAACGGGAGGCTGGAACACTGGCATTTGCGGAAGTTGTCGACAGATCATCGTTGGTGGCGTACGGACGGCAGCAGAGGTACTGAGAACAATTTGCCTCACTGCCAATATCGTAGCGTGGATCCAAATGCCAGTCCGAAGTATGGAGGACATTGATGGATTTCCCTGCACGCGGTTAAGGTGGAGAATTTACCAATGGTGCACTCTTACCTGATGGGGCTGGCGCTTTGCTTGCATTGACTGGCTTAGAGCTGAAGTACAAGCTCTCTTCAATGCCGATCGTCGGAGGCTCTGGACACACGCCCCAATTGAAGTAGCAGTAGTAGGGCATATCGCCAGTTGCAATGCTCATCTTGGAAAAGAGTTGAGCGTAATAGGCTCCTGTAGCACCACCTCCAGATGAGTAAGGAATGGACGTGTTTTGAACGCTGCCATATTCTGCTGCACACGTGTCGGCATAAATGTAGTCCTGCACCGTTGGGACTGCCTCGCATCTACTGAGACTTAGCAAAGTCCACGCCATTGAGCTGCCGTCACATACATTCTGATCAGAATGTTGACAAAATGGTCGACGGGCAACGTGATTGCTGCGAGGTGCATCAACTCCGCACCCGCAACGCACTGAGAACAGTTGTTGGAAAAGGCTGTGGTGTTAGCAATGGCAAACAGCTCGGTGAAAAACATGTCCTCCAAAGCGGAGCTGCCATTGATCGGCGTGATTGGGGGTGGGATCGGCGAGACAAGGTCGTAGGAGGGAACTGGCCCAGACCCGTTGTAATACAGCACGGGCCCATTTCCATTGGGGATGAGATTTGTGTCAGTCGTGTTCAGGGCTTGAGCGGTGGAGTTGACTGCTGCATGCACGAGAGAAGCGGAGCTCAGCAAGAGCACGCCGCAGACACAGCTTAACATCATGATTGCTATCGAGCACAGAGAATGCGGCCTTGAACACTGACCGGGACAGAGGTGCTCAGAAACCTACTTGAAGCTTGAAGCTCACCTTTAAGCTGCTCACTGATGTTGTGGCAAGCTTTTGTGAAGACGTAATGATAGCCTCGCACGGCCACGCAGCTATCTGCATTGAGATACCGAGCATGGTCGAGAGCACCAATGATGAAGCCCGTGTCTGGCACGCGAGGGATCAACAGAGCGGTTGACGATGATCAAGGTAGCGGAATGCTTAGCGAGCTTGCTGAAGCTTGACTTGATCTTCTTTAGCCTGGGCTCGAAAAGTCAGAGCGAGAGGTCGGTCCGATACGGTTGTCGGCAAAACGCACGAGGATGAAAGGAGAAGCAGTGCGACGTTGGAAAATGGTACAAGTCCCGGCGTGTCTCCGGTCTATCGCAACCAGAGGTATTGCACGTGACTTCTCAGCAGCTTCCAGTCATGTGATCTCGGCAGAATTTCCGTGAAAAGGTTCCAACTTGGGCGCGCCCAAGAAACTCGAACTCCAGTATTCAATGCGTCCAGACACCAATCTTTGCGCATTCGTTAGCAGCCACTGATCGGACGTCCCTTACTGTCCAGAGGCTGTGGTGATGAGACTTGAGCGCAATGGACACCCTTCCAAGCTCAATATGCCGAGCTTGCCGCCTACGACTGCTCAATCTCTCCCCTTCTCGAGCCTTCAGCACAACCTTGCCTCGCTCGTACATCCCTCCGGAGTCTCCTGCCTTCGTCGATGTCCCACAGGCACTTCAACCAGTCCGAGATTTTCAGCCTCGCCCAAAGGGCATTCTTCCCGTACCCCGTGAGCTGTTTCCCGCCCGACGGCCAGACAAACCCGGCCAGCAATACCTCGACAATGTCACACCTGACCCTCTCCCAAACAACATCCCTCCTCCCGAACATCTGACCGAGCCGGGAAAGTACAAACGGCGCATGGCCGATTTGAGAAAGACTCATCTTCGCTCGGCGCTAAAAGAACTGCACGCTCGGAAGACGTCTATTGACGCTGCCATCGCTGCTCGCAGCGCTGCCAAACAGCGCGAGCATGCCCGACTCGTTACGCAATCCGAACGTGAAGACGTCCGCCTCACCAACGTTTCCGTTCCGAGCGCAATGCTTCCGCAGAAGATTCACGAATTGTCCATCGAAGAAGAGCTCGCCACCTACAACGCCCGCAAGGCCGCACATGAAGCTCGTCTGGCAGCAAAACACGAAGATCGTCTCGACAAACTTCATACGCTGTATATGAACTCGCGAACATTCATCACCAATAAAGAACAACTCAGTGCGGCGATCGAGAAGGCGTTCACCACGACAGGAAGTATCTGGAGAAAAGATGGCAGGCCAGATACTATAGAAGAGATGATCAAGCGTGGAAGGGACCGGACAGCCGACCAGGGACGTGGTGGCATGATGTTGTTCAGTGATGTGAATGAACGGGCATTGAGGGACCAGGAGAGGATGAAGAAGATTGCGGAGAAATTGAGCGGTGGGAAGCTATGAGTGGAGTTGATATTCATGTCACACTTCAGAGGAGTGTTGCGACGAAGTCGATCGAGCGGGAGAGACTGAGCGTGAGCGCCCCGGAAAATTGGCATTGAGGTGGGAGGTCGATAGAGATCATCCCCGGGAAGGGCGTGTATAACTATGTAAAATTCGAGATAGGACAAGAAAGTTGGTCCTAAGTTCAACGGTATACATGCATTCATCGCGAGGTCGATCTCGTCGAGCATTATTAGATCCTTTGCTCACTCAAACCCCTCGCGACTAATGCTTCCCCCCTCAAACAGACTCTTCTGAAGAAGCTAAACATTCATGTTCTCCGACATCTTTCCAACGACAGTGCGAGGTATCCGACTTCTCGAATCCATAGTCTTCTTGGAGCTAGCATTGTCTATCTTCTTTCCATGTCTCTCCCCAAGCGGTGACAAGCTTTCGCACTGGGCTCTCGTGTGTCAATGTGAGCCTTTGTCTTGTTTGCTGCTGTCGTCGTGTTTGACGCGTAGGTATAGTTGATAGCTCGTCCCTGAGCAAATCCATCAACCACCTGAGACGTTGACTGTGTTTATTGGCGTAATCGCAGCCTGTTCTACATTGACTCTTGAATGTCTCGGTCGTGTAGACACTCTGGAGCCGACAGGTGAACCATGGGCAATACTCGCCCCCCGCTGGTTGTAAACGGAAATCGTTTCGGAGGGTTAGCAGACCGGCTAGTGTTGCTGCACAAGCGCTCAGGTCAACGCACGCACGCCGAGGCCGACGCTGCGAGTCTCAAACAACTCGATTAGGCCGGCACCGAGACATTCCTCGAGGACCCAGTCAAAGTTCAGGCCGTAGAGGTCCTTCCACTTCTTGGTCTTGGCCGGCATCACTTCGGAGAACTCTCCCCTAATTTGTTTGGCGGTCGAGACTCTGCTTTCGGAGTCAACAGCGCCATCCCACCGTTCACGCAGGAGATACAGCGGGGCTTCCTTGTATTTTGACCTGCCCAAGAGCTGGAGAAGATGCGTCCGCCCAGACTGCAAAAGTCTCAGATAAGGGCCGATGTTTGGTACGGACAAAGCCAACTCTCCTTCTTGGGAGCCTTGCGCGTGATGAAAAGAAGATTTTGATCGCCTCGCAGCACCGACACCGCCGAGATTCTCAAAGGCGGCATCTCCGCCCACGGCACCGGAAGAACCTGAGGCAGCACGAGAAACTTTGGGCATGGAGACTAGGGATGAGCCAGCCAACGAAAGATTTCGCGAGCCTGCCAACGACGAGGACACAAGAAAGCCAGTCCGAGTCAGTGCCGCCACATGTGGCGCAGGTAGCTCTTGAGACGGGATGGATGCAGCTCGCGGATAACGACGAAGCACATCGCAAAAGTCTGCACGGGCGTCTGGCGCAACATCGCTTCGCTCCAACAGGGCTTGGAGATCTTGCATTGTGATCAAAACTTCGCTCAAGCCACTGATGTCGTTTCCTCGGCCGGTGACCTTGATCTTTCGAAGCTTACCCGCATTCTGCAAGGCTGCAATCTCTCTTTCAGTTTTGGACGACGCAGCAACGAGAGCATGCACATGAGCCAAGGACACGATGGCCGGCATGTTTCGCTGGAAATTGAGCACCGCAGCGATGCGGACACTGTTCATTCCAGCCCGTTCTGGAAGTGCCGCAAACATGGATGCGCGAGCATATTGCACGGCAGTCAAGACATCTTTGGCGGACTCGATGGAGACGGTGGAGAGGACTTTGCCGCTGGGAATCAACCTATCCTCTTCTCCATCTTCTCCCTCGTCCAACTCATCGTCGATAGCAGCAGGGAGTGACTTTGCTTTGCGAATGGACGGCTTGGTGCGTGGAAGATTCGCGAACGACGCGGAGGAAGAGTGAGAAAGGGCGGGTCTCTTGGCCGGTTTCTTCACGCGCGATGAGTGGGCCGCCGTGACATACAACGGCATGACGACAGAAGGAGGAGAGGTGGGATAGATAGGATCAGGAGGTGGGAGGGGTGGTAGCGAGAAGTCCCGTAACGCCAAGTGCATTCTCAACCAGGAAAACAGGCCATGCACGTCGCTCTGTTTTCTTCGCAGCCAGAGAAGAGCAGAATCGGGGGAGCACAAGGCAGCAGCGTTTGGGGGTAACGGAATGCGGTTGTGGTGTGAGGATTCTCAAACAGAGTTTCTGACGAGAGAGGGGTGGTTGGAAGAAAGTTTGGCGGCCCTGGCTGTCTGGGTTGGGCGCTGCGGATGCGAGGCCGGGCCAGTCGAAAGACACTCAGATCGCGGCACTTGGCTGCAATGGGTAATGCGACGCCCAGTTCCGGGCGGTGGCACCTGTGTGCGCCAGTGGTTTGGGCACCGTAGGCCTTGGAATGGGCCACGGATGCCTCCGAGGTACAGGCGCCATGGGCTGTTGGTTGGGCCTCGCGGGCGTGCTGGGCTCCACCACGTGCGTCATGCTGCCCCCCCCAATGCTCGTTCCCGGCCCAAACAAGCTCGGCGTCGAGGTCCAGCCCTCACCATCAATCAGTCCCGGACTCCATTGTTCTTGTATTTGCTCGTTTGTCCTTCGCTGGCTGTGTGTCGTAAGATATCTCTTTCTTCCACCTCGTCCGGCCCATCGTGATGAGGATGCTGGAGCCCATGGGATCCAGTGCTCTGCACACCTGCTCCCGATGAATGGGTCCTGTACCACTGCGTCGTCCGTGATCAGTCAATCCACTGCGAGACTCTCGACCTTGCCCTACCTCACTTCTTTTGTTCCACCCACCCCATCACCACCATCACCACCACTTCTTCACTTCATATTCGTACACCTTCCCTCCCGCTGCTCACTCACTCACTCACTCACTCCCAGTGATTCGTGGAACCTAGAAGAGGCTGGAACTTTCACTGGTCTCGTCCATCACCGCTCGTCGCTGGGTGAACCTCAACCGCGATCAACCACCTCCGCCAACTTGGTTCCTCGTACCTTCCTTGACGCTGTCTTGCTTTGATCCCTCGCTTGACCAACAAACACCATCAGCCGGCTCGTTCTGCTGGCACTTGGCTGGTCACAATATCCTTGTATCCCGTCAACATTCTTCGCCTGTCACGCCATTACCCCCCGGCGCTGAAATACACGAGTGAAAATGACCATCTTTGTTGCTACCCTCTTTCTACCCTATACGATCAACTTTGATGTTCCCGCCTCTGCCTCTCGCTCCGAGTCTCCTGAACTTCTGAGACCACAGTTGGCACTCACTCAGAACACTCCGAGTGAGACTCAGACTGTGAGCCTCTTCACCCCCGGTGCAAGCAGTAGCCCCCACCTCTCCCAGCTCTCCCAGAGTTCTGGCCCCATTCCTCCGACTCCGGGCGCAACCACCGACCATGAGAAGATCTTCCGACCTCACAATGAGCGAAAATTCAGCCTGACTCTCCCCAGCCTCAAGAAGGAGGTCACAGTTCCCGTGCGCGCCATCTCTCGACATGATCTTCACTCTCCAGGTTGGGGTAAGACCTTCACCTGGAACCAACCTCCTTCTCGCGCCAAGTCCCCTCCTCCAAGTTCAATACTGAAGCATGCAGTGATCGGCGCTAAAGATGTTAAGGAAGTCAAAGAGAAGGCAATTTCACTCGCGCACAACACTGGACACAAACCCGGTCGGCGTCAAAGAACGAGGACTGTTAGTCACGAGCGGCACTTTTCGCACGACAGTTACACGGTCGAAAAGGCCATCATCGGCAACGGAGGGCTATACAATGCCGTTGATGCTGCTGTCGATGCTGGCATTTGCGAGGAAAAGACTTGGGTCGGAACCCTGGGCTGCCCGGTTGACGCCTTGGACGAGCACTTGAAAGAGAGTATTGCAGAGAAACTGGAAAACGACTATGACTGTTTGACTGTCTACACCAGTGATAGCGATCTCAATGGTCATTACGAGCACTACTGCAAGACCATCCTTTGGCCTGTGGTTCACTATCAGATTCCGGACCATCCAAAGAGCAAAGCGTATGAGGATCACTCTTGGGTATTCTATGCCAAGGTCAACGAAGCTTTCGCTGATCGTATCGCAAAGAACTGGAAGAAGGGCGATGTCATCTGGATCCATGACTATCATCTGCTTCTCCTTCCCGGCTTACTACGCCAGAGGCTTCCCGAGGCCCAGATCGGCTTCTTCCTGCATACGGCATTCCCATCATCAGAAATCTTCCGATGCCTCGCCGTTCGTACGGACCTGCTTCAAGGCATGTTGGGTGCCAACATGATTGGGTTCCAGAACGACGAATATGGCCATCACTTCCTTCAGACCTGCAGTCGCCTTCTCAACGTCGAAGCCACTAAACACGGAGTCATTCTTGAAGACGGCAGGTTTGTCCATGTCAATACATACCCCATTGGTATTGACCCCAAAGCAATCGACCTGCAGCGACAAGTCAAAGAAGTCAAAGAGTGGGTGCATACCATCACCGACAAATACCGCGGCAAGCGGATCATCGTGGCAAGAGACAAGTTGGACAGTATCCGCGGGGTCCGTCAAAAAATTCTGGCGTACGAGCTATTCTTGAACAAATATCCCGAATACAGAGACAAAGTCGTGCTCATCCAAATTGCAACCTCCTCGGCCGAGGACCCCGAGTTAAGTGCTACTGTGGCCGACATTGTCACTCGGGTCAATTCGACCCATTCAACCCTCGCTCATCAACCCCTGGTGTTTTTGAAGCAAGACATTGACTTCTCTCAATACATGGCCTTGCTCACAGTCGCAGAATGTTTAATGATTACCAGCTTGCGAGAGGGTATGAACTTGACAAGCCATGAGTGGATACTCTGCCAGGACGGCAAAATCTCCCAGAACAAGTATGGTCCTCTGATTCTTAGTGAGTTCACCGGATCTGCTACGGTTTTTGGGCACGATGCCCTTTTGGTCAACCCATGGCACTACAGCCATTGTGCCGATGCCATCAAACAAGCTCTGGATATGTCCCTCGAAGAGCGCGAGAATCGCTGGAAGGCTCTGTACGATATTGTCGTACATCAGAATGCTGTCGGTTGGTTTGAGCACTATATCACGGGTTTGGAACACGCATGGAAAGAACACACTGTCCGCGACTCTACTGCAGTCCCACGGTTATCCTTACCTTCTGTCAAGTCCAAGTACCAGAAAGCCAAAAAGCGTTTGATTATCCTCGACTACGAAGGAACTCTGGCTTCATGGGGTTCTCCCACTGACATCATCTTGACCACCCCCAAGAGGTCGGTCGACGTGCTGAACGATCTTATTGAGGACAAGAAGAATATTGTGTACGTCATGAGCTCGAGGATGCCAGAAGAGATGGAGCGGCTCTTTAGTCCCGTCAGTGGCATTGGGATGATTGCTGAGAACGGCGCCTTCGTGCTGGACCCGGGCACAGACGAGTGGCAGGAGTTGACCAATCTCGAGCATGTTCGAAACTGGAAGAAAGGGGTGAAGAGTATTCTTCAATACTATGTCGAGAGAATCGAGGGCAGTCGAGTTGAAGAGCGCCATGCCTCATTGATCTTCGATTATTCAGAAGCAGAAGACAGGCAAGGGGCCTTCAAACAGGCCGGCGAATGCGCCAATCACATCAATGACGCTTGTCGTGGGCAGAATGTCAATGCGATCCCTGTCGAAGATGCACTCAACATTTCGGAAATGGACATCAACAAAGGATCGGCTGCTCAGTTCATTGGGGAGAATCTGGAAAAGTTGGCCCAAGAGAAGGGAGTACCGTTCCCCGACTTCCTCATGGTCATTGGTGACTCGCGAGAGGACGAGTATGTCTTCAACTGGGCTCACAGGTTGGAGAAGGCTGAAAAGATCCGAGACGTTGTCACGGTGACATTAGGTGCCAGAAGCACCGAAGCATCGGCCACATTAACTCAAGGCGTTACTGGTAAGTTCCGGCCTTTCAGTCGTCACTTTGCAGCAGCTAACATCTTCTCTAGGTGTATTGTCGATCCTCGAGAAACTCGCAAGAACTCTGCAGAGAGTGTGAAGCTATGGTGTTCTGGTTCGACTGGACGCTGTCCATTATTAATGAGGCTCACTGCGCGGACAGTTGACAAATGTATGCAGGAGTTTGCACGGTATGACGAGTTTATGATGAGATGCATAGAGCGGGTCAACAACCCCTTTTAGATACCCTGTATTAGAAAGGTCAGGCAATAGAAGTCCATTCGCTGCAGAGGTAGAATCAGGTTAGACGGCGGAAAAAAGTATCATCTCTTCTATGTGTAAAAGATCTGAGAGAAGAATTCGGTCGATGTTGCTGTCGTCGCTGCGTGGGGTTTGTAGACTATGCTGCCGAGTAGGGAACGGGAAGCTTTGTCAGCTATTCACTTTGGCCTGCAATATGCTGCTGCATAAGTCGATAGATTAATAAGGACAGCAGGGGAAAACACACCACAACTATCCCCTTCGCAGGCCTATTCTCAAAGTTAGTCTGTCGTCTCTGTGTGTTGTACCGAGTATGTCTCGGTCGTCGACCTGGTCTCCTTTGGTCTGTGTTGGTCAAGAGAGAAATGACGTCGGTCTTGATTCCAATTCTGGCTTAGTGCCATTCAGCCTTGCGAGGCTGCCACAATGCCACAGTGCGGATTTGTCATCCACCAACATACCGATCCCTCCTTTCCCCCACCACTCCCGAGAGCGTTCCAGTCCGAGACAGGTGGCATTGCTGCTTCTCTGGTACAAGCTCAATGCTGGTTACAATGTCCATGGAGGCATGGCGCAAAGATTCATGTCCGGCCCAAACTCACAAAGCCAAGGGCGGGAGGGAAAAACGCGATTAAGGGCGTGCGGTGTTTATTATCATCATCATCCTGTCAAACCCCCGCAAGTGGGACATGGAAAAGAGGCCCCTGGAAACCCTTTTCCGCTTGTCCGTCGTCCGTCGTCCGTCGTCCGTCGTCGTTCGGGGGGATAGGGCGTTGTCTGACGACACCTTAGCTGCCAGTCCATCAGCTGGTTCTGATGTATTCCATTCTGTAGATGTAAGGTTTCGTCACTGGGTGTGTTTGTTTGATCGCTTCGGACTGGTTGTATATAAGAATCGCCAGGTCCTCTGGGCGAGACGGGTCTGGTCAGCGTCAAGCATCATTTTATACTCAGAGTCGAGAGGAGAGTGCGGAGGAATATCAGTGATCGCAAGTCAAACCTGAGCAGCGCCGCCGACACGGACACGTGGAAAATTGAAATTGAAATCGACATGGCTCCTACTCGGCTAGGTTTTATTGGACTGTCCGCTGACGGGTATGTTTTGTCCCGCAACACAGCAAGCAGTCGATCAGGATTAGTACGCTAATGCCAGAGGCTTCAATCGTGCAGACAATGGGCGGCCAAATCGCATCTTCCGCACATCCAGCAGAGGCCGGATCTATTCCGGATCACGGCCCTGCAGAACAGCAGCACAGCATCGGCGGAGAAGGCCGTGCAAAAGTACCAGCTGGGTGGGGACGTCGCGTGCTATGACGACCCGGAGTCGCTGGCCCGCGATCCCAACGTCGACATGGTGGTCGTGTCGGTCAAGGTGCCGGAGCATTACCGACTGGTCAAGCCGGCGCTGGACGCGAAGAAGGACGTCTTCGTCGAGTGGCCACTGGCCGCGAACGTGACCGAGGCGGAGGAGCTCGTCGCGCTGGCGGCATCGCAAGGGGTCCGGAACGTGGTCGGGCTGCAGGCCCGCCAGAACCCCAGTATCCGCAAGGCCAGGGAGATGGTGGCCCGCGGCGAGCTGGGCGAGATCCTCGGCACCACCATGCTCGGGGCCGGCATGGTGCTGGGCGCGACCGAGGCGCCCGTGTACGAGTACATGGCCCGGATCGAGCACGGGGCCAACCTGCTCACCATCCCCGCCGGCCACGCCATGGACGCCCTCTGCTACGTCCTCGGCGAGATGACCGAGTTGCAGGCCCGCTTGGCGACGCGGCGTCCGACCATGGACATTGTCGATCCCGCGGGCACGGTCCTGCGCACCGTCACCAAGACCTCGCACGACTGGATGTCGGTGACGGGGACGCTGGCGCGCGGAGGCGGCGTGGCCACGGTCGTGTACCAGGCCGGCGTCTCCGACACGGGCAAGGATTTCTACTGGGAGATCAACGGCACCAAAGGAACGCTGGTGCTGGAGGGGCCGAACGGCCACATCCAGATGTTCCATCCGACCATCAAGTTCGTCAAGGCCGGTGCAGGAGGTGCACGGCTGGAAGAGATCGCAGTGGAGCCGGCCAGGGACTTTGCGTACAATGTGGGAAAGGTCTGGGATGCGGTCATGGGCGAGGGAGATGGCGGTGTTGTGACGTTCGAGGACGCACTGCTCAGGCACAGGATGATCGACGCGATCTACCGCAGCAACGAGAGGGGGACGCGGGAGTCGTACCTTTGATGCCAAGTCAAGCCTGCGAGTAGACCCGGAGACGACAAGCATGGCGGTGTTGGGGGAGTTGGGAGGGATGCAAGTCTCTGATCCCCTTCAGCCAATCGTTAACTCTCTGTAATGCAATCACATGTCATGGTTCCAGCTTCTGCTACTCAGTCATGGGCCCTGAAGTGAGGCTGGTGAGGCTGACTGATCCCCCCAGGGGGCAGGTGGGTGTAGAGGGTGGGTCAACTCCCTTTCTATATTCCTATCCGGGAAACTCCGTATACACCCGCACACTTCAGGTGTCTCCTCACCGCGCCCATTCCATAGTCAGGGGCATCTTTGGGAGAGTCAGCCCCCACTTTCAGGCGGTGGGATGGTCCTCCAATGATCCCTCGACTGCCACGTGGTGGGTGCTCATCAGCCCTACAGACGGCAGGCTCTGCTCCTTTTCTGGACTCTGCGCCCGCTGCGCCCTGTCAGCGCTTGCGCCAGATTTGGGACTTGTTTTGGTGCTGGCGATTTCTCCGCCCGTCCTCATTGGAAAAGGTTGTCCGCCCGCAGTTACAACGATACACAGACGCTTTGATCTTGGACGCCGCACGCAGGTTCGCTTTCGCATGTGGTCAGCTTTGGCATCATGGGTGGTTTGGCTGTGGGAGTCCAAGGCCCAAGCCCGCATTTCTCGTCTCCTGCCCGTATCAAGATGTTCCCAGTCGGGTATGCAGTGACCTCAGGCACTGCCACGCAAGGAGACCAAGGTGAGAAGCCCTTGTATAAGAGGTTCGAAAATCCCCCCTGGTCGTATTTCCCATTTTCTCGGTGTGCAGTACGAAGTTGGTTATCATTCTCAAAGCACCCGCCACTGGTATCCATCTCAGTCATCCAAAGAAACATCAATATCCCACGCTTTTGAGCATTGACATCACCTGAACAATCCAGGACTTGCCGCACGCCATGGCATCCGCTTTCTTCGCCCGCAAATCGGTGCTTTCCATGAACGCCGCGCCCAACACGGGAATCAGCCTCTTCCAGACGACTTCCGCATCTTCATCACAGAAGTCCTCTTCCGTCACCTCCAAAAGCCAGTCGACCACCTCCACGAGCAGAAATGTGGCCGGTGAGAGAAGTCCCGACGCAGACTCCCTCTCGAGCTCAATGAGCAATAGTTATGGATCGTTTATGCGTTCGATGTATACGAGGGGGCTGTAAGCGAGGGTCGGTCCAAGACCCATCTCGGCGAGAATGGTACCTCTCTTGAATCTTCGAAGAGGCGTGGGGACTCGAGAATTCCAGCGCCAATGTGGCGCTCTGATGGCGTTTCGAGATACGCGAGGTATCCGAGCCGGGTTCTTTTGGGGGCGGAGATGCCGTCACAAGGATGCGATTCAGCGAGGTGTTAGGTGTTATAACCTTTCATGCTCGGGCGGGGGAGCGATTTCTTTCAGTCGCTCTTGACTTCCATGTCTTTTTGTTTCTGTAGGGCGTCATGTCGGCGATGCACCTGCTCAGTGTCTTTGCAGCGTTTAATTTGCCTCGCTTCAAGAGCGACCTTTGGTCTTCCTGTCACGCTGTTACAATGTTTAAGCAGTTCTCGATCAGGCGTTTGTGACTTAATGATAACGGGAGCTAGATTTTCATTTCACATTACAGACTGAATGTCTGGAGGTTGAAGTCACGCCAGGATAATGCCTCCCCGAAGTGAATATATTCGCACCGTCCTCTTACCGAGAAGAATGGAGAAATCCTCACTTTCTAGTGCCCCTTCATCCTGCCACCTACGCTAGAAAAAAAGCAGTCCTAGTAATGAGCGTGCATAGGTTAGCTTCTCCTGTTCAGTTCAATGTATAGCCCAGGAGCGCCCACTCACTTCGAACAGACCGTGGTCGGCCAAGAACATGTCATCCTCAGGAATTTCGAAACTCAGGGGACTGCCCTCACTCGATGTCCAGTCCCATTGATCAAGGAATCCTGATGTCGTCCGCTCAGACGCTGCATTGCTGGCAAAGTTGCCGGCTGTGTGGTGCAGGGTTCCAATTTCAAGGCTGTCGAGGGCCTCAACATCCTCTTCCCACGACTCACGGACCACATCACTCTCGAGTTGCTCGTGCTGTTGTCGGCTTGTGCTTGCTGGCCTCCTGCGATTATCGGCAATCTGACAGTTTCGGAATTGCTGGGCTTCCTCCAATTTCGCAGTCACGCTAGCTCTGGAGGCTTGGAGCGAGGCTGAGCATTGTGGGAGCTGGTCAAACGCCGTCGTCGCAAGCTTTCGTATTTGTGCGAGTGCTCTGGAGCTCGTGTAGGGTTTTCTAGTCACCTTGGTCAGAAAATCGGACACGAGGCTCAAAGCAGTGGCCACATGGTGGGGATAAGGATCAACGCTGAGCAGTGACACCATGTCGTCACGACGAGGCGTTGAGATTGAGCCAAACACGGCTTGAAGTGAGACTTTGCATTGGGTCCCAAGTAAGATGATGTTGACTGTCTCTTGCACTGCTGCCCATTGAGAGTTGTCCGGATTCGTCACCAAGTCTCTCCTGTCAAAGGTATCCAGGATGTCATAGAGCATTAAGAGTCCTAAGTGGTAATGAAGCGCGAGAAGGTCTTCTAGCTTTTCAGCCTGCATTTGGGTATATGGATCGTGGAGAGGATAGGGCACTTACACCAATTGAGTTGGGCCTCGAAGTCGAGAAAGAGCAAAGCCCTTTTACAAGCGGCAAGCAGCGGAGCATAAGTCACGTCATACCTCAGCATGCACTGCAGAACGGCTGTCTGTGCACGGGCGATCACATGCGGCTCATGGCCGTAGTTCAAAGCTTCTCGCAACGAGGCCACCGCTTTCCAGAATACACCTTTGCAGCCGCTGGCGGATTGAACTATCCAAATTGCGCTCTGATTGATCACCTCGAAGCCATTGGCTCTCCAGTCCTCCGTCTTGTCGTGGAAATCCTGTGCGGTCTTCTTTAAAAGCTGCACTGTCCTTTCCTGTTCGAACCCTGTTCGAACCCTAGGAGGCTCGCGTGGAGTATCGAGGGTAAACCGGTAGTAAACGAAGCAGAAGTGTCAAATACAAAGCCCGCCCAGTATGCTATGGTCTCCCGCAGCGCGTAGCCCTCGTCAGTGGACTGGGATGCGGTGTCGAAGGTCGCTGAGGCCGAGGTGGAGCTGGTGGCAATGGCCGCTGAAGAGAAGCGGCTGACGTTCCTCTTGGCCCGGACACTCTGCAATTGCCGCATGGCGACGTCGATGCAGACTTCACCGATATTTCCGTGAGAGACCTCATGTTCCTCGAGACCCGGAGGTAGTGGAGTCATTCCGAAGATGTACAGGGCCAATATAGACCGGTAGCACCGCTTCTGTAAGATCAACAAGATCTTGGACCGCGCGTTGTACCACAGTTTCCGCGCCAGCTCGTTCAGTTTCTCAGCCGGAATACTTGTGCCAGCGACGAGGGGCAGCCACCGGACGCTGAACGCATGCACGGCTGCGTTTAGGGCCTGGTTGACCACGCTGTCGGCTTTGACGCAGACGCTTCCTGAAACGGTTTGCCTGGTATCGGAGTGGCCGTCGTGCTGCCGACAGGAGCATTTCCATTCATCCAAGCCCAGAAAGAGCCTTGAGATGATCGTTCTCGAGCCCTAGTGTCCGGCTTCGTTGACGGCTATTTCTTTCTGGGGGTACACCAAGGAAACATCGTGGTGGACTTACGTCTGGGAGCCCCGGGTACGGACAGCAGCCACTCCCCAACCATACGCCGAGTGCGGTCTCGAAAATCGAAGAGAAGATATGCCACATAGAGGAATCGATGACTTCCTCTCGCACGTTAAACGCCCGAGCAACCCTCGACGACGCCGTATTGCCCGCGGAGGGTGTTTCTTGTCCGAGATATCTGTTCGATTAACACATTGGCCAAGTCACATAAGCTGTAATGATACTGACCCTCGGCTCTGCTGGGGTGACCTTTCGTGGCCGAATGTGTGCTGCATCCGTCCTTCGGGTTCGGCGCTGTTGCCGGCAGAAAAGACCGACTCCGAGCGGTGACGACGCTTTGCTGCCTGGAGCCACTGAACAAGTTTCATTAAGCCGCATAAAAGCCAATTGGGAAGCTCTGCAGAAGTACGGTGACGGCGCTCACCTTGAAAGTGCAGGGGCGATTTTTCCGGGCGCAGTTGGTGCATCTGCGGTCACGAAAGACACCATTCAGCCCGCCGACGACAGCCTCTCTCCTGTGTACAGCATCGCAACGGATCCTGGACGACCGACAGCCATCGCAGCTTGAGTTCTGCTTCCGTGGAGGACGCGACAACTCTTCGTTCATTTCGACGACTGTAGTGCTTCCAAGATTGAGTTGACCGGCGCAAGAAGGAGGAGAAGCGGAGTCCGCTGAGGCATTCGCAGGGTTTCTAGACTGTGCTCCGCATGGACAGCTACCGTCAGAGGGAGAAGCACATTCGTTGCAAGGATATCGGTGCCGGAACCGAGCCTGTGCTGGAGAAACGGTAGCGAAACCGTCGCTACCGCAGAGGGGGTCAAACCCTCCCTTTTGTAGACAGCCTTGGCCCCACTCGATGTTCTCTGCATTAGTCCGCTTCGGGCAATATCAGATCGTCATATCCCGCATACTGGATCCCCGCTCAGGGATGATTTCCGTCTTTTCTTGAGAATGCTGGGGCGTTGGATTGGCGAGGCGTTCGATTCTAGAATGTAACCTGAGTTATTTGCGGCGGTAAGGAGGTCCAGCTCTGACAAAGTTCCTGGGCTTCCGTGTCGGCAATCACGTCGCTAAGCAGGCATTCACTGCTACCGGCACTTCGAGAATTTCCTTTTTCTAGTTTATACCCCAAGGAAGAAAGTGAAATGCCCTGGCTACGTGCTGACCGACAGACTCGCTTCCGAACCTCTGGCTTCCGCAGCAAGCGGACCATGAGAGACGCCGTTCCGGCACCAGGAACAATCGGTGGTTAAATTGCTGATCAACATAGCATAGCACATGTCACCCACCTGGAGGCCGCACCTAGTGTACGTCCACCCGAATCAGATCCTTCAATACTAGTCGTGAAGATGTCCCTGCCTCACCCGCGCAGGATCGTCACCGGCCACGACGCGGAGGGGAAAGCAATATTCCTCGCGGACTCGCACATCCCTCTGGAAGCGACGAAGCTGGGTGCCAGTCTCGGCGTGCTCTGGGAGACGAAGCAGTTCCCGGCCGACAACTCTGGGACCGAAGACCCGGCCACGACGAGGACGACGGATCTCGCGAACAAGAGCGGCGTGGTTCTCAGGGTCGTGGATATCGAGCCCGGCACGACGGAGGTGAGGTTCTCCAGAAGTCGGATAGGAAGGAGGGACCGAGAAGTTGCGACGAGTACGAATGATCTACCGAGCTAATATCAGTTGTATAATTCAAGGCCAAGATGTTATTCCACAGGACAGAGTCGCTGGACTTTGGCATTTTGTTTGACGGCGAGGTCTCATGGTCAGATTCACATTCCAGCCAATCCCCTTGGCATTCTATCTCCCTCTATCACTCAAACCTCATGCTTCATGGCGCCAGACTGACCAGCATCCACTGACAGTTACTTGAATGACGGGGCCAGAGTGGACATGAAACCCGGCGACGTGTGTGTGCAGCGGGGCACGATCCATGGGTGGACGAACACAGGCACCAAGACGGCAAGACTCTTCTTCTGCTTGATAGGTGCGTGAGTCTCGTGGAATCATTTGTTTGACTTGTGGCAGTGGCAGTGGCTGTTGTCCCGCCATTGATCGTTGTCGCCGCTGTCCGTCTTACTGATACGTGTGGTTGTCATCGAACAGCGGCGAAACCGGTCAAGATTGGAGATCAGGAGCTAGGTGCACATGGGTATCATAAGGAGGATGTCGCGTCGGGAGGAACATAGGTTGCACAGGGCAAATGACGAGATGCCAAATCCCGCTTGCCGGAGTATTGCGAAGCACTCAGACCGATGATCTGGAGACTAGATTCTCTGTACAGGCTGGGTCAGTAATCCTTCGGGGAGAAGGAGATCGTTTTCCTACCTCAACGGGTTCTTGGTGCATTCGACGCATTTTGGAGGTTAAAGAAGCTCTTGCCGATCCAATGGTTGGATGTAGCTCGAGTATTCCCTGCAAGATTGTCTTTGATTGCTCTTAGAAGTTCATACATGCATGTACTTGGTTTTGTCTTTGTTCCCTGGTCACTCTTGTTTTGAGTCTATCGGATCACCTGACAAAATGATTCGGATACTCTTTAGGAAGTAACGGCTACTGGGCGGAACATTCGTCCTGGTAGTTGCTTTATTCTTTTCCACCACATATGGCAGCTCACGACTCTCCTTTCGAATATCCTCTCTTGTCGTGCCCTGAAGACTCATTGCTCCGGCGTTATCACCCACCATTTTTCTGATGCCCATTCCTCGTCACGTTGATGTAACCAGGCCTTAGCTTGGTGAAGACTCCATTCGCATCGTATTGCTTGCTAATATGCAGCAGCCTCGCCAGGTTCTCCTCACCGTAGCTAGCAAAGACGTCTTGGTTGCCAGCCGCGTAATTGAGGTAGACGTACCGATGGAACTTATTGTGAGCTTTCGCTGTTGCTGTCACGCGTTGTTCGAAGGCACATGCAAGGGACTCGATTAGGTCATCGTCCGTTGGCTCCGTCCAGGACCAGAGCAGGGAGATTACTTTGACGAAGTCGTTAGTTATGTTCCATGCAGATATATACCAGCATCATCTTCTTACTTACCGAATAGAGGTCCATCTTGTTTGCTGATCCCCAGCGTATGGTCACTTTCTTCAGACGGCAGCATCCGCGGAAGTAAAGGCTGCAGCAAGATTGCTGGCACAAAGTCCTTGACGGTATCTTTGTGCGGGCTGATTACATCCTTATAGATCGCCATAACCTCGTTGAGGATTGTGATGTCGCTTTTCACGGCCAACGCCAGCGTTTTGGACCTTTGAACGACGAGTTAGCAGATGAAAGTTGAACACAACGCCGGTCAGCATGCCAAGACGGACACCATACCTGAGCCCATGCGGGTTATTCGCATTCAATTCCACCGATAGATCCGCTATGCTTCGGATCTTCGCCGACGAAGCAATAGATGGCAACGTCTTGAACCCATCAAAAATGGGTGGATCTTCCTCAGGTTTTCCGTGAGACAGAACTGCCGTGGTGATGAACTTGCCCATCGGAGCGACGTATGCGATGATGATGAAAGCCTCGGCGAAGACATCAGCGGCCGATGATGCGGGATCCTGGCCTTTACAGAACTTGTCAAGCAGAGCGATCGCTTGCGCCTCGGAGTCTTCAAGGTATTGCTTGACGCCGCCCCAGATCTGGCCCTGTTCGAATGCCACAAACTCGAACCTTGTCACGATCCCGAAATTCGTCCCTGCGCCGCGGAGCGCCCAGAACAGATCAGGATGAGTTTCGCGCGTGACGGTGACTACGCTCCCATCGGCGAGGACTACCTGTGGGTTTGTGTTAGTACGCTTTGCGTAAGAATGGCATTTTCAGCATCAGGCGTACCTCATAGCTTTTGACGTTATCGCAGGCAAGGCCGAACCGGCTGGCTGCGAAAGAGATGCCGCCTGGAAGGACAGTCAGGATTTTTGTCACTCAGAGATCATAGTATCCCACCTCCAAGCGTCAAGCCACCAACGCCGACGGTTGAAATGCGTCCTCCAGGGACGCTGATTCCCAGTGCATCCAGCTTGCCGTAGACATCACCCCACTTTGCCCCTGCCCCTATGAACACGGACTTGCGCTCAGGGGCGACATCCACCGAATTCATCCGACTCAAGTCAACCAGGATGCCGTCTTCAATGCTCGATGCGCCGGCGTAGACCCCATGCCCACCAGCTTTCACAGTGAAAGGGACCTGATGATCTCGGACAATCTGGAGTATGGTTGAGACGTCTTTCGCGTTTTCAGGGAACACTTGGACGGCAGGGACCAGTGCTGCCGACTGTGCGGCGAAGTATTTCAGCTCTCCGGGCCTGGGCTCTGAGACCTTACTCTTCCCAAATTTGTCGCAGAGGATGTTATGCTATCTGATATTTAGGAACTTGATATGCTTCGGCCTGGGTGCACTTACAACTTCTTTGGACGCCATCGTATCTGCCATAGGAAGAATTCTGGAGCGAAGCAGTGATTGTCGTGGTATCGCAGGACCACCTTATATGCTGGAGCTGCATATCTCCATGTGTCCTCGAGCTCTCAAGTCATTGTATAGCCAGAAGATATCGGAGGCGCCGGGTAATCTGAAGGAACAATCGGTTCCCGCCTGCGCTTCTCGGATCCGGGAACCGAAGGGTTACAACCCCGTGGGACCCCAGCACCCCGGATTTTGACTCTTCTCAATCATTGTATCGGTTGCTGCTTATCCGGAGAAGGCGGAGTTCTTTCTGGGGCGCGGAGGTCTCTCACGACGGTACTCTATGTCGGGAGTTCCTAGGACCACTCTCTTAGAGTCGGTTGCAGACCAAGCGGTCCATAGTAGTACCACAGGTCCAAGGAATGGATACTTAAACACTGGGTGCCACGGCTCGAAATCATCTCTTTTGCCCTCGCCTCACAAAGACTTGTCTCGTCGCCTTGAACGCAACCTCACAACCTCGCAACCATGCCGTGCAAGCTGCAAATCCTGATCAACAAACAGGACCATCTCAGTGATGAGGAGTTCCACCACTAGTAAGCTGGTCCCAAAGATGTGACGAGGGACCACTTTGCTGATGCTTCACGGTTGGTCAGTCGAACATCCCAAAATCTGGCTGAACACGGACATCGTCAAGAAGAAGATAATCACTTATTCTCAGGTTGGGCTCCAGACCACGTCATCAGAGATGCATGGCTGATGGCGAGGAAGTTTCACATCGACAAGAAGTCCACGGCAGTCCTAACCGACTTTGGCGTTGACATTGGTCAGTGGGATGGCATAGTCACCATGGTGGCGGAGAGCATGGAAGAGTTGTTGAGCGTAAGATTGCCCCAAGGTCGTTGAAACACATCTGTTAACGACATGCCCCAGGTGTTCGCCGACGACGAGTATCTTCGAGTCGTGGTGCCTGATGAGAAGAAGTTCCTCAAGCGCGAGACGGCCATTATGATGATTGGGGAGGACCATCCTAAGAAGGTAGATGGGAACGTTGTGGTGGATATTGGAAGATGAATCAACGTGAGGGTGTTTGTCTCTCTGTACAGATCACTTGCTTGTTCATACGAACCTTTTATACTCCAATTGCCTTGCCATCCTTTCTCCGCGTTTCCCGGATTCAGCTCCAGGCTATGAGGCGCCCAAACTCCCCTTTTCTCCAACATCTCGGCCCGCGGCAGGAATTGTGACGTAGTGGTTGTCCATGCGTCAATCCTTTTCAACATTGTATCAAAACCTCATCTAATCACCTCGCAAACCAAATTTTCCTTGTCTCTATCGTCAAAAGCAAAGTATAACAAAGAAGGAATGCCTCCTACAGGTCTTTCAGGTCTCGCAATCCTCCTGGGCGCCGGCCCCACTACGGGCGCGGGCATTGCCCGGGTCCTCGCCCGCCCGTCCCAAGGGAACCTCGCTGTCGCCCTCCTCTCGCGCAGCGGCGACGTCCAGCTCGCCGAGCGGTTATCGCGCGAATCCGACGGCGGAGTGCTCAAGGCGTTCAAAACCGACACTTCAGAACAAAGCTTGAACAGTGCATTTGACGAGATCAAGCAATGGTCCGAATCGCTCGGCCAGGACGTGAAATTGAAATTGGCCATCTGGAGCATCAAGCACTCCCATAAGACGCCCTTCGAGGACGAGTCCGCCCAGCGCTTCGGAGACAGTCTGCAGATCTACGTCACTGGGGCCATGGCGTTCAGCCAGCTTTGCCTCAAATGGATGCTGGCCCAGTACCCGGCGGATGTGGAGAGGAGCTCAGAAGGCGGCCAGGAGGAAATGATCAAGAAAGGCACGCTGATCTTCACGGGCACCTTGGGCGCTTTGAGGACTAATCCGGGCTACGCCGCTTACGGGGCTGGAAGAGCCGGCGTGAGGATGCTGGCCCAGAGTCTGGCGCGAGAGTATTCTGCCAAGGGTGTTCACGTTGTCCACGCCATTGCAAACGGCGGCATTATGGACATTGATTCGTCCGCGGTCGATGGTGCGGCTGCAGATGCGAAAGAGAAAGCGGCCAAGGTCATGCTTGGAGAAAGGATCCGTGCGGAAAGTGTGGGCAGGCTGTACCTGGACTGTATGCGGCAGAGCTGCGATCTGTGGGTTCACGAGTTAGACATGAGGCCCGCAAGGGAGAAGTTTTGATTCTGTTCTTGGATAGCTGGCTACGGCACAGTCGGTCTGGTATTCGGTCGAGCTCCGACCCAGCTGCTTCTCCTTCGACAATCCCAGTGGACGATGTGGGATAGGACAGAAGGGAGCTTGCTTTTAACCAATTATGAGATTGATATGGTAGCTGACGACGTGCCTTCGAGCGGAAACAGAATGACTATAGCAGATTATAGCGGTTTTTACAGCAACTTTGCGCGGTCGTCGATGAGTGACCCAAAAGCGTATGCCAAAGGTCCCAAAAGCCAAGTCTTCGCGCCAAAAGAGTGCGTACAGTCTTTCCCACTCGAACCCCCATGTGAGATGAATCCGGATCCCCCTTTTGTATTTGACTCGATGAGTGTTCTTCTCCGTGTTGATCCGCATGAAACATTTATATATCGCCATAAACACCACGTATTCGTAGACCGGAATTACACTTGATAAACAATGCATTGCAGTGTGCAAACGTGCCACACGTGCAATGGGTCAACAGACGGTTGAATGGCCGGCGCGGTGTTGACCCAAGTCAGGTTCAAATCTGTCCTGGGCGTATTCTCTTGTGAGGCCGCGCAGAGTAGTCCACAGCTTGTCTCGAATGTGTTCTCTCCCCCGTTGACGCTGCCGGACCGCGAGACATGTGTCTCTGACACATCCACATGGCGTGTCTGGCGTGAAACAGTAAACATGATCTCAATTCAAAGTTCTTCTCTGCACTCTTCTCGAGGCTCCTGCTCTGCTTGGTGCCATTGAAATTCCGGCGGAGCGTGTTCGCTGAGAGGACAGCCATATCTGGGAATGCAGTGCTCGAAATTCGTCCACATACCCGTCTTGGCGATTTGCGCAGCGCCCTTGGAGGCAGCGTAGGCGTGCTCCTCTGCTGTACGGAGGTATTCCTCTGGCTTGATCTTGTCATTGTGGGCGAAAACCTCTTGGACGAGCTGCAGAAATTCCGGTCGTGTCACCCCGGTGCCATGCAGAATGAGGAGATCTATTGGCTCTGCACCGTGTCGCGAGAAATAAGACACACGGTCTTTGACCCAGCCCCAATACTGATCAGGATCTTGAGCATTTAGCGAGTTAGTACCACGATCGAAATGATCTTCTGTCATATTTTCAGAGATGGCGATCAGTCCGTCATTACGGTACATTTGGTGGAGGCCAAAGTAACTTGCATCAAGTTGGATGCTGAGGAACGAGTGGATGAGGCGACCGTTATACTTCTCGCACTCGATGTCAGGAATCTGATGCGTTTCATTGACGTGGATTCCATAACAGTGTTGGAGCTGGTACAGGCCGAGGAGGGCCGCTCTGGACTCATCCCACCACCTAGAATGGAAGCCGTGCAGCCCAGCACCTGAAAGGAGCGGATCAATAAGGCTGAGGGCATATGTCGAATCCATGACGAAATTAGGAATGGCGAGGAATGCAGTGCGATGCTGAAGGTGGTGGATAGTGGACGCAACGGCGAATAAAGCTCGAATCATATCTGATATTGGCTCGAGAGTGGGCGAGAGGCTCTGTGGGTGGTTTGGCAGGGTGTGGGAGTGGAATTGTTGCAAGAATGAACGCCACACAGACATCCAAGATGTCGTGCTCTTGCTGGTCTCGGGCTCCAAGCGTCTTAAATAAAATGTATCAGCATCCTGGGGGCCTGGGAGTGAAGGTGAATGGTCCGTACATGTCATGGTGTGGGCGCATTGATTTCTGGGGCATGTCCATCCTTGAGAGATCTATCAATGCAGCCAGGTACCCAGGTGTCCCAGGAATGATTCCAGCACTCATCGATGATCCATTGGTGAAAACAAGAGAAACGGATCTATAGAGACTAAGTACTTGCACACCTCGAATAAGCGTACATCTTAGTCTTACCCATAGTCAGGGGATAGTGACAGCCCGACTCCTGTGGATAAAGGAAAGCGGTCAACATCTGCATACTCATTGCTGGTGTGGCAGATCGAACTTACCTGCAGCTTCTTGCAAGTCTAACGATCGACATTCCCAGCAGACTTGAGTACCAGAAATAGGCAGACACAGACAGAGTATATTGAGAGCGATGAAGATACTTGAGGTGCAGCTACCGGACAGAAGCCGAGGACGCATTTTGTGCAATGATAATTTGGTAGAGAATGCTCCTTCGCCACATTCAAGGAAGCGTGAGATGTCTGTACAAGTACACACAGACAGCGGGGTCGACTGGCAAGGGCTGGGCAGAGTGGCCTTTGTACTGGCCAGTCCTCTGCCAAGAACTGCCGAAACCGCACAGCCTCCTTGGGCTTTTGTTGCCGCGCGCTTATCAGCAAACATAGCCTCCTCAACTTCCATCCGGCCTCGAAGGATAAGTGCTGCACCTGGACTCCAGCTACAAAGCCTCGGTGCAAATTCGACGATGATGTCCTATCATGAAACACACCAGATCTCCCATAGCGTTGGCATCCGCCGCAGCGAGATTACCAAAATACGCTCCCCCATGCTGACCTCGCAGACCGCTGTCCCAGAGTCGGCACAGCCGTTGTCTAGGCCAGAGCGGCGTCAGATTTCGCCAAAATATCTATGAACGTGCCACCGACCGTGCACTGAAACTCGCTCCAGAGGGTCTCGGGCGTGTACAGTTCAGATGTTGTATTTCGCGACGATATGGAGAGTGGGCAGTATTCTTGTCTACAGCTGAATCGCAGAACATGTAACCAAGATAATCTCGCTACGTGCATTTAACGGTACCGAGCTCAAGTCGATTCTACCATCGGCCTCTGAATAGGCAGATAGCTGTCTCCTCCGAAATCGTCTGCTGGCCCAACCCAAGCAACCACCATGTCCGCAGGTGTAAAAATAATACCACCAATTTTGTCATATGCAGCGCCACGAAGCACCTATACAGCGACCTCCGCCGTCGTTTCGGCAGTATCAAGTCCAGATTGTCCAAGCCCCTGGACCGGTTTTCCTTCATATCGCGCGATTAGGTGTTCACGGTACCGTGTCAACCAGGATTCCCGAAGATAAAAGAGCGCCTTTCTCACGGTTCAGAAAACAGTAATGGCTCTGAACAACTCCTCAATCCCCATCCTGAAGCGATATTATCCTCAAGCACATTGTCTTTTGGCTTTCTCAAAACGAAATGCACATCGTACAACTCCATGCATTCTCGGCTTTTCTTTTCCTATCCATGAGTCAGGCAATACCATTTGCCCAAAGACTCTCGCACCTTGAATCTCGTGAAGCTGTTGCCATACAAGGAAGCACCCGAATCTCCGATCAGTTGTCAGCAGAGTATGATGAAGTGGAAGGGAATTCCTTTTTTGCGATCGAGAGGTCCTGCATAGGCGATACTCGGAACATTGCCCAAGGGAGAGGCTTCAAAGATCGTCGAGACTATTACGTCCAAGCTGTCAAGGATATGACAGCTATCGCCCATTCCGCTCAGAAATGGCCTCAACTTGGTACCGATGCCTCGGACTTATATTTCGGCAAGGGCGCCGATGACGAGCAGTATTCTAAAGATATAGTTGGTATGGCATCCCCATGTTCTGACATCCGAGCCTTCGACTAATCTTTCAGCAAATATCAAGGCAGCTGCAAATTGGGCGCACCCACAGTGGGGCTTCGATCCATATATCGTAAGTCTTGCAGCCCAGACTCGGAATATTTTTCACTGTCCACTCTCTAATGCTAGCAGACCCTAACTTGTAAGTGAATAACAACACCAAACCGAGGTGCAGTTGCTCAACTCCTCTAGGTAGCGACCCAGAGGGGAGATGCAACAATAAAATAGGGAATGATCCCAGGTTAGTACCACGGAATCCGGCCAATTCATCCTGATTCATGAGATTCAGGAGTATCGGATGCTACGTCAATAACACCGCAGACCTATTCTCTACAATTTCCCGCGTCTCTTGCTGTGGAACTTTCTTCACGGTACCGACGATCGATGAAGTTTTCGACGAATATAAATCTGCCGACCCAAGCACGCTTCATCTAGATTGGATGAGAACAGGCGGGTCTTACCTGCTGCATGAGTTGATGCATACAACAAAGATCACGCAGACCCGGCCTCATAGTGAGTTCGCACATCTCACCGCCTAAAGGACCTTCTAATGTCTTCAAGTCATTGACCAAGTATTTGATGGTGGAAAGCGCATCTATGGTCCAAAGGACTGTGCCAAAGCCGCAAAATCGCAGTCGCAAGGAGGCGTAGGGCTTGATATCACGACAAGGAACGCAGACAGTTACGCCTCGTTCGCCATAGGTACGGACATGCCACTACAGATTTGATCAATGTGACGGCTCTATTCCGGACAACAGCTTACCAAAAGTCCCTTCTAGCGATGTACTGGAAAGACGTCTTCCAAGGAAATGCCCCACCACCCGCGGCCGACAATGAACAACCGCCTGCAGGTATTCCAGACCTGCTGTCTGACAACGATGCCTCGAATATCGATTTCTCATCCCCCGAGCCTACGCCGGTCTGCGCTGGCACCCCGGCTGACAAGCCTTCAGCCTCTCAATCCTGGATTGCAGGGAAAATCACCTCTTACTGCGAGCAGATCTCGTCAAGCGGATGGGTAGTGAATTCTACACTCGGCCAGTACAGTCCAGTCGGCTACGCTGCTGGAGATACAACACCTGCCTCGGCGAATGATCTTTGGATCTCTGCTTCATTCGACCCCAATTGCAGCCAGGATACTGGGTACCAAGTCGACGTCAACGAGTGCGAGAAGTTCTTGAACATTGTGTTGAATGGTTGCAACACTGATAGTGTCGATGCGAAGTACGGTGGACAGGTCGAAGGGAATTGCGCTTTGTGGAATATCACCACCCGCATGGGTCACAATCCGACTCCTCCAAACGGAATTCCCCCTTCACCACTGGATTTTCCTAATGGGAAATGAAAATAGCGCTGTGTATAGGAGTTTTCCAATATTTGGCGCAACCCTCCAGCACGATCATGAGAATCGAGTCTGGACTGTACTTTATTTCCAGCTGCAGTAAGGAGTTCCAGAGGCGCATGGTGATAGCATACAACAAGGTAGAAACATATAGTGTACCCAACACCCGTAAATCTATTTTTGTAGGGCGAGAGTAAATACTTGCTTCGGACTTGACCAATTTTGAGTAGGAAAGCTGCGAAAGGAGAGAAAGATTTTGTGGCTCGCGCAGGCCGAGGTTTGAAGTAAAGCGCCTGATTTTAAGTCGTAGCTCCACCATTTCAAAGGTAGGGCGGTTACGCAATAACATCATATAACGGCTGTCTTGTGATGTCTACAGTCGGTCCCTGCGTCCTCCCTAGTACGAAAATGTGTACAATTAGATAAACATAACTTTTCAGCGGTACATACTCAATGCGCACTACCTGCCACATTCTTCATCTCTCTCGCGGAGGTGTGTATGTGTCCACATACTTCCCACCGGAGGATTCGGAAGTACGTATTCTTCTTACTACACTCTTCTAGGTTCCAATGATGAGAGGGTTACCTAGTCTTAACACACCATTCCACGGAGCTATTTTTGGCTGACTGGACACCTTACCACGCTCGCCTTCCTTCTCACAGTAGGTTTTGTTCTTCGGCCGAGTAAACCTCTGTATAGCATCAAGCCGAACGCAACACTCTCTATCTAATGCTGTCAATGACTAATGCTACGCACCATCTACTGCTGAGTGTTCCATAATGTGTCGGGTGAGAAGAAATCCCAATGTCCCGTCTTTCATGCCACTACCAGTTTCGCCGTTTTCGGCCCTGACGCCGCCAAGGAACATCAACGGTTAACAGTCCCTTTCCAGACCGAAAGTCGACAGTAAAAGGGTGGTACTGATGGCGCCTTTGTATCCCCGTTTACAAGCAGCAAAAGGAAGAAAAAGGTGCTATAAGCCCGTTCCCCTTTCATCTTGGACTTGCCAGGAAGCCGAGAAGCTCAATCTCCGATCCATACTTGCCGACCCCCGAGTGGTAAGGAGCGGTTCTATACTCTCAGCCAGCCAAATCCTGCAGGCGAAGGCCCTCCAGTCCAATACAATGGTCGTTTCATCATCAAAAAATGGCATATTGGCTTTTAATAGATTCATGTCGACTAGCAACGTCGGTCGTTGCTACCAGTTTGCCTGACCGGTTCCGAAACGTCGCCACCCTCCCGTGAAGCCGCCCCACGCGTCCGGCCGACAAATCCATCATCCGACGTACCGCTCTTGTGAATCTGCCTCGCTCGACCAAGCTACTGCTCCATATGACCACAGTCCCCCTTATTAGGACCCACTAGTCAGAAACTGGTAATTTTGTCGACTCTTCCTATGACGAAGATATGAGACGTGCACAGCGCCGGCAAGAAAGCAGTCCGAGAGTAATCATTTATCCTGCCTCAGCGGTCAACCAGTCATCACGAGGCACACTCGAAAATAATAGTCGATCCACCATTAGAATGAAATCCGTGTTGTCTCGGGGAGGGAGCGGTGACTCTTGTTAGATATCCCCGGGCGAGATCCTGAACTCGTCAATATGCTTAAACGGAGTCTGCCTTACTTCCGGAGTTTATTTGACTACCCCTTAATTAGGCTGCTCCGCGATTTACTATCAGTATTTAATCTGTTATATATATACCTCCACTAGGCGGGGAGGTAGAATGCGTACGAGGCGATCGGAGACTTTGTACTAAAAATCTATATTAGGATAGTCTCCAGTTATCTCGAGCCATCAGCAGTGCCACAAGCCAGGGATGAAGAATATCAACCTGGTCTCCCGTGGAGACATAGGCACAAGAGGAATTTGGCAGGAGAAACTGTTATGATGAATGCCTCTATATCGAGATACGTATAACGCAAGAAACAGAATTGTGAAGATAGTACGTCCTTGTTCGAAAGGCAAGTAAGCATTAAGGAGTAAATTTAATAAAGCATTGAACGTATGAAAGTAGCGCCCGTCAGGCAGCAGACTTGGTTCTTGAAACACTACTGAAAACCATAGCCGAGGGCTGGGGGCCGGAAACTAGGCCCTCTAGACTCAATATCCGTACCAAAACAGGAACACTGGAGACCAAAACCAGGTCCCCATGGCCACCCTCCGGGCCGAGCAGGCGCTGACCAAGGTGCTCAGGAACAACACCGCCACACCTCTGGCCGCTTGCTCAGCACTCACCTTCTTGGCGGTTTCTGCTCAGGCCTGGAAACGGAAATGGGTTTTGGCGAGGTGAAAATCATTCTGTAAGTATAGTGGTATACAAGTCGATCCTCGAGTGGGCCCACTACATCTCGGTACAGAAGCTTATTACAAACATCTCTCGCTATACCTCGCTCCACAGTTCAGCCCTTCCGGGGCCACAGATGAGGAGCTCTAGGGCTCCGAGGCTCCGAGTAATGACTGAACCAGGACTTGAGGACCTCCACTGGCAGCTAACGACCTGCTGTGTACCGTGTACAAAGTACCTCATGTAGCCAAACATCAGCGATAAGCAACGCAAAACGGCTCGGCTATTCATGCCTTAGGATATACCGATCTATGCTACTCACTATTCTTTAGCCCTCTAGTCTCACAGCTCTTCGCACAAGATGGCAATGCAATGAGGCGAAGGTCCCAACACAAGAATCAAGTCATCCTACTATGCCTTTGTCTTCGCGCCTGGGACCAGAACAGTGGGATACAGAAGAAACAAGCTGAGAAATCCGACAGCTCCAAACCCTTCGGAAATTCCCGACCAAAGGAGAGGCCCTCACCAAGTAGTTCACAAGATCCGGAATCGTCGCCACATAACCATTACCAATCCGGAGGTGAAGACGTCCCGTCTATGGCATGCCATCAAACATTCGATAACCATGGCCTATCTGGACCCATCAAGCTATTCAACCTGATGGCAGAGACCACATTGTTCAAAAGTGATGTTCCTCAAATCTTAAGTTTGGGGCTATTACAATGACAGTATCCATCAGCCCTCTTGTCTTGCCTTGCTGCTCTAATCTACTATAGTATACTGTACCAGACTATATAATACTGGCCAGACCTTCCAGCACCTGGTCTCGATGGGCAATCTAGCTAACCACCTAGACTCCAATATTGAACCAAGCACACCACAGCCATTATGGGATCAATCTCTCCAGATATGGCCGCCCCTTCACGGCTCTTCTCCCCCTTCAAAATCGGCAACCTGGAACTGAAACACCGCGTCGTCATGGCCCCCTTGACCCGCTTCCGCAACGACGAGAACCACATCCCTCTCCCCTTTGTGGCAGATTATTATGCTCAACGGGCGTCTATTCCGGGCACCTTCGTCATCGCCGAAGCCACAGTCGTCTCGCCCCGCGCGGCAGGATACTCCAATCTGCCTGGGATCTGGAGTGGAGACCAAATCGCGTCCTGGAAACGAGTGACCACCGCGGTGCACGCCAGGGGGAGCCCATCTTCCTGCAACTCTGGGCCCTGGGCCGCGTGGCGGACAAAGAAACCGCCGCGAAGGAAGGTATGACGATTGTTTCGTCGAGCAACATCCCCATGGACAGCGAGCACGCGGAACCCGAGGCTTTGAGCTATGAGGAGGTCCAGAACTTCGTGGCGGATTTCGGCCAGGCGGCGAAAAACGCCATCGAAGCCGGCTTCGACGGCGTCGAGATCCACGGCGCAAACGGCTATCTGGTCGACCAGTTCATCCAGGATGTTGCGAATCAACGGACTGACGAGTACGGAGGCTCCATTGATAAGAGAAACAGGTTTGCTTTGGAGGTTGCAAAGGCCGCGGCCGACGCTATCGGCGCTGATAAGGTCGGGTTTCGGATCAGCCCCTTCTCGACCTTCCAGAGCATGAAGATGGCCAATCCGTACCCGCAGTTCTCTGCGCTGGTCAAAGGTCTCAAAGCCCTGGGTTTGGCGTATCTCCACGTCGTCGAGTCGCGGATTACAGGTGACAACGACGGTCACGGCACCGAGAAGGTCGACTTCATGCTGGACGTCTGGGGAGACGACGCCCCCTTTTTGATCGCCGGGGGTTGGAAGCCCGATGCCGCGCAGGCGGCGATGGATGGCTAGTACAAGGACAAGAACGTCGCGATTGTCTTCGGTCGGTACTTCTTGGCCACGCCCGATTTGCCCTTCAGGATCAGACAGGGGCTCGAGCCGAACAAGTATCACCGCGATCTGTTCTACGCGATCAAGGCAAGGGACGGGTACCTGGACTACAAGTTCAGCAAGGAGTGGGAAGAGGCCACTAAGCACGGCCTGGAGAATATTTTGGCGTGAAAGAAATGAACCCAGACTTCACGAGGAGAGCTGGCGCGCTGTTTGAACGGAATGATATATATATATATATTCATTATATATAACGTAGGTGCATAGCGAGTCGGCCAGCATAGCGAGTCGGCCACCTAACCACCACCGTACGACAATCTAATTCAATTACACCACCACCCTAAGATAAATAGACTTAATCTACTCAGAACTATATATATTAGACATTTCTTTATCCTCTTAACACGTACGTGCATTATGCCTAGACTTTCCGTAGGTACTATATCGTCGTTGAGTTAGCTCACCCCCTCTTGTACGACCACTACTTATACGCTTTTCTTACTCTACCTACTTATCCGTATCCCTCTAGTCGATTATATCCTACGCGTCTCGTAACGTGGGTGCATAGCGAGCGACGCAGCATAGCGAGCGACGCACTTTCCCACTACCGTACGACAATCTAATTTAATTACACCACTACCCTAAGATAAATTCACTCAATCTACTCAGAACTAGATACATTAGACATTTCTTTATCCTCTTGACACGTACGTGCATTGTGCCTAGGCTTTCCGTAGGTACTACATCGTCGTTAAGTTAGCTCACCCCCTCTCGTACGACCACCACTTATACGCTTTTCTTACTCCACCTACTTATCCATATCCCTCTAGTCGATCATATCCTACGCGTCTCGTATAGTAAGTGATCCTCCTTATCGGATCCGTATCCTTTTCTCTCTACGACGCTTACTTAGCGTATGATTTACCTCTTTAAGCTCCCGGATACGATCCTTTATCAATACCATTTGATGCATTATAGTAGTCGTACCTTTCACCATCTGATCTATCGCCTCATAAATCGCTGTTAGAGAGCTATCTTAATGTCGAGCGACTTTCCCCTTAATAAAATCAGACTATGAAGTTACCTCGTACGTAGTCTATGGCGTCTTAGAGACCTAAGGGGTAGTTATTGGCGAGGGGAGTATTTGTTAGGGATCCCTCCCTAAACACAACAAACCGGCTAAGTACGGGCGCTAAGGTTACACAATATATTAGGGGCGCATACTGCGCGCACCCTACTTAAACCCTCTTCAAGGCTTTAAGTCTCTATATATAGGGCTAGAGCTATCAGTACTAGGCGTTATTACTTCTATCAACCTATCTATCCACCGCTTCCCTTATAATTCTCAAAGCCTTCACCTAGATACGGTTTAACGGAAGCAATAATAGCTCCCTCAACCCGTAGCTAGTAGTTAGGGGTTAGTGAGTATAGTGGGAACGTACCCGTGACGGCTACGCCTAGCGGGGACGAAATACTCTTAAGCACCGAACCTACGTAGGAGGGTAGGGAGACATTCGAAGAGCGTTATAAGCATATTCGAGCCCTAGTCGTTACTAAAAGGCACTAGGAGAACCGCGAGAGGGAATTAGAGACTATAGAACTCGAACTCGCGGGAGAGACTCCTAGGAATCTAGTACGTATCGAAGGGGCCGTATACCCCTCTTATAAGTGAAACGCATCTAGCGACGTCTACGGATACTCCTTAACGAGGCTAAAAATGGCTAAGCCCCCTACCTTCTTAGGTAAAAACATTAAAGAGTTATAAATATTCGAGATCGAGTAGTCGATTCGAAATAAGACTAATAGGCCTTTTACACCCTCTAAGTGGATAGAACGTATCTAGAAAGTAGCTACCTATCTAAAGGGTATAGCCGCGATCTTATAGGTATAATATAAGGATCTAATTAATACTTAGGACGAGTTTATCGCTTTCTATAAGAGTATTATCTTAGACTCTACGAATTATATATTAAACGTACTCTTATCGCTAGCCTTTAAGAAGTAGGGCGATAATTAGGGAGCGCGGGTATTCCTAGACGAAGTAGAGGCGCTAGAAAGGGATATTCCTAAGCTATCGGTAGAAGAGCGAGACGCGTAGTTTCTTCTTAACTATTTATACCCTAATATACGTATAGAGGTTATGCACGAGAATAAGGAGATCCATAGTCAAGAGTAGGTCCTCGCGGTAGTATAAAGATAAGAGGAGCTCTTACGCTAGAAGACGAGGTAAGAGAGGTCGGAACGATCTTATACCCTAGGGCGTAGGTTATCCGGCACCCTAACGTATATAAAGCGGACCACTAAGTATCGCGTATTGACGGAAGACTACTAACGGGAGAAGAAAGATACTACTAAAGAGACTACTTTTAGTATTATATACTATAAGTATAGTAAGTCTAGATATAAGGCCTATTAATACTACTATAATAGGCGTAGCGAAAAATAGCGTAATAAGGATACTACCTCGACTTAATAGAATAAGTTAAAAAACTAGAACCTAGTACTATAAATACGTCTATAGTACTAGGGGTTCCTAAAGAGAAAGTATATAGATCTCGAGCACTTAACATTATCATATATATAACTATACTAGGTAGGAAGCGTACTCTTAATATACTTATTAACTCTAGAGCGGAAGAGAACTTCATATTATAAAGAGTGATAGTAGACGAAGGGCTTAAGCTAGGGGGTTAACTAACCTTAGCGTAGAACGTCAATAGTTATACCTTAAGGGTATATAGAATATATTCCCTCGAGATAAAGGCGTAAGATACGTAGAAAGTATACGCTTCATATATAATAAACTTCATCGTGACTAATATCTAAAGATATAATATAATCTTAGGATATTCCTAGTTAGAGAAGGTTAATCCCTATATTAATTAGGCTAATAAAGAGTAGTTTATTCATAAATAAGAGCTAATAGTTAAGGAAGTAAGTATAGAGGAAATCCTTAGAGAACCAGAGCTATATATACTCTATCTAGTACTATTACCTCTTATAGAGGACGTACCTAGAATAGAGTACCTTCTAATAGTAGACATTAGTGAACGTTAGATCCCCGAAGAATACGAGGATTATAAGGACGTCTTCTTAGAAGAGAAATCTCGTAAAGTACTACTAAAGTACCTAAAGATAAGATACTTTATACCTATAGAGGAGAGGAAGAGTATCCCCTTTAGAGCTATCTACTCTATAAGTATGAGGGAGTTAGAGGTATTACGAGATTATATTTATAAGACTTAGGTAAAACGCTAGATTTAAAAGAGTAAGTTACTAATGGAGTTAGGGATCTTATTCGTACCTAAAAAGGATAGGAAACTCCGCCTTTACGTAGACTATCGTCCCCTAAATAAGATTACGATTAAGAATTAGCGGCCCTTACCCCTTATATATAAGATCCTAGATAGGCTTACTTAGGCGCGAGTATTTACGAAACTCAACCTATAAGACGCCTACTACTATATAGTAGTAGTGGAGGAGGATAGATAGAAGACGGCGTTTCATACCTAATACGGACACTTTAAGTACTTAGTTATGCCCTTCGGCCTAACGAACGCCCTAGTAACCTTCTAGGATTATATTAACGAAGTTTTAGGTCCGCTAGTTAACGTAATTTATATTACGTATATAGATAATATCCTTATCTATAGCGAAGACTCTAAAGAGTATACGATCTACGTCTATTCCGTATTATAAAAGCTATGGACGGGGAAGCTCTTCATTAACCTTAATAAGTGCGAATTCCGCACTATAGAGGTTAGCTTTCTAGGCTATTATATGAGAGTAAACGGATTAGGGGTTAAATAATAGAGAGTTTAGGTAATCCTAGAATAGTCTATCCCTATCTCTTTCTAAGATATATAGGTCCTTATAGGATTTACGAACTTCTACCGTAGGTTTATACTACTCTACTCCGCCGTTATAGTACTAATTACTAACCTCCTTAAAGGGATATAAAAGGAGAGGAAGATAAGACCTTTTAAGTAGACTTAGGAAGTAGACGATACGTTACTCCTACTAAAGGACCTCTTTACGTATACGCTACTCCTTACCTATTTCGACGTTCGCTTACTATTAAGAGTTAAGACGGACGCCTTAGTAGAAGCCGTAGGGGGCGTTCTCTTATAGTTATACGAAGCGGAGAGTAAATATATCTAGCTTATATAGAAGCTAGTAGCCTTCTTCTCGAAGAAGTTCTCAAAGGAATAGAGAAACTATATAACGAAGGACTAAGAGATATTAGCGATTATTATAGCGTTTAAGGAGTGAAGGTACTATCTTAAAGTCCCCGTTATACCTACGCTTATACTTATAGATTACGAGACGTTATAGTCCTTTATATTAAGGAAGGAGCTAAATCTAAGGTAAGTTCGCTAAGTAGAATACCTAATAGTCTTTAACTTTATAATCTAGTATCGGAAGAGTAAAGAAAACCCTATAGACGGCCTATCTAGGCGTTTAGATTTAATAACTACTATAGAACCTTAAGGGAACCCTCTACGCGAACTGATTTTAAAGCGTATAGTAGACGTATTATAAGAGGACTATTATAGAGAGGGGACATACCGTAGGTAGTAGAAATAGGGATATTTATAGCTATAATCAGGGCCTTAACTTATAGCTAAGTTAAGAGACCTTAAGACCCTATAAAGAGCGAGTATTATACCCTAGCTCTACGTAAAGGGAGAGTATACGTCCCCCCTCTATCAGACCTACGCATAAAGGGTAAAGGGAGTACTCTAGAAGCTATAGAAGATACGGCCTACGGTTAACTATTATAAGGAGTAACCTAATAATTACGGGCGCTATAGGTAGAGGATGAATAGTATAGAGACCGTAGGTAGGAGGTACTAGATATAATACTACTATATAGGTATTAGAGGAGGGGCTAGTCCGTTGATAGTATAAACCTAGTACGCTATTAAAACGCCGCGTATATACCTTACGATCCCCGTATT